CCATGGATCCAGTGGAGCTTCAAGTTTCAGATGGTGAGATGGGACGAGGCCGCAGATCCAGATGGAGAGACGGCGCAGGAATCAGGTCCGACGCCAGATCCAACTGTCGATGCAGATCCAACGACTACCATAGATCCAAGTCGCGGTGACGCTGATGCAGATGAGCAAGTCTGCTACCACGTGAGTGGGGATCTGCACGCGGAAGATGTTGAAGCGGAGATGGCGGTGCTACCGGAAGTCATTGCGACCACAGACGAGGTGACTATTGAAGACATCCAGGTGGGAGATCCAGAGGTTAATACGGCGGAAGAAATCGATCGACTCCGGCGGCGGATCTGGAGGCGCCGGCACCTGCTGATTGGTAAAGGCAACGCACTGCCGCCCGCGGCACGAGGAGTTGTGTGCGACAGTGATGTGGGTGATGCAAAGCCCATTGCTCAGCGGGTGCGCAAGGTAGCCCCGAAGTACCATGAGAAACTGTCGGATCTAATCAAGGGGTTGCTCGGCGCCAAGATCATCAAGGATTCGACTTCACCGTGGGCATCTCCAATTGTGGTGATCATCAAGAAGAATGGGGTAGACATACGATTATGTATCGATTACCGGCTGGTTAACAGTTTGACCCGGCTGATGGTCTACCCGATGCCCCTAATTAACGACCTGCTTGAGGATCTGGACAAGGTGCTTTGATACTGCTCTTTGGATATGACAGTGGATTCTGGGTGGTGACGATGACGGATCGGGCTCGTGCGATCTCCGCCTTCATCACCCCCTTCGGGCTGTACGAGTGGAACCGGATGCCTTTTGGGTTGAAGAATGCACCCCAGGTCTATCAACGTATGCTGGACAACGCGCTGTATGGATTCACTCGGATCCCGCGGCTAGAAGATGGATCTGGATCGGAGCGCGAACCTAAATCCAAGCGTGGATCTGTATCGGAGGTGCTGAATCTGGATCTGAAGTTGGGAGAACCAGAAGGTCCAGGCAAACCATCCGTGCTTGGACGACGGCCGTACATTGACGACATATTGATAACTGGTGGAATCTGGGACCATCTGTGTGAGCGTGTGGACGCGCTACTGGACGCGTGCGATAAGTGGAATCTCTCAATCAGCGTGGTGAAGAGCTTCTGGGGCAAGAGTATGGTGGAGTACCTCGGTCATCGCGTGTCAAATACTGGACTAGAGGCGAATCCCAAGGATCTCTCGGCACTAACGGAATACCCTTTCCAGGTACACTTAGATCCATGCAGTCGTTCCTGGGCAGTTTGAATTACTACAGTCGGTTTCTGGAGGAGTACGCGATCTACGCTGCGGTTCTCTACGAATTACGTGAAGTGGACTATGCCGCGATGAGCAAGCCTGAAAATCGAGGCCGGATCCAAGCGGTGATGCCTTCGACGACTCCAGATCCAACGGAGCAGACCTCGTCCGACATGGCGGATCTAGACCTACCGGATACAGACTCTGGATCCACGAAGGCTGGGAAGCGGAAGACTTTGGATCTGGAGGCGAGTGATCCAAACAATGTAGATCCACGTTGGATTCGCGCTCATCGGGCATTTGCCAAATTGAAGGAAAAGGTGGCAATGATTCCGATCCTCCGACACTTCGACTCGGATCTGTTGCCGGTGGTGGTCGTGTACGCTAGCGAGTGGGCGATCTCAGCTGCCCTGATGCAGGAGCACGACGGGGTTCACTATCCAGTGACGTTCACCAGCCGCACCCTGAAGTCCAACGAACTCAATTATGGCGTGGTGGGGAAGGAGGTGTTGGCTCTGTTGCGGATCCTGGATCTGGATTGGTTGGACGCCCGATCCGAGTCTTGACTAGACATTCGACATTGGCCTGGTTGTTCAGATCCACGGGCCTGCAAGGGCGATTGGGACAGTGGGCGGCTCTGCTCTCGCCGTGGACACTCGAGATTATGAAATGCACGAAGGGCGAAGATGAGATCCTGGGGACTCTGGCGGCCAGCATTACACCTAGATCCAAGGTGGATCAGGCTTTGATCGAGATTGCGTCCAAGAAGGAGCCACGACGCAAGATCCAGGCACCAATCCCGACTGTCCGGCCTGGTGAAGAACTGCATGTGGTCAGTTTCGATGGATCTGCCCGTGTCAAACGTGGTGGAGGCGCATACAGCGCGATCCTGTGGAAGTTACCGGAATGGACTGTGGTGAAGGCTAGATCCGGCTATGCCGAGGGGCTGACCGTTAATGAGGCGGAGTACCATGGACTTCTTCTATGCTTGGATCTACTCGAAGGCGAGGCACGACGACGATTGGTGATCTGTGGAGACTCCAATTTGGTAGTTCGCCAAGTCCGAGGCGAGATCGACTGCAAGGCACCGGGATTAACCCTTCTGAGACAGAAGGCCCTGTATCGGCTGCGGATCTGGCCAGATCATGAGTTGGTACATGTCAAGCGCGACTGGAACGGTAGCGCTGATAGCCTAGCCAGCGCAGCACTTCAGCGACAGGCCGGTATCATGGTGGAGGAAGCGGTGGATCTGCAGGATCTAGTCACGTTGAACCGCCTAGATGAGATCCTGGTTGTGAAGCGTGAAGAAGACGTCTCCGTCGCACGTGTCTCACCAGTGACAACCCGAGCACGTGCCAGATCCAGATCCAACCCGAGTGTATTGCAAGAGGAAGTAGTGCGGGATCTCAGGATCGCCAGGATCCGCCAAGCGCAGGACGAGGAGGCGTGGATCTCCGGTCTGAAGAAGTACTTAGTGGGCGATATGCAGGATCTGACCCAAGATGAGGCTAGATCCTACAGTGCTATCGCGATGGATTATGAAGTGGACCTCAACGACTTACTGTTCTATTGTCCTCCTACGAAGAAGGTGGAGGCGGATCGCGATGGATTGATGAGGTTGGTGCTGCCGGAGACTCTACAACAGGATGTCCTCCACCATTACCATGTCAGTCTCGAAGGAGGTCACCAAGGGATCGGCCGCACCTACCAGCGGATCCGGGATCGCTTCCACTGGAGGGGATTGTATCGGAGTGTACAGCGATACGTCGGAGAATGCGTGGACTGTGATACCGGCAAAGGGCGACCTGCGATCCAAGGTGAGTCGCCCGGTAACATCCAAGCCACGTACCCGTTCCAGATTATAGCGATGGATCACATACCGTCGCTGCCCAGATCCAACAAGGGTAATACGAGTCACTGATCTGGGTGGATCTGTTCACTGGATACGTAATCGCGAAGGCCAGCGACTCCAGGACGGCGCAGACGATCACGGAATCCTACGAAGAGTGTGTATTCAGACGATTTGGTGCCAGCGAGGTGATTCGCCACGACCGTGAACCGGGGTTCATGGCCGACTTCTTTAGATCCTTCAACAAGATCCTTGGTCAGCGACAACGTGCGACGATGGCGTACAGGCCGCAAGCAAACGGAACCGCTGAGCGCATGGTGCAAACAGCCACTCGCGCTCTGAAGATGTACGTGCAGGATCTGGATCAGCGCGATTGGGACGACTACGGTGAGCGTCTCACCTTCGCACTCATTACCGCCCAGGATCGGATCCGAGGAGAGACACCATTCTACTTGGTACACGGCTGGGATCCTAGATCCACGCTCGAGGCTACGATCCCGGTAGGCAGCACTCGCCGTCAGGATCGGGGTCCGCGGCGGTGGCGATACCAGATCCAACGCCATCATCAGCAGGCACGGGCAGAAGTCAACGCACGACTGCAAGAGGCGATCTCGGATCGGGCGGACCGGCACAATGAAGAGGTCCGTCCGCACCAGATTGAAGTTGGATCCAGAGTTTGGTTGTATTTGGATCGGGTGAAAGATATGCTCGCAAGTTGGCTCATATGTGGCACGGTCAGTTCCGCGTGGCGGAGAAGGTGGGAGAATACGCTGTGCGGATCGAGACCCCTGGCACGGAGTACCGGCTGTTCCCCGTGGTGCATGTTTCCAAGTTGAAGCTTGTGAAGAATTTCCCAGACCGACCCCAGATCCAGTTGACCGAAGGCACTACAAAACGATACGACTTTGATGAAGCACTACTGCCGGAAGACAGCTGGATCCAGGATCTAGGTGAAGATGAGTACGAAGTGGAGAAAATTACCGACATGAGGACTGGAAAGCGCACTAGGTACGGCCGGATCCACCGTGAATTCCTGGTACACTGGCGTGGATACGAAGATCCATCCTGGGTAGATGAGGCACATCTCAACTGTGGATCTATACTGCACGAGTTCCTGCGAAGTCGCACCAACCGGATCCGGTTCGGTGCGATGCAGTCTCACGAAGAGCAGTGAGACCGGAATCCCCCAGAGTGGGTTGGCCACTTTGGGAGAAGAATGTGGTGATGGATCTGCAAGGAGGTTGCAGATCGATGGATTGGGGACTCTGTATATATGCATGGAATAATCGGACGTGAGTGGTGTCCGACAAGGTGGAATTAAGACAAAGCTGAGGGTGGTTGGGATCGCTGGTGTGAGTGCGTCTTTGGGTGCTGATTCGACAACTAACAGCATGGTCATCCTGGCGCTCGTGCTCGTGGCGCTGGCCAGCGTGGGCTGCATCATCACTTACTCTGCGTGCACACGCGCGTGATCAAGTACTCGCAGCGCGACCACGGCGCCATCCCGGCGTCGTACTTGATTTTCCGCCGATTCGTGTTCATCTTCACGTCGGTGCTGTTGTTCCTGGCGCAGGTCACGGGTTCGGAGCCGTCACCAAGGTGCTGACGCGCTACACAAGCAGGAGGAGTCGATTCTGGGATGGTACCGGTGTAGCATCCGCTACTTGCAGTACGAGAAGCTGGAGAGCGGCATCTGCTTTCAGGTGGCGGACGAGCAGGTCAAGAAGGCCTAGCACCACGTGCTGGTCGAGCATCACCCGGATATGACGGCAAGACTGAGAACGATCCCAACTACCTAATCCTGCAGAAGGCGTACATAAGAAGCGCGCGTGCGAGTCGAATTGCGGCTTCAATGACTCCTCAATCCACTGCTTCGCAACTTCCGGACCGCGCTATATAGCCTCGCGGATCTTCTGTTGGATCGTCACCAGCTGATTGAGTTCACGCTCGAGCCGCACACGGCCAACAAAACGAACCCCCGCGCTTGAAATGAACCTAGACACAGCATACTACGTCTAGCTAGATACTTCCCGTCGATACTCTCATTCACTTTCACTACTCCGCAGCTTTACTCATAAGGGCATAAGTGAATCTCATGATTGACTTCTCAATATCTCGGCCACGCTAACAAAAACTCTAAACTCACGCGGAGGCGGCCTCCGCAACCCTGCAGGCTACGGAGGCCGGCGGGCCTTGCGGCCCACGAATACCGGTCAAGCCGGAATCGGGAAAGCGGGAAGTGGTCAATTTGGTCAAATTGGTCAAAGTGGTCATAAGTGGTCCCGGGAATTCGACCATCCTGGAGGCCATGAGACGCCTTTAAATAACTTCTCGATAGTGTCTGCTTCCACGTATCGCGGATAGTTTCGTATTTTATAATCTTTACAGAAAGTCTCAACTATACAAACTCTAACTACGACTTCCCAACCCGGACAATACTGGAGCGGATGGTAGAATCATAAGCGTCATTTATTTGTGCAACAAACCTAACTCTCCTTACGTCTGATACAATCCGCTGACGCGGGCGAGCTACTCCGCCTTGGCTTCTTCGTCCTTGGACTCGTCATCGGTGAGCTCCACGCGCTCCATGTGTTCCTCGAGGTCGCGAGCAACCAGTTCGTCGAGGCAGTCCTGCGTCCATAAGTTGCGACGAGCGAGCGTCAACAGACGAGCCTCGTCCGCGGTGATGAAGGCCCACGCGGACGCTGGGTTGTTGTTGTCGCCTTGCATGAAGCACCAGGCGGGGCCGAAGCAGGCCTTGACAGCACGCGGGCTGCTTGGATGGTTGCCTGCGCATGGCTGCGTTGGGAGGCGGGCGAGGTTCGTGAACAGCTCCACGTCGGGTAGCGGCATCTTCGAGGAGGATCTTGGAATGCTGTGAGTTTCAGAAAATCCTCTGAAATTCAGAGCCGGGATTCGTACTTAGGCTGTGAATTTCAGAGACCTTTCGCGAATAGGTGCGATCCCAGTGGTCGCGCGATCTTATCATATCTTCCGAGTCGGTCGATCGGATTTGCAGGGATAAAAAAATTCAACGACAGTCGGTCTAACTACCGAAATCGCAATTAGACTGTGAGTGTGGAAAACGCAAAAGTGGAGATATGGCACATCTTAAAAGTCTACTTTTGAATACAGAGACTTAGCAATTGTGTAATGACATGTCATGCAATCCAGAATGCGTGAGTAGTGAGTATCCAAAAAACACGAATCTCGCTCACATATTTCCATTTCTTCTATACCCCCCCCACATATGACTAATATTATATTATACTATGACTTTTTCTATACTCACATACTCACAAATATATATGATTGAATTGATTACTCATAGACCTTCTAGATAGCGATTTCGACAATGGAGTGTGAGCATGGAAACACTTACTCACAACAATCTTTCCAAACTCACACGGTTTCGATGTCGAGAGAGACTCTGCGCGCTAGACTGGAGACGAATAACTGCCGCCAGATTACCACGCCAAATGGTTCCATGCTCACACCGATTTCGATACTCAGAGCCACTCTGCGCGAACCACATCACAAAGCAAATATCCGAGGATACAAAAAAAATAATGTGCAATTGCTGGAGCAAGCCACGCGGTTTGGTACTCTATCCTCGTGCGCTTGGGCTTACAAGACATCAGGGAGGATTATTCAATGGTTGTGTGTCGATCGACACGGATCCGTGATATCTATGCCAAGGCATCCACCGAAACTGATGGTCGAGAAACTCGCCAATCGGTGAGTCTGGCTTGAAGATGAGCTGCTTCGCGAGCCACAGACAGTAGCCGTGATCGCGCTTGAAGCCAGCGTAGATGCACTCACCGCGATGCTTTCCAAATGGGAGTGTTGTACTCAGTTCAATCTATATCATACGGAGAATACTTTGTCCGATATTAAAATAAATTCAATTCAACGAGAGATGCTTAATCGGTTCTGTGAACCTCTCCTGTGAGACGGTCGATCTCAAGCTCACGCTCGTAAACAACAAGTACGAGGAGATCCATACCGGTAGCCGAGCCGTTGATGCCGCTGACCTGAATCGCCTGAGGTACATGCTTCTGGGTGAGACGAGACGTATCGGCTACGAGAATGCGCTGAGCCATCGACCACTTAACCGAGTCAATCAGGCCGTTGCTGACCTCCTGGCTCAGATCACCGTTAATAGCTCCTAGCTTGCTGAACTCATGCTTGAACGACTCAAAATCGTACTCCTGGCTCTTGTCGAAGACATTGCTGTTGCCAATGGTTACCTGGAAATTGCGGATGGAAGCACCAGGCATGCATGTCCAAGGCGCGCTGTCGAAGGGGGATTGATACTGAGGCGTACCAGCAGACGATACGAAGTGTCCAGCCGATGTTTCACTGAACGGGATCAAAGCTACGTACTTCACATTCTTCTTGTATCCAGAGATGTTGAGATCGAACGGAGCATTCAGCTGGCCAGTGGGGATATCAGGAGACACTCCAGCGGCTTTGCGGAACATTTGTGCAAAGCAATCAAGGTAGCGAACAGTCTTGATCGGCTTCTGGATGATTGGCGCGGGGTTCTTGAGCGCGTAGAACGGAATGTGGAGCCTCGAGTTCGTGTATGGGAGATACTCACCGACCGAAGCAGTCGGAGTAAATGCATTTCCAAGCGGGCCGAACGTGAACGACAGCTGAGAATTAGCAGTAGTCAGCACATCATTCATGGGATTAGCCGCAGCAGCACTTGCAATCATGATAGGAACCGTCTGATCAGAGGTCATGGTGACAGAATCAAGCTTCATTTGATTCACGTTGCCAGATACAGCAACCGTACCAGCATTGATACGAAGACGGATCTTCAACTGCGGGGTAGAGCATAGATCTAGCTCCTTAAAAATCGGATGCAAATCGACGAGGCGGATCTTAAGCATGTGAAACCACTTACCAACGACCTTATCAACTCCATACGACGTAGCATCAGACTCCTTAAAACAGCCACGACCATTCTGCTGTAGAATTTGCTTGCTAGCAGTAGTTCCCATGGAAGTCCAAGAGAAAGATCCGGTTGCCTCCGTCGAGTCGATTTGAGGAGGAGTATTCAGCGCGCGCTTGAAAAATCCAGGATTGTGAACATACGGCTCCTGTGTTTGCGAGAGAGTGTTATCAAGCTTGGCTTCAATACCAATTTGATTGTTGCTATAGCCATCTCCATTACCAGAAACAGCTTTGGTGAAGTTGATGCTCGACCAAGTATCCGGATATAGATGCATGTCAGCACCATGCTTGGCTACCTCGTCCTGCGAAAGTTCCGTCATAGCACGGAGATTGTTCCAGAAGCCCTTGTACTCAGTTTCAGTGATTACTTTTTTGCCGTTAAGTTCAACCGTCAGCGAGTCGATAACGTTGGCAACGTTGCATTTGAGCGCACATGCAAATCGAGGAATAATCTTCGCATTTAGATCCGCCGTGCCAGTCGATTTGGCGGTAATCACATACGGTAGGGTGAGATAGGCCTCCTTGAGGCTAGCAAATCCACGCGATCCGGTAAGCTGAGAAGTAGCATCAATCTGAATCAAGCCAGAGTTGTAAGAACCCTGGTTGCCATCATAGACAACCGAGATGGTCTTGCCCTTGCTGACATCGATAGGCGATTCGGTCTTGAGAGCCGACTGGAGTAGATAAGCGTCTGTTAATTGAGTTGTGTCAGACATGGTGATAAGTATATGTCAGCTGATATAGATAGTCCATACAAAAAAATAATTAAATGGAGCTTGTTAAAGGCGTTACCTCAGACCATGACTTGCTCGCACTCGCTAAGCGGATTGGAGTCCGGATCAATGGCATATACGAGCTTTCCGAGATCCGGAAGCCACTCCCCTCGAAGGGGTCATATCTTATCCTACTGCGTACGAGCCCTGGAATCGGCCATTGGACTGCTGTGTGCGATGGTAGTTATTTTGATAGCATGTCTGTCGGACCGCCGAACGTATTAGGTGATCTGGCATACTTCGACATGCAAATCCAAGGCTCATCGGACGAATATTGTGGAATCTTCTGCCTGTTATGATTATACGCCAAGCAGCATGGGCAAATGCATCTAATGGATAGGTTTGTTGATCTCGATATCGATTACGTCGATAATTAATTTTCTGAAATTTTAAATCCCTGCCTAACTATACTATTAACGACGATGTACAAGGAACTGTCCATTTCGAACTCAATCCCCGAAAAGCTCTTCGCAGTGCAGTCAAGACTGGCAACCTATCGCTGACTAAGGCTGATCTAGCCGGCTCTGGCGGAAAGCTACATCTGCACCCCGAATCATATGATAAGGTCATGCAAGCTAAGAAGGCCGGCAAGGGCTCTCGAGTCAAGATCACCAAACACGATATCCAGTACCCCATGGAGGCAAATGGAGGCAGTATGCAAGCTGGAAGTATCTGGAGTAAGGTGTGGAACGGCATCAAGAGTGCCTGGAGGCCTGTAATCAAGCCTGCGCTGTCGGCTGCCGCGGATGGACTCGCCAGCATGGGATCGGCGTATGTAGCGAGCCAAGGCAAAGACCCTGCTCTCGTAGGTGTTGCCCGAGGCGCTCTGAAGCGATTTACGGGTATCGGCGTTGCTGAGGCTAAGCCCTCTCGCCGTAGCCATCCAGCGAAGGGATCCCCCGAGATGAAGGCGAAGGTGGCTCGCCTTCGCGCTATGCGCAAGGGTGGTAGCTCTAAGCGAGCTGGAAGCTTCCGTTTGTCATAGTTAAAAAAAACCTCACTGTTTTTTTAACCCGCTACGAGCGTTTCTGCCGGACGATCAGACTGATCAGCATGTTTGTATCGTTCAATTTAGCGAACCTGCCCTCTTGATCAACGATCGTTAGAGTGATGCTAGCATATGATCCGTTGGGAACATCGACCCAACAGAACTCATTTGGCTGGTAGCTTACTAGCTGACCGATAGTCGTTCCTGCTGTGTTGAAAGTAGTGAGAATATCGTCTGGAATGCAAAATGGATTTGATACTAGGGAACACCGCATCTGATATGAGCTGACAGGATTGATCTGAGGCGGAATCGGAGATAGCACAGACTGGAGCATGTATAGACTCCGACTGGGGGTCGTTCCCAGTGGGAAACCGATGATTTTGCCAAACTCCTCGTTATCGATAACGAGCTTGGGGACATACGAGTATCCAAGCGGCAGACCGGTTCCACCGCTCGAGGAGAGACCAGAAGGCGGGCGAGACCATCCAGCGGGAAGGCTCGTCGGAACCGGCGATAGATCGACTTGGCACGAGTAATAGGTTGGGGTTTCGCTGCTATTGGCGTAAAATACGTTATCGCCATCAGCGTAGATTAGATACGCACCTGCTGAGATCATAGCTGATTGCATAGCTGAGTTGATTGCACTATATGAGTAGTATCCGCTCGGAAGGGTGATCTGCACAGTACTGTAGGTGTTTCCTGTGGGCATTGAAAGCTTGAAGCTATTGTTTCCATATGCTGATGGATTGATATTGAATTGACTGTTGCACATGTTGATTGAGTGCATAGCCAATTCGCTGTTAGTAAAATTAACGCTACTTCCGGGAAACTCATAGCGCAGGGTGTTGTTGTATGAATTGGGGACTATGTGATGCGAGCTGAGAGTGATGATGTTTGACATGGTTGATTATATGTCAATAGTTATAATATTCGGTCGATATTAATTATTACACTGGTAGAGCCTTGCTCAATAAGCAAGCTTAGAGCCTTTGGCTCGAGGCTCGCGCCTCTTGCCGTCAGGCTAATCTTGATAGATCGGTTTCTCGTTGAAATTATACCTCAGAACACTTCTAACGTTATCTACGAGCAATGCTTGATCTTTCTCTCTAGTGGCCGCATTGTAGGCTCTAATTAGCTGCTCGAGCGTAAGACCGGGAAGACTAAAATCAGAGATGACCATCTTCAGATCGCGTCGGCTGTTTGCTTTGAGAATCCACAAATATTCGCTATTTAGCCTTATAAGTTTGTCAGTACTGAACCAACTATGCGTTAGGAACAGCGTAGACAGCCGCTTGTGGCGCCCTCTGATGAAGTAATGACTGAATAGGTCTTTTTGGAGCTTCTTGTCCGAGCTGTAGTCATCAATGATAACGAGCTGAATACCACCTCGCGGATCCTTCTGGATATCATCGACGCTTGGCGGTGTCGATGGGTCATATACTGTGATATAGCCCGCAAGTTTCTCCTTCATATAATTGTACAAATCCTGGTCTGGGTTGCGTGCAATCAGATGCAGATGGCTAAAAACGTTTGGTGCGTTCTTGACGATGTGATAGCCTAGATTCGTCTTACCTGCGTTGCTGGGAGCTAGGATAATTCCTCGGAAGAGCTTTTTAATCCCGAGTTGCTTAATATCGCCGAGAGAGTCTGAGCGGAACTCTTTCGGGAGAGCGGCTCCCCAGTTATCAATCCTATTAACCATTGTGGAAAGTATATATATCTAGTGATATATAACTCGCCAACAAAAAATGGGTTTCACAGCTCGGCCACCATCTCAAGAATCGAATATTTTTAACCTAACCTTCTATGCGGTAGGCACAGATGTTCTAAGCCTTGAAATGGCTGATTCATTGTATCTCAGTAAGACTGACTCTCGGTTGAGTTATCTCAGCTCGATCACGATGGGAGTGGCTACTCCGATGTCAGCCCTGGTGCTTGATATCAATCTCGATATAACAGGTATCAATTCGATCAGTTGCAGCTCGTTGAAGCTGAACGGCTCTAACGTCGATCTCAGCAGCCACTCACTACTAAGCGCGAGCCCTGGTACCGCAAGCAATAGTAAAGCGCTTATTGTTGGACCTACTGGTCAAATCGGAGGTCTATCATCGCTTACAGCCACTTCGATCACTGGTACACTACAGACCGCAGCACAGCCCAATATCACATCGATTGGCACTCTAGCATCGCTTACAGCCACTTCGATTATTGGTACTCTACAAACCGCGGCACAGCCTAACATCAGATCGATTGGCATGCTAGCATCGCTTACAGCCACTTCAATTACTGGTACGCTACAAACCGCTGCGCAGCCCAATATCACATCTGTAGGTACATTGAGTGGACTAACAATTGCTGGCAATCTCTCTTTTACCGGAGCGAGCCGAATGCTGACAGGACTTAATTCAATTACTGCAGCATCGATTTCAGGCACGCTACAGACCGCGGCTCAGCCTAATATCACTTCTGTCGGAACTCTAGGTTCGCTTACAGTTTCCGGAGGAATCACTGGTACTCTACAGATCGCTGCTCAGCCTAATATCACTTCTCTCGGAACTCTAGGTTCGTTGAGTATAAATTCTGTTTTTGGCAAAGGATTGGTCATTCAGAATGAAAGTACTACATCGACAGCCAGTCTCAATATCGTGAGCTATTATCAGATGGAGCAAGGCATACGAGGATCGGCTAATGCCAGCTTGCCCAATACTTACTTTTGGAGTTTCGCAAATACCGATAGGCTGCTGATGGACATCAACGGCAATCTGGCTGTTGGCCAAGCTAATATTAATTCATACTATAAACTCGATGTAGCCGGTGCTATCCGCGGGTCTAGCTTCGTTCAAGGAAGTACTACTTACGATCTCTCTCTAATTCCTCGATTATCACTAACTACTCTAGGAACGGTTGAGGCAAGCAAGGCGCTTGTAGCTGATGCTTCATATGGTATTACCGGATTGAGATCCCTCTCAGTAGTTGGATCGGGTCTCTCGAAGTCTCTCGTCATTCAAAATGACACTACTACATCAGCAGCTAGCATGGACTTTGCGAGCTTCTACCAGGCCGAATTGGGTGTTCGCGGGTCAGCGAATACCTAGGGAGCAAATCAGTTCTTTCTCAAATATGCTTTCTCAGACCGTCTGATCATGGACACAAGCGGGAACATCAATATCGGAGGCTCTTCTATTAATACCAGCTACCTTCTAGATGTCAATGGCGCGCTCAACTGTTCATCGCTCACGATTGGAGGAGTACCAATCTCGCCGCAAACGAATATTCTATCGATAACGCCTGGGACGACGTTTTCAACTACAACGAGGGCAAGCGATTTCAATCTTAGTATTCGCAATCAAAACAATACTGTTGGTGCTCAGGCCGGAATATCGTTCACGATTGAAGGTACCAGTGTTACGACAACGTACACCCCTAGCGTTAATCTGTACTGTACGAGAACCGCTACGAGTACTCAATATTCAATGGCTGATTTTGCAATCAGTACAAAGTCAGGAGCTAATGCATTATCACCAATGTCTGAACGCATGCGTATCACTCAGGCAGGTTATATCCGTTTTGGATAATCTACATCAACCGCAAAAATGGATATCACATCAAGCGCTAATCTACTATCCGGTAGCTGGCAGCGCGCGATGCGCATAGCTAATGATCAATCGACCCCTATCGAATTCGAGGTACAGATCTACAACGATGTGGCTGGCGGATCTAACGGCGTTGCTCTCGGCACTACTACGAGCGATCCGCTACGTCTCATGGTAAACAGTAGTACTATTGCTTACCTCAACAACTCTGGACGAATGGGAGTTGGTGTCACATCGCCAGAAGCTACCATACACTCTGGCGGAGAGGTATGGGTCAACAATTTCATGTACATCAAGGGAGGCGGAGATGGGTTCGCTAGGTACCGTTTCAATTGGAGCCAGGCTAACTACCCGGCCATTGGCTCTGACTCGACCGTAGGTGCTATCAGACTAGGAAGCTACGATGCAAACTACAATTGGGTATCATATACCCCGGTGCGAGGTGGTAGCTACACTAATGCTTCGGACAAGAGGCTAAAGACAGACATTGTAGACTGTCCATGTGGCTTGAATACAGTTATAAAGATGAAGCCAAGGAAATTCACTATGATACAGGAGCGTACCTCTCATGTAGGATTCATAGCGCGAGAATTATACGAAATCGCCCGAGAGGCAGTTGATATCGGAGCAAACGATGATTTAAATCAAGAAGGATTTCCAATTAACCCATGGGGAATTGATCTAGCTAGCCTGACATCGGTTTTAGCGCGAGCGATCCAAGAGCAACAAGGTCAAATCGAGGAGCTAAAAAAAGAGCTTGCTCAGCTTAGAGAGCTTACAGCTTAAACGTGCGGCTTTTTTTGGGTTCAGAGTATGTCCAAACGCTACCACCCGGTTTGGAGGCCTTAAACGCACTATCAGCGATAGGCGGATCTTTCACTACCAACTTCTCCATGAGCGATTTCAGCTCCTTTAGGCTGCTTCTCGCTTCGCGGTGGTACGCGTTCTTCGTGTCGACGAGTCGAGGGTTGATGAATATCATGATATCTATTCGATAGCAACCAAAACTTCCTTGAATTCATTATCCGAAATCAGCTTTGCTGAATACTTGTCGATCAATACTTGCTTGAGTTCGCGGATCAGGCTCGGGTTGTCATGGCCGAGCATGAGTTCCCCCTTCAGCTTGATGTACTCTTGCCGCAGTACATCGCGAGGATCCTTGATTGCATCGCGTAGCGCGTGTTGGGTATGTGTGATACGCAGTAGCTCGTGAAACACTCGTCGATCATCCACGGACATCGAGTCGTAGAGCTGTTGGTCGATATTGCCATCGAACACGAGAGTCTTGATCAACTGAGATAGATCATCGCTGATCTTACGCTGAGGACCGACCGTCGAGCGGTTCGGGTATACAACCTTGAGGAGGCCATCGTTGAGCTTGAGCAAATGCACGAACTTGGTTCCAATCAGCTTGTACGCGAGAGCAGAGGCGGTTCCCGAGCCCTCTAATTGAGCGAGATTGTACCCTCGGTTGGAGTGATGTCCATCCTTGTCTCGGAGGTCCTGCATGCGCTTGACATATCCGGCTCCCTTGAGGCCCCGTCCGCGGACGGCCGGCTTCATTTCTAGATCCTCCATAGTGATCGGACAACTGTTGTCAGGAATGATAATATTAAACTTACGAAGACTGCCTCTAACCTGTCTCAGCTTCTCCTCAAAACGATGTTCTCTGAGTAAGTCTGGATGGTCTCCATAGAACTTAACAGCCTGGATTAGATAATCGAGAACGCCTTGGAACGTCAATGCCCAGCTTAGATTCATACGAGACAGTGCTTCGGGCGATGCGAGCTGATCCACCGTCAGATTCGGCGCTTTGCCTTTAATTTTTCGGATAGCTCCATTTAGGTCGATATAATATCCATTAGGATCGTATTGCTTGTTAAGCTTTGATACAGCCGGGGGTAAATACTCCTAAAGAAGCCAAGGGTTGTCAGTATATAGATCATAAACGAGTTTCTTATAGTCGCCAGCTGCTTCAGTCATATTCACATCAGTTCCGACTGTTCGACTAAGTTCGTTAAGATTCGGTCGCTTCTGATCGATAATGAGATTGGATACAGTGCTATCCTCTAGTGACCGCTTCGTAGCCGTTCTTAAAGGAGTACCAGACGTATCGAGCACGATATCACGGTTCTGAGCCGATTGGAATAGGAATTGAAGTGTATTGGCCCATGACAGACGCTCCTTCTCCATATTATTCGATACTCGATGATTACGTGTTTGACGAACCTTAAAATTGATTGGATCGATGTAGTATCCATCGATTGGAGGAGGCAATCCTTGCAGATCGTCGCTACGACCCAGCGCATAGAAACCTTGTTTGTCATTGAAATCATGCAATAAATTAGCTTTGATAACATTCCAATTGCTATTCACGATCTGGGTAAAGATCTGTTTCGAATCGCGATTGATATCATCGCTTCGCGAACCCTCGATAGATTCTCATTGACTATCTGATTCACCATGTCGTTCAATGCTAAGCGAGACTCTCCCAATCGATTACTATCAAGCTTGTCCTCTCGCACAATCTCATCCTTGATTGAGTTGAGCGCTTTAAAGCTCTCAAATAATCTTGGCATATCCGCATTGAGCTTGAGCCCATCGAATACCTTACGCTGAGTATCTAGCTTTTCCCGTAGATCTCGCGCTTTGACATAGCCATCAACTAATCTTATACGATCAAGGATGTACTCGAGTGTAGCTTCCCAGTCGATTTGCTCAATCAAATCCTCCTGTTTGTCCTTACGTACAGCTTGCCGAGAGCTACGATGGTATAGCTTAGCACCTGGTCCGAGGAAGAACAAATCACGCTGAGATTTTGCATTGCCGTCCTTGACTAGCATCGGATCGAAGAGCGGATGGAGATCCCATGTAGCAACATCCGGCATGTTAGTTAATAGCTCAACAACAGCCTGATATGATTTTGCTTGTCTATCCTCGCGTTTGGACACAGCCTCCTCCATCGACGCATCGGGACGATACATGATATGATCAGTATCTAGATTAACCATATCTGAGGCAGCTGTAGATGATACAGTTGCTGGAATGCTAATATCTCCAGTTAGTTCGCTTGGTGGTGTCGTGTCGGTCGACGTCGTAGTGGTAGATGCTGCTTGCGTACCATCGGTTTGCGTGCTGACTCCATAAGTAGTTCTGGCTAGAGGGATAGTAATCGCTTCATTATCGGCTGCCCACAAGGTCTCCGCATATCTATGCGATAGATGCCTATCGATAGCGAGCTCGCGTTCAGCCTCGCGCAGTAGCTCCTGGCGCTTGCGCTCTCGCTGAGATAGGCTATTGAATGATGGAAACATCGTTCTTTTATAGTCTATCTGATATCGTTTTGGCAAAAAATATTAATTCTTGCGATCAGTAGGTATTTCGCAAGAATTACTGCTGATATCGTTTTCGCAAACCCATATTTTTGACGCGGGGCAAAGCCCCCGTCCTAGAGCCGTTTCTGCCATCTAGTGTATGTGGATGGACCAATTGATTCCGTAACGCAAGCAGTCTATCATACTCATCATGAGCAGCAGAAGCGTTCATGCCAAATAAATCTTCAATCTCGGCCTTGTAGAACGAGCTATCCATGATTCCTCTGTATGGTCTATCATGGCCTCCGATCTTTATCAATTCAGACTTGTAGAAATCAACTTTTGGGATGATCGAGAGCTTATCGTTGAGTTCGTTAGTGATCTCCAAATATCGACGAACGCGCTCGTGCATCTTTGATAGCTCCATGCGGTACATTTTAATCTTAGCATCCTTGTCGTGCTGAGCACAGTATCCGGTTTTAAGAGCATTGCGAGAGCATGGGGTGTCGCTTTTAGTGAGTGCTCGGCATGAAGTCATCGTAATTTTATCGCAATCTATATATATACTCAATCACATAAATTTACGATGGAGGACGAAATTGAATATATCGATTCAGAAGATCTAGATACATCCGGAGTCTATGACAATACCGTATCAAAGAGGATGCCGAGGTTGAATCACAAAAAATTGCTGATCTCGCAAAAGAGTCATGATCGCCAGATCCGAGCTCAAACGATTGCTGACAAGCGAGTTCGAGAAAGTAGAACCGATTCTGGATACCAAATGGAACTTCAAGAGCCTTACAATCTAAAAAAATATTTTTTGCTTAGTCAGAGTATCCTCGCCGCTGCCAGTTATACAGTTGGCCAGTAAATACACCATGGAGAAGCTTGTGGTGTAGCTCCTGGCGCTCAGCTTGAGTCATGCGCTGATAGGCTGGATCCTCCTGAATCTTCTTCTCCCAAGCATGCCTGAAGCTATTGATCGTCTGAGGTCTGTTGAAGACCTTCTCACTGTTTCGAGAAACAGCCTTCGGGAATGCATCTCTATTAGTACTGATCAGCGATACATCCTTGACAGGGCTGAGCTGATATATGAACAGATGCTCAGGCTTCGATCCGAGCAGTCTTCCGAGCAGATCAATCCAGTACTTGAGATAACGCTTGAGGTGAATGTTTTCAATCTCGACGATATGAGCCCCGAAGGTCTTACGGTTCTTGAAATCGTTCATATGCAATCGGATACGACCTCCGCGAAGTACTTGGATCCAGTTGAGCTTTGGATCTAGTCGATTGACAGCGGCTGAGGTGATCTTCAGCGTACACCAATCAGCGCGTAGAGCAGGTTGATATACGTAGCAGGCGAGCATCATGCATCGCTGGAGATCGCGGGCGAAGCTCTTGATGTTCTTACGATCGCTCTGGATGTCCCATCTGGCAAAGTCGGCATCACTGATCTTGGCGGCCTTGTGAGACATATCATAGCTAGCGAATAACTCGTGAATGTGCTTCTCAAGCTGCATAGTCATTCCATCGATGCTGAGATAGTTGATCTGCTGCTTGTCGGTTGCGACATTGTTCAGAGAGTCCTTCTTGGATTTGTCCCGAGCGCGGTTAGCTGCTGCTTGTCGGTTGCGACATTGTTCAGAGAGTCCTTCTTGGATTTGTCCCGAGCGCGGTTAGCTGCTGACTGAAGCTTCTGCCTCGCATCATCACTGACGACATGTCGAGCGGCCTTCGTATTAGCGAGCGCTAGAGGGTGAAACAGGTATGTTTTCTTTCCTTCAGCGTTCTTGCTCTCGTTGATGTGGCGAATGACATTCGAGTAGCTGTTCAGATATGAGAGGTCATTGGCGTTTCCACCGATGTCGCGATACTGCTTGAATAGAAAATTAACTCTGTTCTTGAGGGTCGACGCAGCGACGCGCTTGCCGGTGCTGAGAATTGGATGAAGTCGTCGCGGGTGAGCATGGTAAGTCGGACAGGAATATATAATATAGAGACAAACCTCTAAATAGAAAATAAATTAGCTGATTGGGTTCAGAGATAAAAAATATACATACAATCAAGTGGACGATGTCTAATCATCACTCACCAACCTCTAAATAGAAAATAAATTAGCTGATTGGGTTCAGAGATAAAAAATATACATACAATCAAGTGGACGATGTCTAATCATCACTCACCAATTTGGTTTGGCGAGTATCTGGCATTAATGATGTACTCAGCCTTGGATCGGTTGCCGCGCGAGTACTCACTACAGCAGTTCGCAGTATGCTTCTTGCGGCATGACTTGCAAATGTTTTCAGCAACGAATTTGATACGAGGATCAGCGCTAACCACTGAATGAACGTCCATGGCCTGCTTAGGCGACTTGGACATGCTGTATTTCTCCTTGACGTATGCTCGAAACATTCTTGTGAGGTCAGCCTTAGGGATCTTGCATGGCTCTTGCCCCTTGACTGGCTCAACATATTGGATGTGAGCCTTAGAAAATTGATAGCTCTCGTTGATTTAACCGCGAAGCATGTCTCGGCTGTCAATGAAGTGCTGAGGAGCAAATGTATAGACATTCTGACCAGCATGCTCTTTGCAGAATCTCAAATACGTCGACCGACACTTGTGAATGAATGTTGCAAACTCAGACGCTTTGATTTTCTTTTCAAGCTGATTGTCCTTTTCTTCATCAGGGATGACATTGGTGAAGTGTGGGATCAGGATACGACGTACAATCTCACCAGAGGTGTCGGAATAATTGGGAAGGTCGTTGCTATTGATAAGAGTGGGGATATCCCACGAGTCAACCTCGATAGAGGTCTTGCCCTTGACAGGACATGAAATACGACCACGACTCTGCATTGACAGGAAATCGGATTTGGGTAGCGTCTTAGCGATGTTGCGAGGCATGTCTTCGGATAGCACAATCTGCCTGTCAGCTAACTCGGATAACCCAAACTTGTCCTGAAAACTGTTTCCCAGGGTTCCTACTTGATCAGGGCCGAATGCATAGGAAATCAAATTAAGCAGCAAACTCTTGCCAAAACCGCCAACTCCAACAAGCATGACCATGAAATCAAACTTGTCGTTGATCTTAGTCAGAGCTCGTCCGAGCATGAAATGGATAAACTCGATGACATCTGCATCATCGAACTGATATGAAAAGTATTTGTCGAGTAGAGGTGTATCATCGATGATAACCCAATCAATATCATAATACACACGCACTTGGATATGTTTTGGAATATCGTCGCCTGAGCTGAATGAAGCATCCTTCAGACTGTAGACGCCATTTTTAAATCCCATGAAATCATGGTCTATCTTCATGAATGGAAACTCTGGACGAGCTGTGTCCTTGATGAAATGGAGCAGCTCTTTATGCTCTGACTGAGAGCACATCTGATACATCCCATTATCGAGAAAGATGTGATTAAGGAACTCCTTGGGGTCGTTGAATCTACGAACGTAGTAGTAGGCTGTTTTCTTCTCATAAATGGTACCTGTAGAAAATGCTCGTCGGTATGTATCTTTTGCGATATCGATAATCTTCTCCTTCAAAATCACAGCCGTTTTCTTCTTTGAGCCGGTCTTCTCAGCATCATCTGCCTCGATAGGATCAGGTTCATATGTAGATTTCCAGATCTTGTACTTATCAGTGTTGGCACCTCCGGCGGCAGCCTTGAGCTTACCAATATCCATCGCGACTGGGGGTACTTAGTGTTGGGGCCATCGGTGTCATATGACATCATGGATACCGTCTCACTGAAGTATTCACCATGGTGGAAACTCATAATCGCAGCAAACGTCCGGCGCATGAGCATAACATCCTTACCGGGCATCTGGTACAGCATGCGAGTATAGTTGTTCAAGTTCTTGCGATCATCGAGGAATCTAGGCGGTAGCAAGCAGCACAGGTCGTACAGGTACTCATCGTAATCCTTAGTCTTGATGATGATCAGCTGCCGAATGGGATTTTAGGGTTTCACGCAGCGTCTTGTGAATGTAATCATATTTGTTTGAATCGAAAATCACTCTAATAGCTTAATTAATTAAGGAATCTAGGCGGTAGCAAGCAGCACAGGTCGTACAGGTACTCATCGTAATCCTTAGTCTTGATGATGATCAGCTGCCGAATGGGATTTTAGGGTTTCACGCAGCGTCTTGTGAATGTAATCATATTTGTTTGAATCGAAAATCACTCTAATAGCACCCTCGCGCTCCGGGAGCGGCTGGGTATTCTCATCACAGGTATAAAATGCATACGAGAGGCAAAGCATAATATCCGATAAGACTGGCTTCTCGGATTGAAGATGAAACGCCAGCGGATGGCCATCGGCAATCATCACTCGGAATGCCAGGTTATACAAGTGGAGAGTAGACATGATGTCGTGACTGTTCTCCATATGAAAATCACAATTAAATATTGACGAGAGGCAAAATTGAGGTAGCTGTGAATTAATTTCAGACGGCTCCGACTTTGGTTCCATCAATATAGGTGGCTGAGGCTGAGCGGCAGGGATAGAAGTTGAGTTCGGAGACATGGTGGGGGCTATATTTTCGAAGAGAATTTCCTTCTCGTCGGCAATTAATTCAGCCTGATCATCATTTTTTTGTGGGGCGTATCCGCGTTCAGCCTGCATCTGCTCCTTGCGCGAGACGGATTCACGGCCATAAAAATCGCGAACAGAATCATCGACTCCGCCACAAGCCTTGATAAGGCCGATGACGTGGCCAATATTGGTCTTCGGAGTGCCAATATTTTCAGAGGTCATGATCTGAGCCATTACCTCATCAGTATTGTCGAGGAAGGCAATATTGGTTGCCTCGGGCGCAATAGTAGATCGAAGGTTCTCAGCATAGAGAGCACGCTTGTTAATAGTGTTCTCGCTAGCACCGGCCTCAGCGAGAGCGGTACGTACGACAGAGTCAAATGAATCCTCAGCAATGGGTTCGGCGATGGGCTGAGCAACAGGCTCAATGATGGGTTCGGCGATGGGTTCAGCCGGCTTCTGGTTCAGGTGCTGCGAGCACCATTCAGCCTTGCGGCTGCACTGCTTTCCGGTCTTGGTAATTCCGCGGCACATGGGATGGGGTGGTTCGATGTTATGAGTCGATGGGTTTTATATACTCTAGTATCCTTCGCTCAAGATCAACGGTTTTTTTATCCTCCGATCTGGCCAAAAAAAAGATGTTGCACATAGTCGAGGGTTACTCGATCGGCACGTCGACCGCTACTCGGCAGGCACGACGACGCTCTCTACGTCGCTCACAGATCTCATCTCGGTGAAGAGCGTAGTACGCCTTCTGCTTGGCAATGCGCTCGTCGCGCTTCTCATCATAGTAGCGCCTCATAGTCGCTTGTTGACGCTCCTTGTTGGCGCGGAGTAGTCTGGGTTGTACTTGGTTGGCATAGTGTTTGTATACTAGTGAATGGTTCGCTTAAGATGACACATTTTTGTATCCTCGGATATTTGCTTTGTGATGTGGTTCGCGCAGAGTGGCTCTGAGTATCGAAATCGGTGTGAGCATGGAACCATTTGGCGTGGTAATCTGGCGGCAGTTATTCGTCTCCAGTCTAGCGCGCAGAGTCTCTCTCGACATCGAAACCGTGTGAGTTTGGAAAGATTGTTGTGAGTAAGTGTTTCCATGCTCACACTCCATTGTCGAAATCGCTATCTAGAAGGTCTATGAGTAATCAATTCAATCATATATATTTGTGAGTATGTGAGTATAGAAAAAGTCATAGTATAATATAATATTAGTCATATGTGGGGGGGGTATAGAAGAAATGGAAATATGTGAGCGAGATTCGTGTTTTTTGGATACTCACTACTCACGCATTCTGGATTGCATGACATGTCATTACACAATTGCTAAGTCTCTGTATTCAAAAGTAGACTTTTAAGATGTGCCATATCTCCACTTTTGCGTTTTCCACACTCACAGTCTAATTGCGATTTCGGTAGTTAGACCGACTGTCGTTGAATTTTTTTATCCCTGCAAATCCGATCGACCGACTCGGAAGATATGATAAGATCGCGCGACCACTGGGATCGCACCTATTCGCGAAAGGTCTCTGAAATTCACAGCCTAAGTACGAATCCCGGCTCTGAATTTCAGAGGATTTTCTGAAACTCACAGCATTCCAAGATCCTCCTCGAAGATGCCGCTACCCGACGTGGAGCTGTTCACGAACCTCGCCCGCCTCCCAACGCAGCCATGCGCAGGCAACCATCCAAGCAGCCCGCGTGCTGTCAAGGCCTGCTTCGGCCCCGCCTGGTGCTTCATGCAAGGCGACAACAACAACCCAGCGTCCGCGTGGGCCTTCATCACCGCGGACGAGGCTCGTCTGTTGACGCTCGCTCGTCGCAACTTATGGACGCAGGACTGCCTCGACGAACTGGTTGCTCGCGACCTCGAGGAACACATGGAGCGCGTGGAGCTCACCGATGACGAGTCCAAGGACGAAGAAGCCAAGGCGGAGTAGCTCGCCCGCGTCAGCGGATTGTATCAGACGTAAGGAGAGTTAGGTTTGTTGCACAAATAAATGACGCTTATGATTCTACCATCCGCTCCAGTATTGTCCGGGTTGGGAAGTCGTAGTTAGAGTTTGTATAGTTGAGACTTTCTGTAAAGATTATAAAATACGAAACTATCCGCGATACGTGGAAGCAGACACTATCGAGAAGTTATTTAAAGGCGTCTCATGGCCTCCAGGATGGTCGAATTCCACGTGGAAACTCCCCAGTATCTTTAACAAACCCTTTTAGTGCAGTTGCGAGAAGAAATGATTGCTTTCAGGAATGACCTAGTAAAACCAAACCTAGCAAAATTTGATGTTTTATCACCAAAATAGCCTTTCAACTTCAACGCGTTGTAATTTCCTGAAATAAAAAAGTTGGAAGAGGCATGACCCCCCCCCCCGCATCTGCTATCAGGTTAAACTTAATTTTTTTTTCGCTTAATGACGGAGGGAGGCGTCAGTCGAGAGCAGGGATTTAGATGGGGGTGGGGTTACAGCTGCAGTCATCGGATTTCGAGGGTAACGACGCTACAGCGTCACAGCCGCGTCGACCGTAGACAAGAATACGGTGTGTACCCTCACTACCGACATCTAGGACTCCCTATTACTCCTGAGACATTATGCGCTTATATTATATATTTATAATGTTTCAGAAAACCTTTCACCTTTGAATGGTCAGCTATGGGGAGTATGGCACGTTCGCTGACAATCAGGGAAAACGTGAGCTGATACAGAAGTATGGAGAAGACCCAACGATCACACAAGAAGATTTAGCTGCATATACTAAGGGGGACAGTTAAAGCTTGTCCAGCCCCCCCCGTACACACACCACACCACCACTAAAGAAGAAAGCGCGTGAGATACAAACGAAGGTGGGTGGGCCCGCTATGACGCTGACACTGTCTATGGGCTGGCTCATCCGCTTCTTGAAGCGACACAACTTGTGCTTCCCTTCCGTCTGAAGGGAAGGAGGCTCAGTTAGCTCTGCAACTGTGCATAAGGGAGGGGGTGAACTAAACGGTCTGGTTGGTCCAGCAACGTCTTCAACACCAAAATGTTGCCGCTAGCAGTGATAATATTTCTGATATTTCCAGACGCTCACCAGGGCAAATGTCCTATATTTTTCGCCCCCGCACTTTCGTCGTCTTTGTCAGTGCTTCTTTTTCATCGTCCGAAACACCGGTGAACAAAAGAACGAAGATCGACTGTCACCGAAGAGTCTCCGCAGAGACATCTCATTGCTGTATCTGTACTGCCTTAGACACTTGATAAGGCGTCATACGTAAGATCACTACCGTTCTACTTAATAGTGATATACATCATATCCAGTCTCTGCTCTGTTTTTCATTTGGCCTTTGCAGCCTCGTTCATCTCTGTATTGGGTTGTGGCCCCATCATCGTCAATACTTTTACTGAGTTGCTTGGCTTCACTGAAAACTCAATACAGTAGGTCGTGTCCGAGCGTAGATCACGCTTATTCACTAAGTACGAAACCCACTGATTCCGATCAGCTGCCGAGCATAGCGAAGGCAGCCCCGAAAACCTTATTGAGCGTTGCGGACCCCCAACAGGGCCCGCCTATCCTACATAACTAACCTAGCACGGCGAGTAGTGCAGCGAGCCGACGAGGCGAGCGGAACGGGGGTGCTTGCACACCCAATAGTTTTAACCTATATTTACCGCCGCAAAGCGGCGGCGCTCGGCTAGTCACCTAGATTCAAGAGTTTCGTCTAGCACGAAGCACCTATTATCGCTATCTATTCCACAATAGGTTGTTGCCACTGCGTGGGTAGTGGCAAGTTGCTAAGCAAGGCGAACTTTTCGAGCTACATCAATCCGACCGATTTAAGATTGCAAGGGTATTACCCCTCACACTGGTCTCAATTGCTCTTGACAAACACACAGACTGGCCCCGGAAACGCAACGTGCGTCCCCGCACCGGGATAACGTCCTCACGGACGCGCCCCAATTTCATTAGCTTGTTGTTCTCTGCTCACGTCCTCCACACATCCTTCTGACCCTCAGATGATGGCGCTCGCTTAGCCACTCAGAATCCTACGCCTCCTGGCGCCTGCCCTCTCATCGACTCCATCGGCAAACTCGAGCCGTAGCTCTAGCACTACTCGTCAGCCCTCGCCCGTTGTCCACCGCCGCTCCCCTCACCGCCACCGTCGTCCACCGTCCGTCCGTGCCCCCCTTCAATCTGTTCTCCGCGGTAGACCCGCCTTCGTGTCGGCGGATTCTCAAGTGAGCACGTCCTGGCCTCACGCCGCTGTACTCTCGATCCTCTGGGCCCTCGTGCAACAGATCACTACGTCGCCCTGCCTCGATCTAACCATTGTCTGCTTTCGGTGTGCTAGGTCGTCCCTCCTCCTCGACAATCGCACCGATCGCTCATCTTCAACTAGTACCTCGGCTTGATGCCACTAACCGAGTACACGTACACATTGATCACCAAATACCACACAACGCCCCCACCATACACACTCCTGTTGCTGCTCGCCGTCTTCTGACTGAAGCTTCTGACCGTCATCTCTCACTTTACTTCGTGCAATAAATTCGTCACTGACGACCACATTCATCCACAGTAGCCCCCAGGTCGGCTAATGTTGACCGATGCAGTGTTAATTTCAGACCGATGGGCGACATCTGCACACGGAAGAAGCTGGGTGTCAAGGCAGCCACGACAAGGATCACCTTGGCGTTTTGCACCAATTCTGACGGTTAAGGGCTGTTGCCGTTACTGTACATTGACCGAACAGCTAAACCGTTGGGTTAACAAGAGAATCGGTGCAGAGTTGGGCTATAACTGCAAGAATGACGCCAAGGCATGGATGACGTCGCCGATTTTCCAGTACTAGCTTCGAGAGCTGGACGTGAAAAAAATGTGCACAGAAGAACGCCACATTTTGCACCTATAGGAACACTCCCCCCATGAGCGATGACCTGGCGTTGACAAACGTGTTCACAAAGATGCTACCACCTAACACGACCCGGTGTTTGAAACCAATGAACGGAGATATTGTCGCTTACTCTAAGGCTCTGTATCGCTTCATGTAGATTGAGCTGTAGAGCGCGTCGAGGGCAGCGAAGATGTCAATTAGGAGAAGACGTACAAGATCGACCAGCTAACAGCGATGAAATAAAACGAAACAATCAGGGGTACGATGAGTACTAAAACGATTTCGCACTACTGGCGCCTGTTAGCCGAAATGCTGCTGATTGCAGCGTGCATGGTTGCACGATTGCTCTGCACGATGATGCAGCAACGTCACTCGGCTGGAGCCAGGTGCAAGTGGAGACAAGACGATCGATGCGTCGTTAGCTGGAACGCATACGATCAAAGGAGGTTTTGTCGGTTGATGGTGCTGTTGCATGTCCAACGATCTTTCATCCTCGTGTACGACACGTTGTGTGTGAAAGAGCACATGGTAGGCGAGTAACGCAAATGAGTCATTCTGAGTTTGGCTGTCAGCTGGAACGCAAAACTGCTTCTCGCTCGTCTAAGCAACTACATCGTTCACGAGGCCACCAACGCAGCAGGAACAAGCCTGTACCTCACCACCTGCATTTCCACTAGGTTATGAGGCCAAACCTGGCTCGAGGACTGGTGTAAGATGAGCACAAATTAATGGAAGGCAAGGAAGAGCGGTGTGGGGCTAGTAGAAGAAGAAGGGCTTGTTGGCGAGATTGAAAAATCAAAAATAAGTGCGAGATTGAATCCCTTAGCTCTACCTACTTGACTGGTTGCCCTTGGCCGACCAGAAGGCAAGGCCTCCTATCCTTGTCTGCTTCCTATCCGTAAAGTTGTACGATTATGCTAAAACATACGAGTCGTAAGATTTTACGCGTAGAGTCGTACGACTGTGCTGAAACGTACGAGTTATAAGTTTCTACGCGCAAAGTCGTACGACTCTACGCAAACGTACAGTCGTATGATCCTGCTCTCACCCTCCAATGCAAGTCCACATGCGATCCCGGAGCGCAGCGTGGAGACGCGAGCGCGTGACATCACACCCTCCAACACAAATACCCCTACGCAAGGAAGCACGGGAGGAAACGTTCCAAGGCAAGGACCAGATCAGACGGCAACTACAGTTACTACGGCGTTTTCTACCGTGGTAAGCTCGACGGTGCAGATGCAAACGATGGTGATGTCGACGGTGTAACCGGTGGTGGCACCTGCAGTACTTGCAGGACAGGCTGTAGCAGCACTAGGGCAACCTGGTGCGCCACAACCAGTGGTTCCTGCTGTTCTACCTAGGGTCAGACGACTACCCCCCCCCCAAATTTGATGACACATTTGAAGTGTACCAGATAATATTGAAGTTGTATCTGGAGCAACGAAATTCATATGAAGTAGTGACTGGAGCCGAGATTCGTGATCCAATGAACCCTGTGCTGCAGCGCCATTTCAATGATCGAAATCGGCTGGCTATGGAGGCAATCATCCGAGGTGTCATGGGTGCTGACGCGCAAAACATGTGCATTTTCGGAACAGCAAAGGAGATGTGGGATACACTGATTGCTGAGAAGACTCAATGTGACTTCTCGTATTCCGTGCAGCTGAAGCGTGAAATGTACACGCATTCGTACACCCCCGGACAGAAGATGGCAGACTACATTCAAGAGATGAACACGTTGCGGTAGCGTTTGCAGTACATAGGGTCCAGCTTCAAACACATCGATGTCCCAACTGCTGTTGATGGGTGTGTGGGCTGTACATATAGAGATTGTGACTGTGGTGTAGGGAACATCAAGTTTTGTGTCACACTCCACGGCCGCAGTGGAACAAAGTACCAGGAGCCAAGTACTACTCGGCGGGATGCCGAGCTCAGTGGGCAAGAATGCGCTGGTGGACGACCGCTGAACTCGGCTGATGGTGTCAGAAACTCAAGGCACACCGGCCCCGACCTGGTGACACGTAGCAGACCCAGTGATGAAGACCCAGTCGAGTTCAGGAAGGCACTGGACACGCTCAGCAGAGATCATGGGGGGTTCAAGCCGCCGATCTCAGGCTAAACGGTACCATGTACCGTCCGATACGGTAACCAGGCTCAATTGAGTCCGGGAGTTGCGCAGTCGAGTTCACGGGTCGCTCTGCCGAGTTCACGAGTCGCCCCGCCGAGTTCGTGGGTCGCTCCGCCGAGTTCACTGGGTTATCCGGCACCTTATCCGGCTCAGCCGAGTTCACCGGCTTATCCGGACACTTTATCCGGCTCAGCCGAGTTCGAAGAGTTATCCGGACGCCTTATCCGGACCAGCCGAGCTCAAGCGTCGCTGGCTCAGCGAAGGGTCGGCCGAGATCCAAAACCACTCACTTTCATTTGGTATTTGTATAGGAGCTTGGGATAGTAGAGGCGCCCCTTCAGGGCACCCGACAGAGATAACAACCAAACAGAGCAGAATTTTCTAGGTCCACAACACGTGCACGCGCTTCCAGTAAGCCCCTGCACGGGCCGGATTATTTCTGCTGTCAGCACCCGCGAGGCATAGCTTGTAGGGTGTTGACTGGTAGCGCCAAGAGATTAAGGTCGGCCCGGGTTGGGCGCGTGTCTCGCCAAGCGCGAAGGAAAAGTCTCGCCACCGCTGCGAGCCGGTGTTCCCGTACGTCCCGGGCACTGATTGCTGAGTCGAGAAGCCTTTGCTCTCAGCGACCCGTAAAAGCCCGCGAGGGCCGTCGTCCGTCCTTTGGCGGAGGGCACGCGATTTCTAATTCCGGAGTCAGGTAACTCGGCTGGCTTCCGTGATTGACTGGCTTGGGGTACTTGGTCTCGGCGAGGACGAGACATCACTGTCCCGGATGGGCCGAACCGCTGGGGGACATCTCAGCGCAGGCCAACAAGGGCCGACTAGCTACGCTGTTGTTGTGTTTGTAGCTAGGGTGCCACATCTGACGATTTTGTGCGTGCTACTACACCACATGACTCTTTTTGACTTCTCCTATCGGCAAGGTCGTCCGCCGACCTTGCAGCAAGTGATGAACGCGCTGTTATCCCGCGACGAGATGGAGAAGATGGCCGCGGACACTACCGTGAATAGCGGGGCAGTAAATTGTAAGGCGGCAATGGCAATGCACATGGGTCAACCGCAGGACCAGCATCCGGGTAGCAATGAACAAGGGTCAGACTCAGGACCACATGGTCAAGTGCAGACCACGGGAGCCGGATAGCGGCGAGCTCTGCGTTGTTATCACTGTAAGTAGGTCGGATACATGCGCAAAGACTGCTGGCATTACAAGAGCAAGCAGAACCAAGTGCAGGGAGGCATGAAAGGCAAGTCGAACGACAAAGAAGCGCAAAGCCAATGGGGGTGAGAAACCGGCGCCGAGCAACGATGCGACGATCGGAGCGATAGGCTACATGCGGTTTACTGCGAGGGCAGCAGCAGCAGTAGCAGTAGTTCAGATGAAGAACCATCTTCCTTGGGGATAGCGTTTGGAGGAGAGCAGCACGGACCCAGTGGAGCCTGGATACTGGGCTCTGGAGCATCATCGCTTGTTTGCGATGAGAAGGACAAGTTCACGAGCTTCAAAAAGGCCACGCTCCAAATCTGGGAGACAAACTGTGTGGTACTGTGTTCGTTGACGCGATTGATGTTCTGGTCCAGATTGAGATGACGTTGGAATTGAACAACGTGGAGCTCCTCTCTCTGGACCTGCGAATTTGCTGAGCCTCGGCCTACTGTTGAATGAAGGCTGGAGGCTGTCGGTGAACCCGCCAAATTTACTGCTGAAGATAACTTAATTGATTATCCACAGATTCCGTTTATTCCATTGCAAGTGGAGTATGTAACAGATCAAACAGTTCGATATAGAGCTAGATGATGTGGTTCGTAATGCTGTGCAAAATGCAGCGAATGCACAAGACGTGCGATCAGAGCCTCCTGCTGATGAGCAGCGAATACCGAGTGACCAGGCAGCAAGTTCGGTGGGAGAAGATGATGGCCCGAGTGATGCAGCAGATTTGATGGGAGCAGCGACTGCGTCGAGTTCTCTGGAGTTTAGATCCAGAGTTAACGGAGGGAGTCACTCTGACCCAAACTTACTCCAAATTCTTATACGCAGAACCCAAAGTAATGATCTATACTCAAAACTAAGACAACCTTACTTGGAAACCTGATATCCCTGTGATATAATAATCCAACTGGATAATCGAACCCAATATAGCGGCTTGTTTCTCCTTATATTGCATACTCGTTATATCCGTTCGTATCGAGAATACAGTCTGATATGCTGAGTGATTCGACGAATCTTCAATAACTGATAACCGCTGCACAAAGGATTCAAAGGAGGTGGATGTTGCTTGTGGCGGCTAAGTGCAACATCATCGGTAAATTACGACATACCGAAGTAATTTATTCGCGTGAATGCCGCCCGAAGCGCAGCACCTTTGCTGGAGCATATTTCGCATAGCTGGTGCTTGTCTACATGTACACTAACTACGGCAGCTGGCAGGCACCAACGTTGCGACTCGAGAGGAACGCGATAAGAGATAGGTTAGTTAATATAAACACTTTACGAGGCGAGAAAAGCAGTCGTCAACTTGGGGGTTGTATTTGCAAGTTCATTTGTAATGACATCATTACTGTTAAGATTTAATACGGAGTTTCGCCGATGTATACCATGTTTGAAGCGAGCGACTGGTGAGGCACAGGTGTAGCGCGCCTAAGTCGCAACGGGACAAGTTAGAAATTTATGCATAGATTTCACTGTTCACAGTTATTATTTTCTACGTACTAGCTCGGGTATATGGTTGACAATCTACTGTACTAAAATTCTTTTTTTAATAGCGTAGAAGTATTAATAGAAGTTCTTTTAAAAAAGAACTTCTACGAAACCATACAGATGCGTTTAAGAAAATCCGGAGCTTCACCGTGTAAAGCACGGCATTAGTGATAAAGATGAAGGAAGAACTACTTCTGGTTATGATACGATGCTAACTGCAGACCACCTTCGACTGTGGAGTTAGCGAAGTGGGAATGCTGAGCCGGCAAGAGCTAGTCAGCCAGGCCGATCCTCGAAACGACAGCGAGGATTGCGTCGGTCGCAGCATAAGAAACAACCAATGTACGTTTGAAGGATTGAGTATCTGTCTGGCAACCCGTCTGTTGAGGAAGCGATGGCGCCTCCGCTCCGAGAGAAATGAATAAACGCCATGGAGCTGAAAATGGATGCATACAAAGTAAACGGTACCTGGCGGTTGATTGACCGTCTCAAGGAGCCATGCAACATTTTGAAGTCAGCCTGGGTGCTTCGTGCCAAGCTCGACGAGAAGGGCAAAGTTGATCGACTGAAGGCCAGACTGACAGTGACGGACAGCAGTATGGAGTTGAGCCTACTCTCCTGTGGTCCGAATTGAGACTGTGCGGCTGCTGTTGCTACTGCCGTTCCCGCATCGTCACGACCGTTATCATGTGGATTTTGTCACTGCATTTCTCAATGGAGTGCTGAAAGGGTTTCGAACCTATATGGAGCAGCCAGACTTCTTCGATGGCAGCACAGGTCGAGTCTGTGAGTTATTGGGGCATAGCCCCCCTTATAATGAAATGTGCATAAAAACTTTTTACCCTTTTACAGGTACTTTTACTCTAATTTATGAACCTCTGTATTACAATTGAGAATGGGGTAGGGCAAATGAACTATCATAGCCTGCCCGGGGGCGATTTCGATCGAATTTTACCTCTTTTTAACAACACACGAACTCATGTTGAGCAGCGCCCAAACGCGACCCTTCAAATGTTACCTTGTTCGAAGGTATAATAAGTTATTAAACTGAGGTCAACTTTTTATCGAACCGGAGATCGCCCCGTTTGTATCAGCAAACAAACGATTGCGTTAATCGTTGAAGTTTAAGGTAAGAGTTGACCGACGATTTATGCACATGGACCGTGGAACCCTTTTCAAGGGGTGGCTGAACTCCGGTTAAATGTGGTAACGGAGGCAAATGACAGTGGAGCCCGCCGTAAAAACCCTATGAGAGGTCAGGCAGCTCCGTAAAAAGTCTCCGCTAACGTACGAAACAATGTACTGAAGAGTCGTTTGGATTAAGTTATTCATTGATAACCTAATTCAAGGTATCGGTCAGTACACTGATAGATACTTGGCAAAACTGGCATGGAGCAGTGAAGTCCAAATCCAAAGGCTATACTATGCTACCGCTAACTATTACGAACCGCTCATGCGGAAGCAAGAAGGCAGCACTAGAATTAGTTGGCATATTAGTTGCTGCAATCGTTGACTGAAGAAATCTATAAATCGCTTGCTACACACAGTTCTGCAGCAGCGGGGGCAACCGATGACGAAGATTGGCATGATACAGAAAGCGGTGACTAGGCCAGACGTGCCATATAGACAATAGCCAGGATGTATGCTCTGTAGCTGTGAAGAAAACGTGGAGAATTCTCTTTTTGCCCTGACATTTGGTATATTATTCTGACAACCTTGATAAATAGACGAAGTATTGTCATTTGCGCAGGAAGTAAGACGTCGTTGCTCTCCAAAATCGCATGCTATTTCCTGAGCAAGTTAAAGTAGCAATGTGCAATTCTGACACCAACTTTTGGCCTTGCATGTTCACACAAACGCCAAATGTATAGCTAACACTAGCGTTTGTTAAATGTTTGTTACTGTATAGTGAATCTGGCGAACATGTATGTGGAGTGAGACGTGTAGTCGTTCATCTTGATGCTCTTTAAATCACTTACAGTGAGTTCGTGTTATTGTGAAAAGCACTTACGTGTTGAGGGGCACACTGCTGGTCTCGCTGTTTCAATGAGCTTGTAATATAAGAGCAAATGTGCATACCGGTGGTTGTTGAATGTAATGTGACTGAATTTTTCGCCATGAGTTGCAATTTTACTTATATATTGGCTTGCTGAATGCTCGAGCACGATTTAGCCTGGTACTGTGGGGGTTATTTAACGATGTCCACCCGGAAATTTGTTGCAATCGATTCAGCGGCCAACGGTGGCAACGCCAAAGCCACTTATAATGATTCGGAAAGTGCTTATTTACTACTGTAGCATGGAAACCAGGACTAAGCAAAAGACTATACATTGATTTACGGTTGAAAGAAGTCGAAAGCTACGACGGCAGTACCAGATGCGGCACGAGATCCCTTGCTGTTACGTCAAGCCTCTTTCCTGTCTTCATTTATGGCGGCGACGGATGACTCGGACATGCAAGTTCTAGTTGATCAGCATGTATGCCACGTCGGGAACACGCGTGCTGTCTACCAGTGCTCGCTGCGCTTGCTCGTGGCATCGGTCCCCTTGCTGCCTATACCGTTTTCCATACTAAACTCCATGCCCGGTCATTTTAATAAAATCTGATGCAAACCCGGCACTTCGTGCATATATTTTTGAAGCCAATTAGGTAAAAGTATGAGTGTGCATGGGATACTTGGGGGTGGTGCTGAGAAGCTAAGATACAACATTTTCCGAAGCAATGTCCCTCTAGCAACCGGGGCGAAAATTCGCCGTGAGGATGCTGCTATACTAGTTGAAAGGACTCTATGACCTTAAGCTAGCTTCGAGGCTGTGATACCAGACACTTCATGAATATTTACTGGAAATTGGGTTCACTCAATGCACTTTGGACATGGGACTCTACCAAAGATGGCAGAATGACCGTGTTGTGTACCTTATGGTATACGTTGATGACCTGTTGATCGCTGGCAAGAAGGATGACATCGAGCAAGTGATTGAGGAGCTGAGCAATGAGTTCGCGCTCAAAAAACCCTCGGACGTATGAAGCACATCCTACCCATGGAGGTGCACTACGTGCGTGGTGAAGTACTCTGCATTTCGCAAACAGTGTATATCGATCGTGCACTGGAACGCGTTGGCATGAGCGATGCTAAGCCGGTCGGGTCGTCAATGTTGCAGAACGAGAAGTTGCCTCCGATGGAAAAGGATGAGGGCAAGATCAATCATCCAAATATTCCTTTTCGAGAGTTGATTGATGCATTGCAGTATCTATTGGCCTGTACGCGACCGGATCTGGCGAATGCAGTGCGAAGTCTCGCACGGTACAGCGGCGCATACACACACGAGAACTACATGTGCGCGAAGAGAGTGCTGCGTTACCTTCGAGCTACGCGGACTTACAGCTTGGTGTATCGTCACAAAAGTAATTTGCTACAACAGCGAGTTGATGCTTACTGTGATGTGGACCATACTAACTGTCCGGATACGAGCCGGTCGAACACAGGCTACCTGTTGCGCTTGACGGATGCGTGTTCATGTACAAGAGGAAGCAGCAGGGCAAAGTGACTACGGACACATGCAGATCTGAGTTGATTTGCAGCGAGCATGTGCGTCGAAGACTTGTTGTGGGCACGGAAACTGGTTAAGGAAATGCATGGCGAGGACGTGCCGTGCTCCACACTTCACGTAGACAACCAGAGTGCCATCACAGTGGTCACCGAACCTGGAAACTACCAGCGAATGAAGCGATTCGCGAAGAAAAGTTGCAAATCGCCGAGTTCGTGAGCACGGACAAGATTGACGTCCAGTATGTCTCTAGCGAGAGAAACATTGCGGACATCTTCACGAAGGCGTTGGAGCCTCAGCGGTTCCAGAGTCTCTGCCGAGAGCTAAACGTCGAGGACGTCGAAGCGGCAGTCCAGGTCCAGTACAAGTAAGGTGGGGGTAGCCGAAATGCTGCTGGTTGCAGCGTGCATGGTTGCACGATTGCTCTGCACGATGATGCAGCAACGTCGCTCGGCTGGAGCCAGATGCAAATGGAGACAAGACGATCCATGCGTCGTTAGCTGGAACGCATACGATCAAAGGAGGTTTTGTCGGTTGATGGTGCTGTTGCATGCCCAACGATCTTTCATCCTCGTGTACGACACGTTGTGTGTGGAAGAGCACATGGATGAATATCGTTAAAGAGCCGACACGTATGTTTTTCTACTTATCCACTGTATGGTGGCCATGGTCCAATCAAATGGCGATGGGCGATTATTGTCGAATGAGGAGGCCGATGGATCGCATTTTATCCAATCGTCAACGTTAGGGGTAGGTTAATGAGCCGCCGACACTCCTGCCGACGTATAATGTCGACAGGGCTATCCAGATATGTTATCGCGTATAGTGAGGTTAAGCAATTAGGTGATTATACACATATTTTGCACGCTGCGGACACTTTACTTGAAAGTTTGTATAGCATTTGTTTGCCTGTTGGAAGCGTTTTGTATGGCGCCTTCAAATTCAATCGAGTTTTCTCGGCAACGCCTTACCCGCGCGTGCATGACACAAAGCGACTTCGGGTAAGGCGCTTCTCATGCTGAGATGCCGCCAGCGACACATAGAGAAATCAAAGCGGAACATGAACTAGCAAGTATAAAAACTTCAATCTATTCATTGTTAAATCAATAAATACAGTGCCTTCTTGTCCACTACAGCACTACGCACCGCCACGCCAGTAAAAAGCGTCGCTCCACCATGCAGCAGCGGTGGCACCACCAGTAACAGCCCCCCAACTTGACGTAGGCCTCGCCTCCCCAGGGATCGACAACTCGCAGTCGTCTGCGCCGACGAGCGCAGTCGCCGCGCGGCTGCTGCTGCTGCTGCTCTGACCTCCATCTTGGACACCTTCTTCATCATCTTGCCCTTGCTTCGCGCACGTGTCGTCCTGCGTGGGCGGGTGGGCACCGAGTGGGTGGCCGCCAGGCGCAGGCTTCTTATCGGGCGTCCTCCCTTCTCCTCGCCGTTGCCCCTGCGCGCACTTGGCGTCTCCGCCGAGCTCCACAAACTTGGCGCCTCTATCTTCCGCCGTGCCCTTGGTGGTCGCAGTCTTCGGGGCCTGCGGCTTGGGCGCCAGCGCCATGACGCGCGCCATCCGCGCGGGTGCGAGCACTGGCCTGACAAGCCCGTGGCCAGGGACGAGCACCGGGCATCCGTGTGCGTGATGGCCGTGCACGTGCCAGCGGGGGAGGGCTGCCGTCCTTCGTGCCCTTGGTCATCTCGCCGTCCTTCGTGCCCTTGAGCTCTCCGCCGCCTCCGCGCTCTTGGTGGCTTCTCACCCCGGTTTCCGCTGCCTCTTGCCCTCCGTGTCCTGGGGCTCAGCCATCTTGGAGGTCCTGATCGCGCCCGTGCACGACCGCATGCCACGCACGCAAAGCCTGGAGGGAATGGGACGTGGAGCTGGTCACGGCGCTGCTACTTCGCACAGGGGGCAACGACCATGACCACGCAAAATGAAAATGCGAGAAGTGTTTTTGATGTACAGTAGTTTAGACCAATCATTGAAATTCATCATTTCCACCAATGATAGATAGTGTCGGCAGGTGTAGGCCGCTGTCGGCACCGTCACGCTAAGGTAGGCGAGTAACGCAAATAAGTCATTCGGAGTTTGGCTGTCAACTGGAACGCAAAACTGCTTCTTGCTCGTCTAAGCAACTACATCGTTCACGAGGCCACCAACGCAGCAGGTACAAGCCTGTACCTCGCCACCTGTATTTCCGCTATTGGTGACAGGTTTCGGTCGTATAGACGACACCGCACTGGCGCGGTGACCAATCACCTCTTAGTTAGAATCGCTGGCCGTAACAGCCTCGACACACGAGGTCGTCTTGACAAGTTAACAGAATTCGATTTGCCTACTACTGCTACTACTTCCTCCAGTCTTTTGTGCACGTAACGGACCGCCGTTAGCCCGTTACACCCGGCAGCACTTCGCTAACCCGTCCAATGCCCCAGATCAAGATGAACTTGAGCAACACGTCAATGACCGACGCGTCCTAGACGTCTACCACTTCGCTCGATCACACCAGCTTTCCTCGCCTGTCGGTAATTGAATGGGAGGCGCTACACCGCCTCGAAGCGGTACCAGGTGATGCTGTGATCGAGACACTGTTGACAGCGGGGTCTGAGGAGCAGCAACGCCTGGCTGTCCAGGAGTTCATGGCGCGTGAGTTCGCTGACTACCAGGCTGACCACGAACAACACTGACATCGTTAAACTCGAAGCTTGTGACCGACGCGTCCGGCTTCCCGATCATGGCATCAATAAATGCGGTTCGCGTTGTAGCCGAGTGATTCAGCTACCGTACTTCAAAAATAAATGCTTAACAAAATAACTGCAGTTTCAGGATTTTGGCGTAATTTTTTCCGTTTGGAGAAGTATTTTAACAACAGCCAAGTGAAAACCTCATACCAAACCTATATCGAAGCGATTTCCGCAGCGTTTTGGCAACCCCCAAATTTAACGAAGGAGAAAGCCTGCTTTTACGGTGGAAATTTGGACTTAGAAAGTGGCTGCGGAAATTTTCGCTCATAGTGCGGGTTTGATTCGAAGACCTGCTCTAGCTGTAGCTCACAAATCGCAGCGTCAGAATTATTTTTATAAAATACCCTCCGACTCGCGGCTCTTCATAGTTTAAACAGAACTAGCGCAGTAGCGCCTATTCCTACATACACCACGAAGAAATTTTAGCTGCAAAACTAAGTCAAGTGAGGGAACGCTCAACCTGAAGTTCGTCGTGGTTGATCACAAGTTCAAGCCCCTATATCTATCGGTGATGGGGGCCACCAATCTTGACTTCGGCTAAACGATATACTACACCATGTAGCATATCGTTTAGCTGAAGTCAAGATTTAGCACTGAAAATATGTCGAGACGGTACACTACCATACTACGGCAAATATAGTGAAGCGATTTCATTGGTCAAAATGCCAATTGTGTATTTCGACCATTGAGAATTTTGTTGTTTCCTTGCGAAATCTTAACACAAAACTGCCGTTTTATGGAAAATCGGGACGTATTTTTGTTAAGATGAGTGCAGTTTCGAAATCTCAAAAAGCATTTATTTTGTAAAGTACGTGTAAAGTACGTTAAGATAACTGATGCGGCTGATGCATCCGAACACCTCAGCCAGATTAAAGAACTTGTCGTGTGTATCAGCCAGGAGAAGCAGCGGCGGGATAGCGCTTTGGCTGCTGTACTCGCTCACGAATACCAAGAAAACGGCAAAGAATCGGGCCACTTCGCAGAAGACAAGAAAATGTTAAGCGCCATTCACGGGAGAAAAGGCGCACAAACCTCAAAGTCGTCGGCTATGATAAACCCCAGCGGTAGCGCTTCATGCACGACGTCTAATTTTACTAGGTTGACCATGCTGTGACGAGATGCTCCGGAGTCCACAAACGCCTTGACTGCGGGTTTTCACTTTGGCAATGGCTATTCTGCTCAGAGGGTCGTACTTGTGGAGGCGACCGCTACACCTCACGCAGTGGGCTCGTCCGTTGCCGCAAATTTCGTGTCGGGGACTCGAAGCGATCGGGATGGCGGTGATGGAACTTCAAGTTGGGTCTGTGAACAGCCTGTAAGATGAAGGATTTGGACACATAACAGTTTTAACCTTCTGTTTAATCGCTTCCCCCTCAGCAGTGTTGGCTTCAGCAACAGTAGTTGCCAGGTTGGTGCTTGCCGTTCTTTGTCGCTTGGCTGGCCGGTCCTTGAATGTCGGAGGTGGTCCACGCTTACGAATCGGATCCATGGCGTCCTTGGAGCCGATCAGCTTGGTTAGATGTTCGACTACGCGCTCGGGATCAGCTGCTTCGATGTCACCGCGTGCTCGAACAACTCTTGCTTGACAGAGCATGACTTCTCGCAGAACACCTGCAAGGCGATGCGCGCATTGTGCCCCGTACTCGTACCGTCCTTGAGGGGGCTAGCCGCCCGTTCCTTCTGCAACAGCTTAAGCGTCTTGAACGACACATCACCAAAAGTTTGAAGTTGACCGGACGGAAGCCAAAGCCCAAGACCAGAAAGCTAAAGCTGGTATTGTTCCCTTGATTGCCAATGGGAACGACGAAACTTCTCACCACTAGGCTCTTGGCAAATTGTTCATAAGTCTCCTCAAGCTTTTCCTAACGTATTTTTTACTAATAGTGCCAGGTTTACTATTGTAGGATGCCGTCACATCGCGAAGTGGTCAAGGTCACGCCAGCTCCGGCCGAGAACCTGGATGGTGAGGATGACGAGGAAGACAGCAGCAGCAGCAGTACTGACGACGAACCCGCCCGGAAACCCAAACGCAAAGCATCCTCCGAGAGAGTGCGGTCTTCGTCAGATTCTTCGTCCGAGAGCGCCAGCAGTATCAAGCCCAAAAGGCTCACGTATCCTCCTTCGCCCAAGCGTCCACGTCCGTCGCGTTCTGGCTCCACTTCGGGCAAGAAGTCTGACAGCCTGCGTTCCCAGGCGAGGGTTGAGTTGGAAAAGCGCAAGTCGACTCTCGCCCGGGAGAAGTATGATGAGCTGTGAGGCGAGGCCGATGAAACCTTTGTCGCCCAGGGGGGTTCGTATAGCGCAGCCCAAGACTGTTCCCCAGGGGTAGACCCAGAGAATCGACTTGAGAGTCAACAGCAAGAAGATAGACCCAGAGATTCGCAGCCGCAAAGCTTTAAACCCTGAGAATCACACTCCTTGGTTGGCGTGGGTACCTTGTGTAATCCCTGTCCGCTCGTTTGTCTTCGACGGAACGGCACTCCACCGGTTGAAAATGTAGCCTCGAAGAAGTGCGGGAGCGCACGTCTACTTCAGAACGCACCTCCACACCAAAAGGCAAACCCAGAGAATCAGATCCCCTGAAACCCAGAATATCACGAATTCAGGGTCCAGGATTTCAGTCAACTCTGGGACTTGGAACTCAGAAGACATCTTACCCAAATGCCCTCCTAGCTCGATAAAACCAACAAATACAGAGTATACAAACACTACAACTAGCCGTCACTTATTCTTTTGGACCCTTGGACGGTGGGTCACACACAATAGGCTCACTCGAGTCTGAAATTCAGGGGCATAGCTCCCCTGAGACTCACACAAACGCGCACCACCTCCAATAAAGGACAATACAATCACTATCAGTTACCTTCCCTTCACACAAGCAGTCAATACAAAATCCTGGAGGCGACTACCTAGCACCCCAGAATACCCTCTGGAATAATATGAAATGGGCTACCACGAGCACAGCAAGTGACCCAATTAGGATATGGAATAGATGGATCACCCCAGGAAGCTCAAGGCAGTCGCTGGTCACCACCTAACTGGACTTGAGTTTGATGGAGCCCACACAGACGGCTGTCCTTCGCCGTTGATGTGCCCTTAGCGTCCCGCGGTCGTAGTCTCGGGTCCTCCGGATTTCCGTCGGCAGGCTTGGCCGAAGTCACTTGCGCAGTACAGGGTAAAAGGAACTCTGTTTGGCTTTTATCAGCTACTTCTCTCTCTTTCTCTCTCTCTTCTTCGGGCAAATATCTTCTGTTTACTATGCTTGGGGTCAAATGTCTTGTCTTGAGTATACCTTGGGTTCAGCGGTCCAAACTTGCGATCGGCTTGCGAATCCATTGTCGCACGGCGTCGGAAGTGCCAATTGTGGGTCCGGTCCTTAGACTTGGTTTAGTATGGTGCAAGACTCCCTCTCGACTCCTCGAAAGTATCCAGTCTGCGCATCCACAACGGTTTTTCAAGGTCACGCATCACTTTGATTGCAGACTGACCGCGAACTGACTCGAATCCCTGAAAATCAGGTGACGCTCAGGGTCATCTTCTGAAATCCTGGGAATTCTGAGGGATCTTGGGGAACTGTGGGGATTCTTGGGTGTTGGCTCGGGAAACACTTAAGTTCAGTATAGAGAGTCTGGATTTATGGTCCAAACCCAGAGAATCATCCTTGGAACTCTGGGTCACCTGCACTCAGGGAGGTGAACTCTGGGTCATCGTGCGGCACTCTAGGTTTCCGTGCGGCACTCTGGGTAACAAGTCTGCTGCAGTGCAGACTCGTGTGTATCTCCTCAAAGCCACACTTTTAGTGGGTTTAGCGGCCTCCTGCGCATGATCATGGTAGTAGTGGGTTGATTCTCAGGGTAATTTGATCCTCTGGGGCACTCTGAGCCACAGCAAGATGAGGTGTACTCTGGGATACATTCTCCAGAGACACTTTCCGCCAGACTTTAGGCACTCATCGTAAGGGAAAGTCCGCGGCTGGACTGAGTGTTCTCTGAAATTCTGGGCGTGCACTCCCAGGATTCACACTTCCAGCCAGTTGGGCCCATCTGCGGTCAGACGCTGGATTCATCCCGAGAAATCACTTCTCTCCCACAGTCGCCATCCATGTCACACGGGTACAGCCGCGCCGTATCCAAGTCATCCACCAGTCAGCATCCGATACAAACTCCAGGTCACAGAGGTGACGGCACATCGTCGGCAATTTTCTGGGGACCGCCTCGTGTCAACCGCCCCTCCTGGTCCGGGTCCATCAAATAGGAAATCGCTCCGAACTGGTGAACCATGGCCAGACCACAAAAACACACAGGTCCATCCACCGTCGACTTCGATAAGGCCGTTGCACTCTGTTGACTCGCAGGGTTTCACTCACTTTGGCGGCACCCTGTCTCCCCAACGGTTGGTCAGGACCTATCTTCAAGGTTCTCCTCTCAAACGCAAAAACTCCAACGGGCAATGCGCGGTCACATCGCCATTTCGCAGATCGTCAACATGGCGGAGAGCGCGACTTCAGACGGCAAGCAAGCGACGGCGCCAGCTCAAGGCACGGCGCCCCCCGGCAGCACGCCACCTCCGTAATCAAATCAAATCACATTCACGTTTTCCGTCTCCAATATTCACACATTCCGTCGAGTATCACAGTGTCACTCTGGTTTCCCCCTGAGTATCACATGTAACTCTGGGTCAGTGTCACCCCAGAGTTCTAGACTCCTGGGTGACCATCTCCAGCCTGCATGGCCTGGAAACGGGCTCATGCTCTTGCGCCTTGATTGAATTCGTAGAGCAGGGCACCACAGTTGAGCTTCGACACAGGCAGCCACTCAGTCTCGTCATACCCCTTCCACTTCACAAGGTACTCACGAATTCGTCTCGCTGTCCGAGTTCGTTTAGTCCATCGCAAATCCAGGATTCGCTCCACTTCATACTCGTCGTTCGCAGCGTCGGGCTCCCAGCTATCTTCAGGCAACAGAGCCGCATCAAAGTCATCATCCTCATCCACGTCGATCTCCACAGTGGGCCGCTTCGGGAATAGTGGTCTGGGTTTCAAACGGCTCACGTGTACCCAGGGATTCACGCGATATCCTGTGTTTTCGACCCTGAGTTTCACGCGGAAGTTGTCATGGATTTCCTGAATTCTGAAGGGGCCATGCCACATGTGAGCCAGTTTACAGCTCAGCCCGGGCTGCACTTTGGGTATATACAGCCACACAGCATCACCGACTGCGAATCCTGCCTTCAGTCGTTCGGACAGCTCTCTCCACTTCCTGGTTTGTTCGGCAGAGCGCGCGCGCTTGGCCTTCTTCTGAAGATCCTCAGCGCCAGCTTGTGCATAACTATAGCCACGCTGTAGCTTCCTGCGTCACTCGTACGCAGTGCGCTCCTGAATACTCGAGGGCCTGGGTCCTAACATTGCAGACACCGTGCCGTGTGCGTCCCAGCCGTGCACCAGAAAAAACGGAGTGTCCAGGCGAGTGGCATCGAACGATGTATTCAGGGCAAACATCAGGCGCTCAGCATGGTCGTCCTAGTCACTCTGGTCCGCCTCAGCAATGTACGCTCGAATGCTGCGCACGACAGTCTGCACCGACCGTTCCTGTTGTCCGTTCGCCTGGGGGCGATACGCCAGAGTGGCTCGCTGCTTGCTACCCAAAAGTTCACGGAAGCGCGTGAACACCTCACTCATGAACCTTGGGTCTTGGTCGTGCCTCAGCATCGAGCTCGCGCCGAATCTCCTGAAGACCTGCTCTTCGTACACTTCAGCGACATCTTGCGCCGTGGTGGAACTCATGGGTTTACACATGACGAATCCTGAGAACGCATCCTGAAAAAGCAGCAGGAACGTGTTCCCACGGTCCGACTTAGGCAAGTGTGTCGCGAAATCCATAGACACAACTTCAAAAGGGCGCTTCGGTTCGATGTTCCCAGGGGAAGGCCCTGGATTCTGAGGGCACCCCTTGCCGCTGGCGCAATCCACACACTCTTTGACGAAAACTTCCACATCAGCGTACATGCCGTGCCAGTAGAACTCAGAGCGCAGCATCTCGTACGTCCTCGTGATCCCCTGGTGCCCACCCTGAAAATCTTCGTGAGCGTAATGCAGGATATCCGGTCGCAGAGCTTTCGGCACCACGAGTCTGAGTTCGTCAACCATGTCTCGGGGTCGAGCTGTGGTAGACCGACTCAAGCGGTACAGGACTTCTCTGGAATCCAACACGAAATCATCAGCGACCTTCGCGAGTTTCCTGGCTTGAGCGTGCGACAGCTTCGTCGTGTCTCCTTTCAGGAAATCCTTGAGTTGCAGCAGGTGATCATCTTTGTCCTGGTGCACTTTGATGCGTCGCCAGCGTTCCGCCTGGTACTCCAGAGGTCCCATGGGTTCGCTTTGGGCTTCGATCTCCTGAGTTCGCGCCCGAGTCATTACTGCAAACACTTTGGCCGCCACAGGCAACGGAGCGCACTCAGGTCCAGGGATACCCAGAGTTTCGACACCCTGAGAATCACTCCCCTGAATTCCAACGTTCAATAACACCTTCGGTCTTACCAACTTCTCGTGAATCTTGGACACCAACTGCAGATGTGTTCGTTCGTCAGCATCCTCCACCTTCCAGGATTCACCAAGCGCGAGGGTCTTAGACGTCAGGTAGTTAGTGGCCTGGTTAAACTCTCGCTTGACATGCACCAGCCGCACAGACTTGAACTTCGTCTTCAGCACTTCATACTCGGCCAGCTTCCTCTGGAGATTTGGCTGATTGCAGTTGATGAGACCCTGGGCTTGCTGGATGGCAATCCTGGAGTTCCCAACCACAACGATGTCCTGAATTCCACGCTCAATCGCCAGAGTGAGGCCCTTCAGAAGTCCATGATACTCAGCGTCATTCACACTCACGTCCTCCAGGATGAATCCCTGGGCATCCAGGATTTCCCAACCAGGGACATGCCACAGAATGCAGCCACAGCTCCCTTGTCGCGTGGATGTCTTAGCTGCGCCATCGAAACTCAGAATACACCCCTCATAGTCCGCTTCCAGCATTTCCATACTGATGGGCACTGGAGGTTTAACGAGCCCCTTGGCTGGGATCAGGTTTTCAGCGATCTCATCCAAGTGTTCTCTGGGGGTAATACCCGCACCTAGAATTGCAGCCAAGCCGTCTTCATCCGTTGAACTCTGCGTATCTCCAGGTTCCAGTGGGACAACTTCAGACTCGACTTCACCGTTCGACCGTCTGCCGACTGCGAGGTCAGCAACCACTTCAACACAGAATATCGCGTGTAGACGACGATCTTACGGCTGCCTTCAACCAAAGTGCGAAACACCTCCAGAACCCTCAGGATAGCAATCACCTCCTTTTCCGCAATGTGATACCACAGCTCAGCGTCATTCAGGACGCGACCTGTGAATCGAACCGGGTGCACAATCCCGTCGTACTCCTGACCCAACACAGCGGATGCTGCCCACGGGTTCGCGTGGGGAATAATCATGAAGGGCCTTGAACGATCAGGATGTCTGAGTAACGGAGTCGAAACAATCTTGTGCTTCAGGATTTCAAAGGCTTCCTGGGCTCTCGACAGGTCTCTCCTGGATTTCACTTGTTCCTCAGTCAGCTCGTACAGGACGGCCGCGATCACGGGTAGATCTTCAATGAACTTGTTGTAGTACTTCAGACACCCCATGAAACTCTGGACGCCTTTCAGTGTCGTCGGGAACGGCAAGTCTTGGACCCCCTTCGCGATTTTAGGGGTCGCTCGGATGCCCTCAGCACTAATCTCGTGAGAGAGGTACGGAATGGACAACTTCCCGAATTCGCTCTTGGGAAGACTCACAGAGATATTCCAGTATCGTAGTCGGAAGAGCAGCGCGTTCAGATCCTGGCACAGCTGCTCCCAAGTAGGCGCACCGTGGGCGATGTCGTCGATATACGAGCTTCGACCCAGGACAGGGCCCATCTGAGAGGGAGCCGGGATGAAAAACAGTCATCTCATCCGTCAACACTGAAAGTCGCGGTGCATTTTCACCTGAAACTCTGGGTTCCCCAGAGTTCAACCCCAAAAAGTCCAAGACATCTTGGTCGACCTCAGTTTATTCCTCAGGGGAAAGCCGCAGAAATCCCCACAGAGAGTTATTGAGAACTGCCTGGTAGATCAGCGGCGCGTTCTTGAGGCCAAACGGCATCCTGTCCCACTGGTAGTGCCCAAAGGGACAGACGAACGCAGAAATCAACTTGGCTCTCTCGGTCATCTTGATAGCCCAGAAACCACTCGCCATGTCCAAGCTCATAAACCACATCGCCGACTCAAAGCCTATCAAAAGATCATCAATAAGCGGCAGCGGATAGTGTGAGAGCTTGATGAAGCCATTCACCACTCGATAGTCGATGTACATCCGGATGTTGACGCCATTCTTCTTGAGGACGATCAGGATTGGAGATGCCCAGGGGGACGTAGAAGTCTCGATCAGCCCGTTCTCCAGAAGCTTCTTCGGAAGTTCATACACCTTAGTCCACAGGTGTGGTGCAATGGACCTTGGACGCTGGGCAACAGGTTTAGCGTCGCCTACATCCAGGTCACAAACCACTCCACGGGCAGGTGGGGGAGCTGCATTGCCGTCTCCCAAGAAGAGCTTCCGATGATATTCCAGAATTCGCCTCACTTGGTCTTCCATCTCGGGCGTCGTTTTCCCAGGGACTCCAACATCTGCCTCCTCCATCTTGCACTCAGGGGTCAAGTCACGCATCTCAGGAAGCATAACCAACTGGTCACGCAACTGAGAGAGCAACTCACTTCCTTCACGTATGTAGACCGCAGGCTCGTAGTCGAGGTCCTCTGTCGAAAGCCGCATGCAGCGCTCATATTCCTGCTTCAGCTTCTCCAACGGAGTTCCCGGCATCTCTGAGATCGGGATATCCCAGTAATCTTCAACAGGACCCTGAGAATCGTCGTCATCCACATCGAATCCCAAAGAATCACCTTCGTCGCACCACTGACCCTGAGAATCACTGCCAACTTCAACCTGTAAACTCAGGGTTTCAGCGGCCGTATCATCTTCAGGACTCATGCCCTCTGGGGTTCCGACAGTCTGCGAGGCAACATCGGTCACCGCCTCCTTCAGAACGTCACCCAAGTCACTCGTATCAACAACATCTCGGAGTTTAGGAGGGTCTTCAGGAGGCACTCCTTCAGTCTGAGTTGCAGCGTCTTCAGCGAAGCGCACGCGACGAGGCTTCGGTTTCCTGAGAATCGAGGGAAGCAGTGCCATGTCGGGGCCCTTTGCCGGTCGCGGCAGAATCTTCGTAGGCCACTGATACTCTGGGGTCTCGACACAGGATGGCTCAAGCGCAGCCAGGTGTTCCGCCCGAAGTCTGCCCTCACGCGACTGAACACTCTCCAGAATAAGCGTCTGCCACTCCCGATACGCAAACGAACCAGGGCGCACAAAGCGTCCGGCACGTGGGAAGAAGCCGTACTCCACAATTCGGGCGACTGGCGACCTATTGTGAATCCAGACGTCCTTGTCCGAGATGTTGACCACCTTCACGGCGACCGGCCAGGATCTCGCAGCTTAAATCAGGTGCGTTACCCAGCGGTCACCTCGTCCTGCCCACACAACCTCATGATGTGGGTTCGTCGGTCCATACGAGATCTTCACCACCTTGGATTCCCCAGGGGCCAGGTACCAACTACCTGTGGTTTCCACGGGCATGTCGACACCCAGGCGATCCTCTGGAGTCCATCCACACATCATGATCGCCTCTTCATCCGGAAGCGTCACGAGACCTTCGCGAACACTGATCCTCACTCCAGCTGCAAAAATGAAACTCATATCCAGAAGAACTTCGATCCCTTCGCCGATGTTAGCAATCCAGACATCCAGGAGATATATCACCCTCGAACCGAGAGTAATCTTCACCTGAGCACTGGCACCGATGTACGTCGGAACGCCTCCTATGCCAGACACCTTGGTTTGCTTGTGCGACTTGAGTGTGAGTCCGAGCTTACGCGCTAAGTCGAAGCTAACAATATTCACAGTCGCACCGGTATCCAGGAGGACTCTCGTCCGGCAGTCGTTCACAGCACCATGCACCATCGCCACATCACGTTTCTTTGGGTCAGGATCATTGTTTTCCCACCATCCGTAGCGCTCTCCAGGGTTCAGCTTGTACTCCACAATTTCTTCAGAGTTCACCGACCCAGAGTTCGCTTATTCAGGATGATGATTTTCAGGGGAAGTCATGAAATCCTGAGTCAAAGTAGTAATGCATTGTTGGTTATCTTGGGCTCATGTTCTCAGCTCCGGGCCAACATACACTAGAACACATAACTCTGGGGCCTTCTTCAGCCCGGCGCGTACTGGGTCCCCACCCTGCGGGCTTATTGGTTTGACGGCCTCCCAGAGTTCGCTTCGCCACCCAGGAGTTTATCCAGGATTTGGCTCGGCATGTCCTTCAGTGCACCTTGGCGGGCGAGTTTCTTCACAGCTTCCAGTGTCTTCCAGTCTTCACACGATTTCCCGAGATGCAGTTTGCCACAGTTCTCGCACGGTTGCGCGCGACACAAGTGAGTCGGATGACCCACTTCCAGGCAGCGATCACACTTCATGCCTTTCCAGCCGTTTTCCTCTGGGTGCCCCCACTTGCCGCACTTCTCGCAGAACTTGTCCCAATTCGGGTTTTCGCGGCGAGGGGAACGGAATCCAGAGTTCGCGTTCGGTCCTGGTTGGGCGTTCGGTGGACGCCATCCCATGTTATCCATCACGCGATAGACCTCGTTCGTCAGCGTCTGAGTCCACTCGGCACCCTTCATACTCGCCAGACTCCCAGCGCTAGGTGTAGAAGCTTCTTCTCCAGAGATCTCACGAGTTGACCCTGAATTCGCGCTCGCACTTCGGGCTGCAACTCTGGGTTCGTCCGTGATTTCCTGGAAACGCGCGTGAATTTCAGGGTCTTCGTCTGACTCAGAGTCAGAGACATCGCCCACGCACGTCCTTGTCGCTTCGGCTTGAAACGTCCCTGAGGAATGTTGTCGGCACGAAAGTCACGAACTCTGGGTGGCGGAGCATCATGGTCGCTGCGGCTCCAGACATCTTCGTCCTGTTCCAGAGCGTACTCTAGATCAGCGATACTCCTGAATCTCTGGCCCTGCAGCGACGTCTTGAGGCGCGTGTCCCTGAGTTTCGTGATGAACCTCCGGATATGTTTCTCCAGGCGCTTAGAAGACTTGCGAAAGTCAATGTCAGCCTTCCCAGCGGCGGAATTCAGACGATAAAAGAAATCCAGGGCGCTCTCTGAGTTCTTCATCTCCATCGTGAAGTAACGTTCAGAGTACGACGAGCGCGCTTAGCAGTACTTCTTCCTGAATGCAGACGCCAACTCCTTCCAGTCACGCTGAGTGTGTTTGGGCAACTGGTTGAACCAGTCACGCGCAGCTCCCGAGAGTTTCAACTTGAGTTCCTGAATTCGCTTTTTCGTAGACCAACCTCCCTGAGCCGCCATGTTTGCAAAACGCTCCCACCAATGCACGCGTTCCCTGAGTGACGCCTTAGTATCGAACTCACCCAGAGTATTCGAGTTGATGTACGGTCTGAACGTCAGGAGCGTAGTGCCAGCTTGAGCCGTAGAAGCCGTCGTCAGGTTAACCCCAGGGTTCCCGTCCGAACTATTATCCGAACTCTCAGAGGACGAGTCATCATCGCTGGAATCGGAGCTTGGGTCTGAGTCCGAGGGTGGATTGACATCCTGACGCTTCTTCTTCTTCTGCTGGTGTTTCTTGGATGCCGAGCGCTTGGAGTCTGCTTTAGAGTCCTGCGAGGCCTTAGAGGTCGCTGTTCTCCTGGGATCCGACGTCTTCCCCAGAGACACAGGCCCGAGCTTGACATCCTGCGTCACCTTGGTCTCCGTAGCGCCACGTCCCCGCTTGACGCGCGCGATTCTGCCGGAAGTGTCTGCGGGAGTCTGCACGAGGGTCGCTCTCAGCTGGGAGGCGGCGACTTCGGACGTGTTCTTCGGATCAGCTGTCTCCCGTCTCTGGCCAGTGACACTTGCGTTTCCGTTGATTACGCCACTGGATTCTTGGGGTCGGGTTGCAACTCCAGGGTTCTGAGCCACTGACGACCCCACATTTGTTGCCAAATCAGGGGCGACGGTTGCGCGACGCGCTTGAACTTGGGCCAATGTTGCACGAAGATTGCGCACTTGGCCGGCGTGGAAGCGCTGGATATTCTCGGAAGACTCCCGCTCTCGCTCTTTCTCCGCCTCAAGTTCTCGGACCTTCTGCTCCATAGTTGACATTTGTTCCTTCCAAGCGGCGTAGGTCTCGGAAACCCAGCGCGCGCGCTCCGAGTCGGCTTCGGCTTCGTGCTATTGCCAGCGCTCGGCGTAGGCGGCATCCAGGTGCTCACGCTCAAGACGTACAGCTTCATTTGGGCGGGCCCAGACCTCGCGGACACGGACGAAACTGACCCAAGATTCCTGGATCCACTCGAGCGGCTCGACGCAGATGATTTTCTGGATTTCGTCGAGCGTCGAGAGCGCACCTCGCTCTTAGAGCTCTGGTGTTGACTCCGCTTATCGGCACTGACATCCCTTGGACCACCAAATCCAGCAATCGGGGCAGAAACCCTGAGTTTCGGCTCGGAAGTCGTGGCTGAAATCTTGGGGAGACCGGCCTTCCTGGGTGCGATCTCTGGGTCAGAGTGCACCGACGATGCCATCTCAACGTCATCTTGGTCGACTGACACAATACGCGACGGGATGACTGTCCGGGTGACCTGAAATCCAAGATCACCGGCAGCTGCAAAGCCACCGGCACTCTGGGCCACAAGCGCTAGAGCTCCAACTCGTTGTCCAAGCGACATCATCGACGAAGACGAAAAACTACCATAAGACGTTTGAACGCCCGAGGCAGTACTCTCATCCGAAGCGCGCGAGGTACCGATGACACTTGGCACCGCGCCTGGGGTAGCGTTCTTGGCTTCCGCCTCCAGAGCATCACGTCCATTGGACGTGGAATTCAGGGGAGTGGAATTCTGAAGCGAGGCACCAGTCGAAAACTTGTACGCTGGAAGAGAGGACAGCGATGGTGTAGACAGCGCGGATGGCGTTGACGGAACTTGTGGCCGAGGCGGTCCATGCTGAGTACGCTTGGATCGTGGCTCACCATCACTCGACCCTCGTGGGCTCCGTGAAATCCTGAGACCAGTGACTCTGAATCTCAGGACGAACTGTCGGCCCAGTAGATCCGCATCGTAGTCCGTCATCAATAGATCACCGTCTCCATCTTCCTTGTGGTAGTCCAGTCTTGGTGCTTGCTCTTGGGCGCTTGGTGCGGCGTGATCTTCGGAGTGTACCTTGAAAGGCACACCAGCTATCACCAATCGCCACTCGACCAGTTCCACAGCGATGAAATTCTGGGTTTCCTCCATGACAGAGCGCACCAGACTTTCTGGAATCCTGGAAGCACGCGTCGAAGACCAGCCAGGGATCAAATTGACAAACTCAAATCCGGCTTCGAAGAACAGAGTCTGCAGAATGGCGACGCAATCGCGGGTGGTCATGATACTCTGGGGAATCGTAGTCGCCATGAGGTCCTGAGCAGTTCCGACGCCCCACCGGGCGAGGTGAAACTCAGAGATCCAGGCTTCGTCTTGATTCTCCAGAGACAAACGCCACTTGAGGTAGTCTCCCGTTGCATACGCGGCCGCGAAGTATGAGTTGGCATCCAGTTTTGGAGCCGGCCACTCATAAACGACACTTGGCGGCGTCACCTTACCAGGATTCACCTCTTCCCAGCGTCGAACTTCACGTCGAACGTACAGCACCATGCTCTCGGCGTCCAACGCTGCTGCTCCCGATTCCGGAGCAGGCGCAGCAACTTCCCGGTTGTCGCTTTCAGGCGTCTTCCTGGGTGCCGCTTGCAAACTTGGCGCTGAAACTCTGGGTTCAGGTGGTGCGAACCCAGAATTCACCTTGGAACTCTGAGTCTTCACCTCCTCCTTCGCTCGCACGGGCTCCGACTTCACTTCCACAACAGACTCGTCCGAAGATGAGACCAAGTCAATCACCTCCGGCGGCTCAACCGCATTGGCGCCTCCCTCAGACGCCTGAGCACCACCCTCGCGGGTGTGCTCCTCTGGGACTTCAGGAATCCGCGACCCAGAATTCACCTCTGTCGAACCTTGGAACCCAGGGGAAACTTCTTCCTCCTGAGTTTGCGATCCAGCAGCAGGCTGACCTTGAACTGCAGACGCCTCGATGTCCCCACCTTGCACTGCCTCGCTCTCGCGAGTAGCCTTCTTCGCCTTCCGAGCGTCGCGGACGACTGTTTCCAGGTCCTTGTGCTCCTCCGGCTCTGTACCTTGAACACGACGCGACTGACGTGACGCCTCACCGCGTCCTCGTCACCACGTCCACTCTTCTTCGCCCCTCGTCCTCCCGGCATCTTGGTAGCTTGAAGTTGACGGGCACTCAACACTTCTTCAACACTTGATTCCGATGAAATCCTCGACAATCGAATCCGGGCACGCGCACCGGCTGAGGCGAGGCCGATGAAACCTTTGTCGCCCAGGGGAGGGGGGGGTCGTATAGCGCAGCCCAAGACTGTTCCCCAGGGGTAGACCCAGAGAATCGACTTGAGAGTCAACAGCAAGAAGATAGACTCAGAGATTCGCAGCCGCAAAGCTTTAAACCCTGAGAATCACACTCCTTGGTTGGCGTGGGTACCTTGTGTAATCCCTGTCCGCTCGTTTGTCTTCGACGGAACGGCACTCCACCGGTTGAAAATGTAGCCTCGAAGAAGTGCGGGAGCGCACGTCTACTTCAGAACGCACCTCCACACCAAAAGGCAAACCCAGAGAATCAGATCCCCTGAAACCCAGAATATCACGAATTCAGGGTCCAGGATTTCAGTCAACTCTGGGACTTGGAACTCAGAAGACATCTTACCCAAATGCCCTCCTAGCTCGATAAAACCAACAAATACAGAGTATACAAACACTACAACTAGCCGTCACTTATTCTTTTGGACCCTTGGACGGTGGGTCACACACACACTAGGCTCACTCGAGTCTGAAATTCGGGACCTAGCTCCCCTGAGACTCACACAAACGCGCACCACCTCCAATAAAGGAGGAAAATACAATCACTATCAGCTACCTTTCCCTTCACACAAGCAGTCAATACAAAATCCTGGAGGCGACTACCTAGCACCCCAGAATACCCTCTGGAATAATATGAAATGGGCTACCACGAGCACAGCAAGTGACCCAATTAGGATATGGAATAGATGGATCACCCCAGGAAGCTCAAGGCAGTCGCTGGTCACCACCTAACTGGACTTGAGTTTGATGGAGCCCACACAGACGGCTGTCCTTCGCCGTTGATGTGCCCTTAGCGTCCCGCGGTCGTAGTCTCGGGTCCTCCGGATTTCCGTCGGCAGGCTTGGCCGAAGTCACTTGCGCAGTACAGGGTAAAAGGAACTCTGTTTGGCTTTTATCAGCTACTTCTCTCTCTTTCTCTCTCTCTTCTTCGGGCAAATATCTTCTGTTTACTATGCTTGGGGTCAAATGTCTTGTCTTGAGTATACCTTGGGTTCAGCGGTCCAAACTTGCGATCGGCTTGCGAATCCATTGTCGCACGGCGTCGGAAGTGCCAATTGTGGGTCCTTAGACTTGGTTTAGTATGGTGCAAGACTCCCTCTCGACTCCTCGAAAGTATCCAGTCTGCGCATCCACAACGGTTTTTCAAGGTCACGCATCACTTTGATTGCAGACTGACCGCGAACTGACTCGAATCCCTGAAAATCAGGTGACGCTCAGGGTCATCTTCTGAAATCCTGGGAATTCTGAGGGATCTTGGGGAACTGTGGGGATTCTTGGGTGTTGGCTCGGGAAACACTTAAGTTCAGTATAGAGAGTCTGGATTTATGGTCCAAACCCAGAGAATCATCCTTGGAACTCTGGGTCACCTGCACTCAGGGAGGTGAACTCTGGGTCATCGTGCGGCACTCTAGGTTTCCGTGCGGCACTCTGGGTAACAAGTCTGCTGCAGTGCAGACTCGTGTGTATCTCCTCAAAGCCACACTTTTAGTGGGTTTAGCGGCCTCCTGCGCATGATCATGGTAGTAGTGGGTTGATTCTCAGGGTAATTTGATCCTCTGGGGCACTCTGAGCCACAGCAAGATGAGGTGTACTCTGGGATACATTCTCCAGAGACACTTTCCGCCAGACTTTAGGCACTCATCGTAAGGGAAAGTCCGCGGCTGGACTGAGTGTTCTCTGAAATTCTGGGCGTGCACTCCCAGGATTCACACTTCCAGCCAGTTGGGCCCATCTGCGGTCAGACGCTGGATTCATCCCGAGAAATCACTTCTCTCCCACAGTCGCCATCCATGTCACACGGGTACAGCCGCGCCGTATCCAAGTCATCCACCAGTCAGCATCCGATACAAACTCCAGGTCACAGAGGTGACGGCACATCGTCGGCAATTTTCTGGGGACCGCCTCGTGTCAGCTGACCCCGGCCGAGTTAGCTGTGATCGAGCAGCCGACGAAGGGTGTCTTCCGTGGCGTCGTCGTGGCATCCTGAGCCAGTTCACGCCCAAGAAGAATGGCCACGAGAACCAGACGCCCGGCTTTCCGGAGTACTCTCCGTACAAAGGTGAAGGTGGTCTGGAACGTCTCTACGCGCGCTGGCCTGCAGTTGAAGCCGACTACGCACGGATCGTGGCCGCAAACCTTGGGAGGAAATGTTCCGGAATCGGGTCATGGTCTTCTACTTCCACAGGCGCTCGGAACTTCCGGCCGGGTCGTTCAAGTGGATCGACGAGTATTTGCGCTACGTTCGAGACCACTCTGAGGTCTTCTGGTACATGCTCCACCGGTTCTCCATCAAGATCAAGGCGGCCAAGGGCGAGCCCGTTGATCCGCTCAGGTTTCTCCTGGCGAATACACTCTACGATAGGCGTCGTGAGCTGCCCGAGAACATCGATCGCGGCATGGAGGATCGTGTCAAGCGCTTCATCAAGAATGGAGTCCCTGCGTCTGTCTTCGAGGAGCCCGGCATCTGGGTTTACCCGGCCAAGATCTGCTACATGTACTTGACCGACCCGTCCACGTTGAACGCGCAAAGTGACCCATACAGCTTGGCCGAGCCGATCGAGATGGCAGAATGAGCGGAGCCTAGCCGGATTCAGTGGTCGTATTACTGCACGGACTCCGACCGGATGGCCCACGTCTCGCATGACCTTCGCCTCCGCGAGCTTTCGCCCGAGGAACGCGCGGCCAACCCTATCTCGCACACGGTGGAGTAGTTCGGCCGAAGTAGCGGGAGCCATGCACTTGAGTAGCGTAACCTCCACTAATTCAATTCCATCATCTTCGTCACTTTGTCGTTTCTTGCTCTTTGTGTCGTTCTCGTTGTCACTTATTCAGGGTCTCATCATCATCACCATACTGGATCCAAGTCAAAATATCATCATCGTCAAAACATCTCCAAATTCACTCGGCCAGACCAACGCGGCCTGGCATCTCACCCGCACCTCCTAACCTTGCTACCGGCCAGAGGCTCCTGCATCAGGCCAGCCTGGACCGGTCATTGCTTCACTTCAAATCACACTCCATTTCCACGAAATCACACGATCGACGATCTGGTCCGGTCAAGAATTCCCGCCCGGGGTTACACACTCGGGTGACCATCAACGGCCTGCATGGCCTGGAAACGATCCCGTGCTTTCGTGCCCTGATTGAACTCATAGAGCAACGCACCGCAATTGAGCTGCGACACCGGGAGCCATTCGGGCTCATCGTACCCCTTCCATTTCGCTTGGTACTCTCGAGCCCTTTTGGACGTACGAGTCCTCCTGGACCAACGCATGCCCAGGGTCTTCTCCACCTCGTACTCGTAGTTCTCATTGTCAACTTCCTAACTGTCCTCCGGGAGGAGTGCAGCGTCGAAATCATCGTCATCATCAACTTCGATCTGGGTGGATGGTCGTCGAGGGTAGAGTGCACGTGGCTTCAGCCGAGAAACATGCAGCCAAGGGTTGACTCGGTAACCCGTGTCATCGACCTTGAGTTTCACCCGGAAGTCATCATGCATCTCGGTGATCCTGAACGGGCCATGCCAGAGATGCGCCAACTTGCGACTCAGACCGGGTTGCACATTGGGAATATACAGCCAGACTGCATCTCCGACGTCGAAACCAGATTTCACTCGGTCAGACAATTTCTTCCACTTCCGTGTTTGCTCGGCCGAGCGCGCGCGCTTGGCCTTCCGCTGGAGATCTTCGGCGCATGCTTGGGCGTAACTGTAACCACGCTGGAGTTTCCGACGCCATTCGTAGGCAGTCCGCTCAGGGACCCGGGAGGCTTCGGGCCAAGCATGGCTGACAGTGTGCTTCTGGCATCTCAGCCGTGGACCAAGTCGAACGGGGTGTCTAGGCGAGTCGCGTCGAACGAAGTGTTCAGGGCGAACATCAGCCTTTCGGCGTGATCGTCCCAGTCACTTTGGTCAGACTCCGCGATGTACGCCCGGATACTCCGGACGACAGTCTGTCTGGACGGACCTTTCTCGTTGACCATTCGCCTGAGGTCGGTAGGCCAGGGTGGCACGCTGTCTACTCCCAAGGAGCTCCCGAAACCGAGTAAATACTTCGCTCATAAAACGGGGATCCTGGTCGTGACGTAATAGCGAGCTCGCACCGAACTGCCGGAACACTCTCTCCTCGTATGCCTCGGCGACTTCCTGCCCTTCCTGGGCGGTGGTGGAATCCATCGGCTTGCACATGACGTAGCCGGAGAATGCATCTTGGAAGAGAAGCAAGAAAGTGTTTCCACGCTCAGACTTGGGCAAGTGAGTGAGAAAACCCATCGAGACCACCTCGAATGGTTGTCTCGGCTCAATATTCCCGGGCGAAGGACTCGGGTTGGGCGGATGCCCCTTGCCACTCGCACAGTCCACGCACTCCTTGACGAATCTCTCCACGTCGGCGTACATACCGGGCCAGTAGAACTCTGCCCGGAGTTTTCGTGTGTCCGAGGGGTACCTTGATGTCCGCCCTGGAAGTCTTCATGAGCATAGTGGAGAATGTCCGGGCGGAGTGACTCGGGCACGACCAATCGCGGTTCATCAGACATGTCTCTTGGCCTATCCCGCGTAGCACGACTCAACCGGTACAACACGCCCCTGACGTCCACAGCGAACAGCTCAGCATGCTTCGACAACTTCCGAATCTGGTGTCGAGAGAAACTGCTCACGTCTCCGGCTAGGAACTTCTTCATCTCCGCAATCTGGGCGTCATTGTCTTGATGCACCTTGATCCGCCTCCGGCGTTCTGCCTGGAACTCGACTGGACCCATGGGCTCGGTCTGGTCAGACTCTTCTCGGGCCTGACTTCTGGTCACGGCAGCCATGACGCGCGCAGCAATCGGCAACGGCGCGGAATCGGGTCCTGGAAGTGACTCGGCCGGGATTCCTTCAACTGATGTCTCCTGGGCGGGGATTTCTTCGATCACTTCGCCCAGATTTTCTGACTTCTCCCGGATCCACGAGACTTGCTCAAGATGCTTAAACTCCTCGATGTCTTCGATCATCCAGGACTCTCCCGTCGCCAGCGTCTTGGACGTCAAGTAGTCAGCTGCTTGGTTGTACTCGCGCTTCAAGTGCACCAGCTTGACCGACTTGAACTTCTCGCCCAGACTTTGGTACTCGGCCAGACGTCGCTGCAAATTTGGTTGATTGCAGTTTATCAGTCCTTGCACCTGCTGAATGACAATTCAAGAGTCTCCGACGACGACCAAATCCTGGATGTTCTGGGCGGACGCCAACTCCATGCCCTTGAGCAGACCATGATACTCAGCGTCATTCACCGTAACATCTTTCAGAATGAAACCATGTGTGCTCAGGATCTTCCAGCCTGGGAGTCTCCAGATGATACATCTGCAGCTGTCCTGACGAGTTGACGTCTTGGCAGCTCCGTCGAAACTTAGGAAGTACCCGCCAAAATCCTCGCCCAGCATTTCGATGCTGATCACGGGCGGAGTCTTGACAATTCCTTTGGCCGGGATGAGATTCTCCGCGACCTCGTCCAGATGTTCGCGAGGTGTGATACCTGCGCCCAGAATGGCTGGCAGACCGTCCTCATCTCGCTTGATCTTGTGCACTTCCAGGTCCCAGTGAGAGAGCGTGACGCCCCAGCGGACACATCTTCCATCCGCCGTCTTGGACTTTAGCAGCCAACTCAGGACGGAATGTCGAGTGAAAACCTTGACCAGACATCCTTGGACGAGAGGTTGGAACACGTCCAGAACTCGCATCACGACCACCACCTCTTTCTTGGCGATGTGATACCGGAGCTCAGAGTCGTTCACACGCCCCGCGAACCTGACCGGGTGGATGACACCGTCGTATTCCTGGCCGAGAACTGCACAGGCGAACCACTGGTTGGCATGTGCACGAACGGCCTCGTGCGGTCTGGATGACGAAGCAGTGGGGTCGAGACAATCTCCTTCTTCAATATCTCGAACGCCTCCTTGGCTCGCGAGAGATCTCGGCCGGAACGAACTTGCTCATCCGTGAGTTCCGCTAAGAGACGAAACGACACTCCCACTGCCTCCGTGGCCATTGGGCACCCAGAAGCGGTAGCCCCCGCTCTTTTCATACCCAATGAAGACGCCTTTGTACTCTTGGCGTCCAGCTTCTGTCGCTGTGACTTCGGCAGCAGCACTTCAGCATCACAGCCAAACACGCGCAGCTTGTTCAACCCAGGGGCGTGACCCGTTAGCACCTCAATGGGTGTCTTGCCTGCGAGCACTCCTGACGGGCAGCGGTTTCGGATGTACGCTGCAGTCTTGACAGCGTCGCTCCAGAAGCGCTTATTCATACCAGCAGCCTGTAGCATGGCGCGTGCCATCTCAACGACAACTCGGTTACTGCGCTCAACTTTGCCGTTCTGCTGCGGGGCGTACGGCGTGCTGAACTCTTGTGCGATCACGTTCTCATTGCAGAACTCTGCAATTTCGCCGCCAACGTACTATGCAGCGTTGTCACTCTTCAGTACAGCAACAGGAGCCTCAGGAATCTCGACTTTGATATTAGCGATGCATTCTCGTAGAGCGCGGAGTTGGGTGGCCGAGCTCTTGTCTTTCACAGGGAACACTGCCGCCAAATGATACGGCTCAATCATCATGCTCACCATACCCGAGAAGCCGTCTCGCGACGTTGTCTCCATTGGCCCCACATAGTCGATTGTGATCAGCACTTGGCCACGTTTTAGGTCGCGCGGCTTCTTCGCTGGAAATGGACGACTGGCCAGCTTTCCAGCTACACACCCCTCACACGGTCGCAGCTGCTGGGCAGTCGTGGCTATACCACTGGCCTTCAGCAACGCCTTGAGGTCTCGCGCGTTTAGGTGTCCGAGCCTGGCGTGCCACATTGTCAAATCGTCCGATTCACCAGACGCGTAGTCGGCCTCCGCATTGGGCGTCGTTACGACATACAGCCCGATGCTGCGGCGTGTTGCAACGAGCTTTGCACGGCCGCTGTTGATCACACACCGCTTATGGTCGAATGTGGCCGTGAGACCGGCTGCCCCAACCTTGCTTAAGCTGACGAGATTGCGCTGCAGCCCTGGTACATACTGCACGCTGGATCGCGTGCAGAACCCTCCAGTAATCAGCGGCAGGTGAGCCTTTCCGCTGTGCGTTGCGGTCAGAGTCGTGCCGCTAGCAGTCGTGACAACGACACTACTGGCCATCTCGTGCAGGTTCGAAAGGAGACCACTCGTGCCCATCATGTGACTCGATGCTCCAGAGTCGATGATCCAATCAGCTCCGACCGCTTGCGTCGACACTTGAAACACAAAGCCCGTCTCGGCCTCGTCACCGCTGTCCTCGCTGGCAGCGGTGTTGCCAAAGGCGCCTCCAAATTGCTTCTTCGACTTGCACTCATTCTTGAAGTGACCGCGCTTCCCACAGTTGTAACACTTGCCCTTGTTTCCCGTGCGATGAGGCAGCGAACGCATTGCCGCTGCTGACAGTATGGCTTCCTCCATGCTTGCTCCGCTGAGCTTGTGTCAAGCGGCGTCTAGCCTCAGCCGCCGCCTTGATGAGGAGCTTCTCCATCGAGCCGCACGCTTCCAACGCACCAATGTAGCCATTCCAATCCGGACCGAGGCTCTGTAGGAAGTTGCTCTTCTTCTCTGCGTCGGATAGCGACACCGTGTAGCACTCCAACTCGGCCAGCAGCATGCCCCTGTCGGCGTCGATGTACAGGGGCATATACTGTCGCTTGAGAGCTCCAACGGTCGTGCCACACACATGACGGTGCATCTTCTGCAGCGCCTGCAGCATTTCCTGCGGGTGCGTGAGATCGGTGACCAACGTGGCTTGGTCGTCCGTCAGCGCCGACAGAATGATCGTCATGGCGAGCTTCTGCTGAAGCTCCAGTTGATGCAGCTGTCGCTCTCTCTGCTGTAACGGGTGATCAGCTTGGCCGGACTCCTCATTTGCCAGGTGCAGCGACGTCGGTGCAGGCTTCAGCACAGCGCCCCACACGTCCTTCACCTCCAGATACAGCTGGGGGTGCCGAGCCCAGACACGATAGCGGAGCCGTCGAACTTGCGAAGCTTGGTCGTGAAGGCGGTCGTGGTGTTGGAACTCATAACCTGTCGAGTAGGTAGGAAGCTTGAGAGCACTTGAGCGGAAGACGGTGAAAGGATAGTGAGTTCAACTGAGAGCTATGCAAAGCTGCCTCGTCGCCTACCTGCGCGCTGACTCCCCACTTTCAACCAATCAGAACATGACAGCAGGTCACACGCTAGCCGTGTGACTGCACCTACTTTTGTGTATGTACCTATGTAACTTCTACCTACTTATGTAAATGGGCCCTTTACATATGCTAGAGAGACTTCTCGCCCGAGTTTTTTTAGATTTAGAAAACCGAAACCGAGTTTCAAGATGAATGATTCAAACCGTCTAACCCACAAACATGTTAGGTAGATTTACTACACACTAACAAACCGTTTGTAAACGCTAGTGTTAGCTATACAGTGAGTATTTATGCGAACACTAATGTAAACACGAGGCACCCTGAATATTGGTTGATGCTGGTGTTCTTGTCCGCACGGGTGAGCTCGGAATTCTGCTAGCCGTTTAACCAGGGATCGCTCTGTGGGGAGAGTGTCGTAGCACCACCATCCAACGCCTTACCGACGCTTTAGCAATGTTTTTGCACAGTTTAATTTCCTGATTCACAGGTATGTACAGGTTTGGTGATATGATACTTTCCCATTATCGTCGGTATGCGGGGTTGAAGTAGAGCTCACCCTGAGCGCAATCGGCGTTAACCCCGAAAAAATCTTATTATCGTCAAGCAAATACATGTTACCTACGCTTACAGCAAGAATTCTTAAAACGGCGCGATAAGATAATCATAAAACCTGTATAACGTTTAGAAACGGATAAGTAGGTTCGGTCCTTACCAACTTATAAGTAGTGACACAAACCTACTTACGTTGCAACAAATCAGGGGTAATCTACTTGAATAGCTTAATTTCTCCAGATAACAATCAGAGAGTTCGTTTTACTCCCTACTGCGCAAGTCGTCGAGGAATCGGGTCCGCTGTCTTTATGGACAAGGGCAGTGCAGAGCTTCCCACACACATTCAAGTCCAGTTACGTGGGGATCAGTCTGCTCGGGCTGCTGAAGTGATCCACGTATTCCATTTCCCAGTTGGGCCCATTGCGTCGAGTAAGGGTGGTGTCCCATTTCATGTTAACGATTGATATCTTGGGTGGTTTGGTAGCAGTCGCCCCCGCGAATAGTTTGATTGACTGCGTTTAGGATCGGGTTGTATTTGGTCTGTATATTTCCCTCATCTGAGGGTGGTGCGCGTGTGAAAGTGCGTTCAAGGTTGACCAGTACCTTGATCGCAGATTAGTTGACTGGTGTATGACCCACCGCCCAAGGGTCTAAGAATAAGTGGCGGCTGTGTGTTTGTGTATAACTCTGCATTTGTATTGATTATCTGAAGGTGGTGTGTATTTCTGGGGTTCTAACTTGTGGTAGTAACCCTGATCCTTCGCCCACGCTTCAAGCTTCAGCCATTTCGAAGAAGTGCGCTCAGACAAGTGAACGTTGCGCTCAACAAACTCAAGGCTTTTAACCCCACAGACAACTTACCTGGTGATCGATCCAGGCTTCCCGAAGATAAACGACACCGATCGAGATTCACAAGGTGCCACGCCACCCTGGCTGCATTTTTCCCCAGAACCTGCGTTCAAGGAAATCTGCGTTCAGGGTTTACCTTCTCGAAAAGTATCTCGTATACCTTTTCTGGGTTACCGCTATACACCTGGGCGTAAAAGGTTCACCGACCTCGTCACAGCAGCGCTCCGGTGTCTCGGGTCGACGACGCGCACTCGAGGCCAGCAATCGAACTTACGCCTAGAGCGTAAAGTTAACTTTATCGCACGAGCTGCCCTGTTCGTGAAGAGGTAAGTTGGAAAGTGAGATGTATTTAGGCAGACAAACGAAACCAACTAGCTGGCTGCCTACTGGGGCACAAGGGGGCCCTTGTGCATGCCGTCCGCTACTTATTTGCTTGCTCATGGTCCTGCGCCCGCTTCTCTGCGGCGAGGGCCCTTGATGACGCTCTGTGATGCTTGGCCCGATGTCCTTCTCCAGTCACCGTCCTTCACAGCGTCGTAACCATGTAGACACGCAGCCAGCGGCCCCAATGATTGTGCTTGGGCCACTGGCGATTATGCCCACGACGAACTTGAGCCAGCTAAGCACGGCATCGAGACTACATGGGGTACAAAGCCCACCTAGTGTCGGGATTCATCTTCACCATACCAAAATCCAACAGCTCTGGACGTGAAAGGCCTCGTGCAATACGGCGGGGGGGGGGGGGCATCGCGGCTTCGCTTTCACTGGGCGCGCGTCAGGTTTGAGCCTCACACGCAACAGCGATACCTTAACTGGAGGGCTTTGCCGAGCTCCAGTTGAAAGCATTCCGCGTTGCGCTCAAGAATTCAGTGGAGACCATACAAGGACACAGGCATACCGTTGTCGAGGGCCTCGATCAGTGCCTCTTACAGCGCCGCAATACCTCGTCTTGCATGTGCTTCATCACCACCGGAGACGTGGCCATCGTGCCGAACCGATCTTCCCCCACGCACTCCGGTTCTTCTCGTAGTGTCGTAGCCGCTTGGGGCTGACTCTTCGTCAGTGGTGTTGGGGCGCCGTCGGCTCGAGATCTTGGAAACTATCACGTATTATTCTTAGCTCGTGCAGAGGAGAGGGTATCATCCGTACAATAGCCAAGTGCGACCATAATGGTCGCCCCATTATCATGGTTGGTTTAGCCTCTTCCTTACTCAGCGCTTGACCCTTCGCAGCACCAAAATTCCGGTCGATGTCTCCATCTTGATCTTATCGAGAGATACCTGGCGCGTCATCCGTACAATACTACCCCCAGCAGGGCAAAACAGTGTCGGGGTGTCAGCCGTCATGATGTCAATGGGCGCTCCTCGCGCAGCCAGCGCCTGGGCCAGGCCCAGTCCCACGACCGAATCATCTGCGCCAGAGTAAAGCAGCCCTGTGCTCGGAAGCTGGTCGTTGATAAGCGCGATGATCGTGTCCTTGTTCTTCCCGCCACACGAGGAAGGAAAACTCGTATCTCCCTTGGTGACTGCCGCAATCCGACATTATTCTTCCCTTTCTGCAATCGATCAGCAATTAGATGGGCAGCTTCCTCGGGACCCACACCAGGCCAGTTCTTCACCAAGTTGTTGACAGAGTTGCATATGAAGCAGCGTTGAGGATCGGGCGTGATCTGACCCGCCGGTCCTGAGTAAGTTTCCTGTCGCCCCACTGTTACTTGGCGGGCTACTGGCTGGGCGTAGCTGCCGTTGTTGCCCGTCTTGCTGCTTGTGCTGCACTTCCGTCCCAGACTAGGGCTTCGAGGAGCGTTCTCGGGAGGCTGGCTGCCACAGCATACGCGACTTCATCAGCTCAAGAGTACAGTAATAAAACGCGACCACATCCGAGTGCAACTTCTTGCTCTCCTCGTACGACAGCTGTGTCTTGACGGCTTGGCGGAAACTGTTCGGTGCTAGACCATCCACCAGGTATGTGACCAGCGTCTTCTGTTCCTTCTCGACCATGCCGGCCTCGACGTTGTTCTCGTATAGGATCTTGTGCATGCCCGCGCGTAGCTTACCCATTCTGAAATCAGCATCAAGGCAGACTGGTATCTACACGTAGCTTAGACATTGCTTCGTCAACCGCAGTGTAGTCATGATGATCAGGCCGCAGCTCCGCCTTGAAATACGACTACGAGCGCTGCCTAGTTGTCCTGCAGCTGTCCACACCTGCGTGCACTGCGTGCACCTCCGCTCACGTACGTATACCCCGATTTTATCTTGAAAAAATGCTGTGATTGCCAGCGCTAGGAGGCACGATTTCCGCGGATCGGGTAGTTCGCCTACTGATTTTGAGTCCCACTGATTTATGAAATTACCTATCGTGTGTGTCACATCGCACCCTACCCCCGACAAGAGCTGGTTTCTTTCTCAGACTCATTTGAAGCAGAGCAGCAGCAGCAGCGATGCAGGACGAGAAGGAGGAGAAGGAGTACGTGTTCGTGCTGACGCAGAAGCTGAGCGACTCGAGCGCCTGCCACGTCTCGCAGACGCTGGCGGCGTCCCCCACGGCGGGGGCGACGCCCACCACGTCGTCCTCGGACGGGAGCGCGACGTTTGGCGACTCGGGGGACTTCGACGCGGGCTCGGACGACTCGGTGGAAGAGGACGAGGCGCCCGTAGTCGCCATGCCCTTCCTGCCGGCGCTGGACGCCTCCACGCAGATCACGATCCACGACGGCTACAGCGAGGCCATCATGGACGCGCAGCACGCGCTGGACTCGCGTCTGCTGGCGTACTCGCAGTACCAGCAAATGGTGAGGCAGGGGGAAGCACGCCCCGCTGCGGATGAAGCAGCAGAGACACTGACAGGGGTCTCTTTGTGTTGTGTGATATGTGTACTTGAACAGGCTCGACCAAAGCAGGTGCTGCTCACCCCCAGGCGGCCCAAGACGGAGCGGTTCGTCGTGACAGCCAGGCCCGCCGTGGTGGACCGTCCCGTGACTGTGTGCATGGGCTGGCAGCGCGTGTCTAACATCGACTCTAGCAGCCGCGACCTGCTGCGCGTGCTGGAAGAGGACGGCGTGTCCTACGAGCCGCATGACACGGCCTACAGCGTCAAGTACCTGGCGCCCGTGCTGCCGTTCGGCGACTGCCTCTTCTTGTCGATGGAGCAGTTGCTTCTGTACACGGAAGAGTGCGAGCCTTTGTCCCCCGAAGAGATCCGCGACGTGGCCACGAAGTTCTTCCTCGCGCACTACACCTCCAGCTCGCCTGAGGAGCAGCAGAAGATTGACAAGGCCATCCAGAACCTGTACTACCCTGCACTGAAGGGCGGCTGGGGCGTGAGTCCCGTCCAGACGCGACGGTTTGTGGCGCGTAGGAGTGACAAGAAGATGCTGCTGGACAAGTGCGCGGAGCTCCAGAAGCGCGGCTACTCGTGGGGGAAAGCTGCGGAGGCCGTGTACACGGAGTTCGCCACGCCGATCGTGGACGCACACTCGTACTGCGACTACATGAGAGTCGGCCGGGGCGAAAACACGCACTTCCTCATCGGGCTCAACTACAGTAGCCGCGGCCTCATCTCGGTGGACAATGACCCGGATAACTCGCGTGTGGCATGGGGAGATGACTTCGTGCTGGAGGCGCTGGCGACCGCGTACCAGCGCGACATCTTTGTCGTCCTGGTGGGGTGCGGTAAAATGTTTTTCCTCCCGCACCGGCCGCGTGGTGAGGTTGGCTTGGAGCAGAGCACGATTTGCCACTCGAAGGGCCACGCGCCGTGGTTCTTGCTCATGCGACTAACCGGCAGTGACCGCGGCGGGGACCACTACGAGCCGATGCTGTGCGAGCGACTGCGTGGCGACGGATCCCCGGAGTTCGGCTCGATTGGGGACTAAGTGAGCTGACAGTCGTGCGTGTCAGGCGCGCGCGAGGTCTTTCCTTTTTAATTCGCTATATAATTGCCGTGTACCTGCAACTCAGTGCCTTCGACTTGCAGGCTTGGCTTGCTGCCCAGTTTCAATTGTGACTCAAGTTGAAGTAGCTAGACTTCGCGTGGCAATCAGCAGTTTTAGAGCAACGTTCCAACGAGGCGATCGCTGAGCTGACACTTCACCTCTGGCTACCAAAATGCTGTTAATGTGTGAACCGCCGTTGTTGTCCAACCGAGTGTTGCTGCTGAGAGCTGCAAGGAGTTCATCGTGGAGAGTGTAAGCAGGATCTCTTGTTTGTGCTATTTAATAAACCCCGCAGACAAATGGGCACACACACGGATGGAAGGCGAGGGAACAAGGCAACACAAGTTCACTTAGCGCAGGCTGTCCCAGCCAGGGCCTTTTCATTTCAACTCGGGGTCCCCTTGACTTGATCAGCACGGAATACTGTCTCCGTGTCACGCAGGAGGAGAAAAGTGCTGACCTAAGTCCGACCGCCGCCTGCGTCATCCGTCACGAGAGGCTCGCAGCTTAGTTGCCGATGGTCTCGAGGCTCTTCTCCCACTTGTCGAGGTTGCCAGGCAGCTTCGACCACTCGTCGAACTCCTCGTCGAACAGCGACGGGATGGACGTCGACGTCGAGCTCGAGCTGGCGGCTGCACGCATCAACGGAATAAAAATGCGTCGGCCATCAAGTCAGATAACAGAACAATAATCCCAGAGTTCCAATCGCTGGCCACGTACGGATGACGATCTCCTCCTCCTTCTTCTTGGACGGCTTGAGCTTGAACAGCATGATGAGCGTCGTGTAGGCGCCCAGGGTGGCCAGCACGATCTATAGTCGGTAGCAGAAGCACAAGGCGTCAGTCAGTCAGTCAGTTGGTCAGTCGGTCGATGCGTAGCTCCTCGTCCAAAAGAGCAAGGATCTCTCTTCTTCTTGTTCTTCTTACGTGGTAGTCCTCCGGCAGGTAGTGGCGGACCTTGGCCTCCAGGCTTCCCTCAGGAGGGGCCGGGCCGTGGCTCATCAGGCGCTTCTGCGCGGGGGTACGGCGACCGGCGGCGGTCGCCACTTTCTTGACGAGGCTCAGCATCTTGTCGGCGGTGTTGTTCCTATGGGCTTCAGCGACTGCAGGGGGCCGGGCAGAGCCAAAACGAGAGGCGGGGACGGGCCTGTCTCGTGATTGGCTGAAATGACGCATCGTACTTAAAGGAGGTGTTAAAGTGCTTCATAGTCATTATGGTACAAGTCCTAGCCTACCTATGGGATAGTTGCCGCAGCCGCTATGAGCTCTCGACGGCCGCGACGGGGACGCCTTCGCTCTCGCTCGGGACGGGCTTCGCGGACGGCGGCAGATTGCGGTTGATCTCGGCCTGCCAGTGGGCCAGGTTGGCGTCCAGCTGCGCCATGCAGTGGTCCAGCCGCGCGCTGGGCAGGTGGCTCAGCGACAGGAAGAGCGGCCGCACGATGCCGATGATGAAGCCCGCCTGCATCTTCTCGAGCGGGATGGGCTGCTCGCGGTCGTAGCCGATGCTCACGGGCAGCAGCAGCTCGCGCTCCTTGTCGCCCTGCTGGTAGAACTCATGCTGGATGCGCTCGGCCCAGATGAGGTACGTGCGCAGCGCCTTGGTCGGGTTGGACACGTCCGCGGCGTGCAGCGCCATCTGCAGCACCAGCCTGTCGTCGTCCGGGTCGGCCGCCTTCCAGCCTTCCTCGGTGGATCTACAGGGTACAAGTGCCCGGTTAGGACATGCGTGGAGGGAGATGAGTCGACTGGAGTGGAGCTTTCTGTACCTTCGCACAAGGTTGTCCAGTTTGCCCAAGTACGTGGAGTGTACGCTGTTGTCGGTCGCCAGCACCATGTCGGTGATCAAGTTCCGGACCTGGAGGTGGAAGCAGGAGGCACAAGGATCAGTCCAGGTTTGCCTTCTCACTTTTCCCGAGTGCTGCTGTTACTGCTGCTGGTTGAATCGCGTACCTCGTGCTGCTCGATTTTCGTTAGACCCTGCAGAATATTGCACGCTGGGTCTTTCATCAACTGGAAGGCCAGAGCGCAATGCATGTGCTCCAGGGGGGAGCGGTACACATACTGTGTAGCCAACTCGTCGTTGATGGTGATATGGAAATTGTTGCTGTAGCTTGTGTGGCCCTACGAGCGACAGTAAGCAAGGGCATCGTCAGCGGAGACAACAGCATACAGGACAGCTTGGAGGTTTGACTACGTACGACGTCGTGTATGATCGCTGCCAGTAGTGCTGTGCACTTTGTTCGCTCGGTGAATAGACTACCCAGGTTTCCGACAGACAAAAAGTGGTGCAGGGTTTGCGTAACGTCGGCTGCATGCTCGGCTGCAATCAATGGCAAAACAGAATTGGTGTGTGTCAGTAAACCCTGGCCAACAGTGACGCTCCGTGGAGGCAACTTCGACGACATACCGTTATGATACGGGTGGGCATGATACCGGCGCTGGACACTACAGTGGGAAATGGGCGGAACGGGATGAACGGTTAGTGTTCAGGTGACAACAAGCCGTGGGTCTCGAGTGGGGAAACGTACTGCCGCAACAAAGATTGAACGCGCGCTTTGCTTGTTCGAAAGTGACAGCAAAAATCGTACTGCTCCAGGAGTGCATTTCCAATGATGCACAAAGCTTGGCCTGGGACTGCTGCCGCAATCTGGATAGAGCGTAAGGACACAAGATCAGCACTGGACATGAAACAATACCCGTACGAGCTGGCAGTATCGTACCGCAAACACGTCGAAGTTCCAGGAGTCGACGTTGGCGATCTCGTTCTTGACAGCAAGCACGATGGACGGATTGGTGATCTCTGGGCAAACTTCGATGGAGAAGCGATGGCGCTCCTCCTCCTTCTGCTTCATGACCCGGGCCACTGCTTCGCTCCAGCGGCGTGCGGCCGTCCCTCTGTCGTCACTCATGCTGTGGCTGCGCTTCCCACCGGCGCTGCTCTTATCGGACTGGTACATTGCTAGCAGACAGCGACGCAACATGCTCGTCCGGCGTAGTGCCGTACGAAACGTCTTGGCGCTCTCCGACTCGTGGAGGAAGTTCTGGATGAAGAAGTTCTGCATGCTCTCGTCGAACACGTTCGAGTGCGTGTCGAAGAGTTTCTGCATCGTGTTCTCAACGCTCCGCTCGTCCCAAGTGGAGGTCACGGTCTCCAGCGCACGGGAGAAGCCATGCAAGATCTGGTCAAGCTCCTCGCGTTGCACCGCAGCCTCTCCTCGCTCGTTGTCGCAGGCATGCTGCTGGAGCTTGCGGAGCAGAGCAACCGCGTACATGATGGACTCGTCGCTCGTGTGGTCGCTTGAGCTCTCCAGAGCACTCGTCGCGCGTCTGGTAAGCACACTGGCATTGGCGTTGTTGCTACTGTTGCTGCTGCTCGCAACAGACGTAGGGCGGGTGTCTTCGCTGCGTTCGTCTTTATCATCGAATTTGGCAACTTCACCCCTTTCGACCACCGAGGCGCCTACAAGTCGCGGAGACGACTGGGATATCCTGAGCGGCGGCGACGCCCGCAGCGGCGCGATGCGCGGTTGACGAGCAGTGGGCAGGATGCAGGGCCCCGCAGGCGGGTCCTTGGTCGGCTCGGGCTCGTCATGCTGCGCGGAGCGGGGCAACGGCAACGTTGACAAGCTTGCAGAAAGGACGGCGGCGTCGCCTCCGCCAGTCGCGACCGCCGTTGGCAACGCCGTTGCAGTGCTGCTGCCCGCAGCGGAGTTTATCGTGCGCCGAGCCAGCGCTGCCATCGAGTGCAGCAGCATCCGGCGTCGGTGCTCCTTGGTCTCGACCCCCATTGGAGCTGGGTCGTATTCTTGGCGGACTCGCGCGTCGCGACCCGTCGGGCTCGGTTCGTTTCTTGGCGGCGGCGGCGGTGGCTTGCAATCCAATGCGGAGCTGCACGCGCTCCCGGCGTGCGCGCGCTCGAGCTCTCGGGTGGCCTGCGTCTCGCTCTTGTTTTCGACTCGCCTCGCGGCACAGCAGCGGGATGAGTGGTGGGAGGCAGGGCTCGCTAAGATTCCACTCGTCCCCAGGCCCTCCTCCCCTCCTCGGCGCTGGGCGCGGCGGCCAGACACGTTCTGATTACTGCCTATTTATAAGTGCGGCAATGGGGCACAACTGCCAGCAGGTGGAGGCGAGCCGAGGCGAGGGCAACTCGCAGGTCTGGGCAACGGCCGGCGCTATCTACAGTCGCAACAGGTGCTTGTACAGCAAGACCGCTTCAGACTTGCCGCAGGTGGAGCAGAGGCAACTTCAACCTGAATTGATCCGCTGCGCCGATATACACCTGCTCGTCCAATGTGCATCAGCTCTAGACCACGTAGCTGGTATCGTTCACACAAACAAGGAGCAGACTCATGTTGACACGCTGGACGCGCCGAGGGGCTTGAAGCAGTGATTGGCGATCCTTTATTTTCGAATAATGAAGCGACGGAGACGAAGCCGCCCAAAGCCAACGGGCAAGGCACAGCGCCGCTCTCAGCGGAGCTTAGAGTCCATGCGCGAGAGCAGTCGGCAAGTGGACATCACGCCACCGTCGAGTGTATCCGTGCCCGCCCCGACCCACTGACAAGTCGGTCTCCTCATCTCCGCAATCCTGGAACTGTGTCGGTTTCTCGGTCCTAAGCGTGGTGAGCGGCCTTGGCACGGAGAGCGGCGTAGTACGCCTTCATCTCCTCGCGCTTCTGCAGGGCGCGACGGTGCGTTCCGAGCTGTTGTGACGCAGTCGAGCGATCCGAGTCAAATGACACAATCATAGGTAGTCGTTAGCATCGATCGTTGAGTAGATGAGATGGGTTAAACCGAGGAAGTTGAAGCCAGGCATGACGAGCTGCTGCTACTGCTGCCGCCACATTCAGACAGATACGTACGCGCTTCTTGGAGAACTTGTAGATACGCTTCTCAGCCGACGAGCCGCCGCTCTTGATCATGTCAAGAATGCGCTTCTCGTACGGCATCAGGCCGACCACCTCGCGCACGATCTCGCGCACGAGTTTGGTCTTCTTGCCGGCGCGCTGCGCACATCAACCAACCACAAACAGCCTCGTTAGCTCATGGCTCCGCTCCGCAGCAATGATTCCCTGTATGTCGCCGTCCTGTCCAGCAAGCCGGCCTCCAGCGCAGCTGCATCAGCTGCTCCTCGCAGCGTCCAGTAGGCGTATATCAAAGACGCGTTCGCTCTCTGGCTCACTGCCTCGATCTGTAGCTGCTGCTTGACCCACTGAGTATCAATCACGCTGCTGCTGCTGTTGCTGCTACGCTGCTGCTACGCTGCTGCTGCTGCTGTGGGCGCGGCTGGTTGCTGGCCAGACGCTATCGAATTTCGCTGACTGCACTTACGCCCTTGCGGGAAGCGGGGCGAGGAGCCACCTGCTTCTTGTTGACAGGGAAACCCTTGTTCAGGCCCACGGCGATTCCAGTGGAGGACATGGTGATGTTTTTTGCTTCCGAAAGACTTAAAGAACCGAACTAAGAGCTGCGTGCGCGGCGGGGCGGCTTTCAGCCCGGCCACCATCCGCTGGTCCATTGGTTGGTCGCCGAGCCGGACATCCGCCTAGGTGCGAATCCGACGGTTCGCCTGACCGGTCCGGACCGCGGTCCAGACGAATCTGGAACGTTACAAATTCATTATCGCGGCTCAGATTCCAGAATGCGTTTCAGAATGGTCATCGCCCCCAAAATAGTGACAATATATTGTGTTGTAAGAATTTCTTCGGCCGATTCGATTCCTGTAGCACCGTGCTCTCCAGTCCAAGACCACCACCAACTCAAAGAACCTAGTTTCGTTTGGTGTGTAGGCTTCGACCGCCACGTACGGTAAAATAAATAAATAGAAACTATAAGTTCTAGGTGCAATGAAACGTTTAATGAGTTGCATTCAGCGAGAATGCTAGTGTGCAGTGTCTACTTCAAGAACTTGCTCGTACGGATTGCTCACTGAAGCACTCAGCTAGAAATGCGTTTATCAGGGGAAGAAGCGTCGTCGCCGCGGGGATAAGCAGGGCAGATCGTTTTAATTGATGTGGTCTCTGGTGATGCCATTGCTGGGATTGAGTCCATTGTACGTCTGGAATGTCCTAAGCCAGGTTAGCATCGCCGAAGCCGGTGGCGGTCCCAATGGCTGTACGTAGCTCGCCTCGTATCGAGATGCCACTGTTGGGGTCTCCTGGAAAGGGTCTAATCAAAACGCGTTCCTTGCACCATGGTACGCAGATTTAGTCGTTCTTGTTTTGCTCCTGCGCGGCATTGTAATTGTAGGGATGGAAGACTCGCTGAGAGCGTAAATTGGATCACCAGATTTCGTCAAGTTTAGCTGGACTGGTATCTTCAGTGTGATGACTTTGCCAACGAAATGCGATTCATAAAGTGTTCAGCCACTTTACCACCTCGAGGTGGCCGTTCCTGGCCGCTCTGTCCATGGCGAACGTCGAGCGGTTACGACGCAGCCACTTAAGCACTCGCGGAGATCATTGCACTCGATTGCAGTCTAGGACTCCTTCATGCTTGCCATTGCCATTGACAACAGGTAACTACAGAGCTGTGGTGTCGTGCTCTCGCCGGGTTCGTTGTGGCGCGTTTGCTTCGACAGGCCAGGAACAAACGACAGTTTGTTCCTGGCTGGGCGCCCTAGAGCGATCCACGCATTATCTGTCGTATCGTCGATTTCCGGTCAGCGCCCTCGCCGGTCTAGTCATGGCATCACAACTGTGCCATCAACTACAGTAAGCCGAATGCGCCATTCCTCGCAGCGTCGGGGATAGGACGTTTCATGGGATCTCAAATCCCACACACGGATAGCGAGTGCATGGCGATGAGGCAGTGGTAAGGCGGGGGGGGGGGTCTCCATCGTGTGTGGATACCGTGAGCCCCAGCTCACGTCCAGCAAATCGCCCGTGTCTATGGGATTTAACGTTTCCAGTGGTGCTGCCATATTGAAGTGGGCCAGCTCACTTACCTCCATCCAGCCCCAACGCCGCGCTACTTACTGCACCAACACCTTCGCCCACGACGGACATCGGGGAGCAACTCCATTGCCCCAAGTTTATTATAGCACCGCCGCCACCACCACCACAACAACAGCAGCAACGCCGCCCAAGCCATTCCGGTCGCGAGGATGGGCAGAAACCGGGCTGCTCGGCCGCATTGCACGGCGGCGAGCGCAGTCTGACGCAAGAGCTACATGACATCACGGTTGCGCTACGCCTGACGTCCCATGCGCGTTGCCGTATACTGTACTGGCAGTGTGGGGCCTGCGGGCCACTCACCGCCGGATCGAGCCGCGCGTCTTTTCCTCGCTGCTTGCACAAGCTCTCGTGCGCGAGCTCGACGTCCGCCACCTGGGGCCCTCGTCATTTGCGGATTCCCTGCCTGCAAACCACCACCGAAACCCCGAAGCCTCTCCGCCTTCCGCCATGGCGATCCTGAACCCGGAGGCCGACTCGGCCGCCAATCTGGCCACCGACAGCGAGGCCAAGCAGCGCCAGCTCGCGGAGGCCGGCTACACGCACGTGGAGGGCGCGCCGGCGCCACTGCCGCTGGAGCTGCCGCACTTCTCGCTGCGCGACCTGCGCGCCGCCATCCCCAAGCACTGCTTCGAGCGCTCGTTCGTCACGTCCACGTACTACATGATCAAGAACGTGCTCACGTGCGCCGCGCTCTTCTACGCGGCCACCTTCATCGACCGCGCGGGCGCCGCCGCCTACGTGCTGTGGCCCGTGTACTGGTTCTTCCAGGGCAGCTACCTCACGGGCGTCTGGGTCATCGCGCACGAGTGTGGCCACCAGGCCTACTGCTCGAGCGAGGTCGTCAACAACCTCATCGGCCTCGTACTGCACTCGGCGCTGCTTGTGCCGTACCACAGCTGGCGCATCTCGCACCGCAAGCACCACTCCAACACGGGCAGCTGCGAGAACGACGAGGTGTTCGTGCCCGTGACCCGCTCGGTGCTCGCCAGCTCCTGGAACGAGACGCTCGAGGACTCGCCGCTCTACCAGCTCTACCGCATCGTGTACATGCTGGTCGTGGGCTGGATGCCCGGCTACCTCTTCTTCAACGCCACGGGCCCGACCAAGTACTGGGGCAAGTCGCGCAGCCACTTCAACCCGTACTCGGCCATCTACGCCGACCGCGAGCGCTGGATGATCGTGCTGAGCGACATCTTCCTCGTGGCCATGCTGGCCGTGCTGGCCGCGCTCGTGCACACCTTCTCCTTCAACACCATGGTCAAGTTCTACGTCGTGCCCTACTTCATCGTCAACGCCTACCTCGTGCTTATCACGTACCTGCAGCACACGGACACGTACATCCCGCACTTCCGCGAGGGCGAGTGGAACTGGCTGCGCGGCGCGCTTTGCACGGTGGACCGGTCGTTCGGCCCGTTCCTCGACTCGGTGGTGCACCGCATCGTGGACACGCACGTGTGCCACCACATCTTCTCCAAGATGCCGTTCTACCACTGCGAGGAGGCCACGAACGCCATCAAGCCGCTGCTGGGCAAGTTCTACCTCAAGGACACGACGCCCGTGCCCGTCGCGCTCTGGCGGTCCTACACGCACTGCAAGTTCGTCGAGGACGACGGCAAGGTCGTCTTCTACAAGAACAAGCTCTAAGGTGGCCGCGGCCTACACTGCAGCCCCCGCAGCTCCCTCCATTAACGTTAATTCATCCCGTGCAGTGCACTTTATCATCCTTCTCATCGCCTCTTGATTGTTGCTGTTGCCGTCAAGATGCCATCACCCCTTTGACAAGGATGACTCAGTACATGCAGTCGTGCAGCGAAACGTACTTAGCAGGGGTGAAGCCATATCGATCGAGCACTTCAACTTCAGCTGCCAGAAGTGTGCCAAAGCCAATAAATAAGGTTGCACTACACTACACTCGCCCAAGACCACTCCCTCATCTCCCGCCGCCGCTCTGGATGGAGGCCAGGTGCTCTCGCAGGTCCCTTTCCGGTTCGCTGTCGTCCTCGGCGTCTTCCGACGACACCTTCTCCTTGTCGCGCTTGTCATTATGTGCCTCCTTCTCGACTTCGTCTTCGGGCACGACGGGGTCCGACGCCTCCTGTCGTTGGCGATCAAGCACAGCTCGCCAGCTCTTGAACGAGCTCACGCGTCTACCCATGCGTCGGATGCCGCTCTTCTTCACTGGACTGCCGCGGGGTGAGACGCTGGTCTCCCTTGCCTCTTCACTACCCCCAGAATTTCGTCGCGGCAGTAGCAGCACCTTGTACTCAAAAGCTCGTGACCGACGCGGCAACCGGCAACGCCTCGCGTGGAGCCAGCAGCACACAACCAGAACCACCAGTCCTGATCCCCACCACTGTGTACGACGCACTGGTCGTTGGCGCTGCTGCAGGAACGCTTGTACTCTTGGACGGTTGCGTCTGCTCCACGACGATCTCAGTCGATGCACGGAGCAGCGTCGACGCGTTCGCGGGTGCCTCGAGTACGACCGCAAACGCGCGCTGCAGGGTTGACGATGTCGAGTCCCCAGACTCCTTAGTCCAGTCCTCAGCTGGGAGGACCTCCACTGCAAGCTGGGCACGCTGCTGCCCTACCTCGAACAAAACTGCGCCACGCGCCTCGACGTAGTCTACTCCTGCGTGCGCCGGGTCGGTTGTAGTGCTCGTCGGGGCGGTGAAGTACGTCGCACGAGCGCTCGAGTCGCACCGCCAGGAGCAGCATTCGCGCCGCACAGGAATGACGACCAGCAGTCGGTGCGTCGGAGGCTGCTGCACGACTAGAGGCGAGCTGCTGAAGAACGCAAACGAGTTTGCGCACGCGTCGGTGCCCATGCCCCCCCCCCCCCGCCCGTTGCGCTTGCCAATCCGATGTCAGCGGCAAGCAGAACGAGAGGATCGCGGTTCGTGGTTGATATCGCGCTTGCTCTCATTGACCGGGTGAGCGAAGTCCGCCGCTTGCCAGGCCCCGAATGCGAAACAGCATGATCACCTGGTCGCTTTAGTCGAATCCAATCCGTGCTCAAGGCCTGAGGAGACAAGGAACGCGAGCTCGGTCAAGCGTAAACCGCTCGAAGACGAGGGCTAAATGCAGCGGGATGAAAACCAGGTCAGAACCCGTCGAACTTGGAGACGAATACAAGTATGCAAGCAGTCTATATTTTCCGTTCAAACGGCCTCAGTGGTGCGGTGTGTGCGTGTCCTGGGACCAGCTCCGGCGCGTCCACACACACTTGCACGCGTAGCGAGATGAATCAACGATCTTCTGATTAGTCGAACCAACGGTTTGAACTCTTGGCGTCTTCGTCCGCCTTGGAAGCAGCTCCCGCCACGGGCTTTTCACCGAAGATCTCCTTCTTGTAACTACGCACCATATCCTCAAACGACTTCTCCTTCTCCAGCTCCTTGGCGTGCTTGCGCTGGCTGCGAGACAGCGTCTTGCCCTTCTTTGTGGCTCCAGCAGAGCCCAGCGAGGCCAAAGCGTCAGCCTCCGCGTCGCCCTGCGGGGCCTCGGCGCGTTTCCGCTTCTTCGGCTGCGGCTTGGCTTCCTTGACGACCTTGCTCGCCTTCTTGGACTTCGGCTTGCCCTCCTCACCCTCAGCCTTCGCTTCCGCCTTGGCCAGCGCCCGCAGCTTCTTCTTCTCACGCTGGCGCTGACCGCGACTCTTCTTCGACTTTTCGGCGTCCTCACCGTCCTCACCCTGCGCCTCCTTCAGTGCACGCTCCTCCTCACGCTTCTTGGCAGCGTCGGCAGCGCGCTTCTCGCGCAACTTGAGCTTGCCGTGGTTCTCGAGCGCGAACTCCACAATAAGACGCGACTTCGAGCTGTCAGGCGCACCAGGAGCTGGGCGGCCAGCGGCGTACGACGTGTACTTGGGGTTGTTGTTCAGCACGCGCAGAGCAGCCAGCGCGTGCAAGTGCTCCGAAAACTCGACAAAACCGTAGCCACGTGATCGCGGCTCCTTGCCGGCCTTGGCCGACTCCATGTCGCGCACCACCTTAGCCATACGGACTTTCACGGTGGGGTTGCCCTTCGGCAGCAACTCGGGCTTAATCTCTGTGCGGTCCACGTTACCAGCACGCACACCAGCAGTGGCCGCATCGTGGAACAGCTTCTTGAGCTTGCGGTCGTCCAGCGCAGTAGACAGGTTGCGCACCGACAGACGCATGGGCGACACAAAGTACATGGGGTTCTGGAGCTTCAGCTTCTTCTCGCGGATAGCGCGGCGGCGCTTGTCGATGTCCATCTTCGGCAGCTCCAGCTCGGCGTCCGCCATCTTGTTCACGTTCAGCGTGCCCTCGTACGCCAGGTACATGTTACGCTTGTCCAGGCGACGGCGCTCGCGGGCGTTGGAGTCAGCCAGGTGCTCGGCATCGGTCTTGGAAACAGCGCGCGACAGAATGAGCTGGCGTCCGTCCAGGGTCAAGGCATCATCGCCACCATCCGCCAGGGCAGACAGCGTGAAGAGGTTCTCCTTCTGCTTCTTCTTGTCATCAAGTTGCGGCTGTTCGCCGCGCTTGAGAACTTCAGCAGCCACGTCAGCCGACTTGAAGCGCACAAATCCCACGCCCTTCGACAGTCCAGATCCCTTGTCGTACACAACACGGGCGTACTCGACCGCACCAAACGTCTGAAAGAACGCGCGCAGTCCGTCCTCCGAAGTCTGGAAGGAAAGGTTCCGAATGAAAAGCGTGCGGTCACGCTGGGCCTCCGTGTCCTCCTTGGGGGCTGGGGCGGATTCCTCTTCTTCCTCCTCCGCTTCATCTTCATCGTCCGATGCATCGGACGCAGCATCTACCTCATCATCCGTAGCCATTTCGAGCTGGTCCTCATCCTCATCACCACTGTTAGCCTCCTCGTCGTCCTCGTCTTCGCCTTCCGGGGCAGCGGAGGCAATGGCCTCTTCCTCCTGCTTCTTCTGCTGCTCCAGGTACTTGTTCTTGGACAGAGCAAAATCGACAATCATCTCACGGCCCTTGAGCTTCGTGCCGTTGAGCTTCTCCACGGCAGCGCGCGCGTCAGCCACATCGCGGTACTGGACAAAGCCGAATCCACGGCTACGACCAAGCACAGGCTCAGCCTTAGACTCTCCGTCCGCTCCCTCCTCGCTCTTCTTCTTGTCCTCTTCCACTGGCATACGCACGACACGGACCTCGAACAGAGGGCCGTGCACCTCGAAGAGCTTCTCGAGATCCTTGTCCGTGGTCTGGAAAGCCAAGTTACGCACGATGAGACGCAATCCCTCGGCCTCGGCAGCTTGCTTCGGGTGGCCCGGCTTGCCAGCAGATGCCTTATCATCGGCCACGACGGCCTTGGCTGCGCTCTTCACCTGCAGCACCGAGCCCTTGAAAATGTGATGGTCCAGCTTCGCGACAGCCAGCGCTGCGTCCTTCGTCGTCTTGAATTGCACCAGAGCGTACGACTTGCCAGTGCGAGCCTCTTCCTTGCGCTCCACCTTCTCGACAGCGCCAACCTTCTTGGCCTTCTTTAGCACATGCTTCTGCGTCACATCGGCGCCCAAGCCGAAGATCAGCACGGATTTCTGCTCCACGCTAGCCTGCTCCTCTTTGCGGCGCTCCACCTCACGCAAGAACTCACGGTGCTGACGACGACGCGCATTGCGCTCGCTCTGCACGTGATTCGTCTGAGCACCAGCATTCGCAGGCGCCTTAGCTTCGGGGACAGCGGCCGCCTCAGCCTTCATATCTTGCTTAACCTTGGCCGGCTTTGCCTTCTCTTCCGGCTCAGCCTTGGCAGCCGTCTCCTCAACCTCCTCCTTGGCCTTCGCCTCCGCCTTGGCGGCCTTCTTGGCAGCCTTCGCAGCCTTGCGGTCCTTCTTCGCTTTCTCCTTATCCTCCTCCGGCTGTTCGGACTCATCCATCTCGACGTCCTCCTGCACCTGCTCGTGCTCCGCCGCAGCTGCAGGCTTCTCTTCGGGAGCTGGCTTGTTCTTTCCAGCCAGTCCACGGCGCTTGCCCTTCTCCATCGCGTAGTCTGCATCATACATCACACTACATTAGTCACACGTGTCGGTCGGATTCGAGAGCTGGAGGTGGCACACGCACCGATGAGCATCTTGCGGCCCTGGAAGTCCGTCTTGTTGAGCTTCTCGACGGCCACCGCCGCGTCGCTCTCCACAGCGCTGCAGCATTATCAGTAGCAGCAGCGCACCGCGTCAGTACCCTATGGTGCAGTACATTGCAGAGTCCAGCAGCAGCACGTACAACTTCACGAAGGCGAATCCGCGCGTGAGCATCTCGCTCTTGCGCTTGCCCTTGTCCTTGATGACATCGATCTTCTTGACGGGGCCGATCTCGCTGAACACGTGCTCCAGCTCCTCCTGCGTCACGCCGAACGGCAGGTTGCGCACGAACACGCTCGCCATGGTGCCTGCCTGCCTACTCTCGCTGCTCTGCTGGCCAACGGCAAATGCTTCAATGGCTCTTCACAACCAGTGGCCGTAAATATCAGGTCTCGCAGGTATTGACACCCGATACATAATGACAGTTCACTATTTCGGACAAGACTCAAAATACAGCACGAGTATCAACCGCAGCCTTGACATGCGTATGCGTTCTCAGCAGACTGCTTGGGCGCATGAGATACTGGAGGTCATGGACCAAGGAGCCGCGCGCGTGGATGGAAGCTTGCTATGTATTGGCCCGAAAGGCTCTAAATAGTCATTAACACAGGCGCGCGTTCGTGGCGTGCGCTTCAAGAGAACTGGGCTCGGCTGAACGGTAGGTAGTCTTACTCGGCGGCGGGTTGGTAGGTGGAGGAGGCGACGCCCAGGATGGCCGCCATCTCGGCGGCGCCGTAGTTCTTGGCGTCCTTGTTGGTCTGGCGCTTGCGGTAGTGCAGCCGCCGCGAGACGGTGGTCTTCTCGGCCCCAGCCTTCTTGCTCTTCTTGTCCTTCTTGGCCTTCTTCTCCTTTTTGGACTTCTTCTCCTTCTTGGCCTTCTTCCCCTTCTTGCTCTTCTTGGTCTTGCCGTTGGAGCTCTCGTCCGAGCTGTCAGTGGCGTCCGAGCCGGACTTGCTGCCGCCGTACGACTTGTTGAGCGTCTTGAGCACGTCCGCGAAGCCGCCCGCCGTCTCGGACCAGCCCTGCACCTCCGCCTGCTTGAGGCTGCAGCCCACGCCCAGGTTCTCCGAGCGGCGCGCGATCTTCACGTGAGTGGCCTGTCCCTGCAGGTTCTTGCCCACGCCTTTGCCGGCCGACCAGCCCATCTTGACCAGCATCTTGAAGCCGAACTTGGACGTGTCGGCGGCCCACGCCATGTTCTGCATGCCGCCCATGGCCACCATCGTCTTGCCGGCCTCGTCCGTCTCCACGGGTGAGGAGGAGGAAGCCACGTCCACAGCCGACATCGTCGCTGCTACAGTAGATAGAAGGGGGTTGTTGTGCTGGGCGGTCGAAGGAGACAGGAGCAACGGGCAGTCGAGTGATCAACTGCAGCGACGTCGGCTGAGTCCTGTGGAGCTTTTCGGGCAATGCAATGAGCGCTCGCCAGTCCTTGGTCGTGTACCATTAACGTGGTACATGTGTCTAAAAGATGACACCATTTCACTTCAACGTGTTGCACGGTGCAACTTGGTTGTACGCAGCCAGCCTGGCATACGTGTGTACGGACCCTCCAGTGATATTCATCTATCTAGCGACATCGAAATGCGTGTGTATTACTAGTAATAGTAGATTGCGCTTAGAACGTGTGGTATTCCTCCACAAACTTGGCGAGCTCCGCTGCCAGCGCTTTGCGGAAGGGCGACGACGACGAGTTGAGCGCCGCGTGCAGCGCCTTGCCGCCTTCCGAATGGTAACGGGACGGAACGACGGCCTCCACGTCGTAGTCGCCGCCGCAGTCCGAGCTCAGGTCCAGGAACTTGAGCTCGCCCGCCACCGAGCTCTCCCCCTGTTTGAGCGTGCACGCCAGCGTAAACGTAAAGTCGAAGATGTAGCGCTTCGCGCCGCGCACCACCGCAATCGACGCGTCGCCCTCGAGGTCCGACACCTCCAGGGAGGTCACGACACCATCGCCCGAGCCCAGCGGGGCCGACACTCCCGACACGATCTTCTCCAGCTTGGCCTTGGCCCACGAGGTCATGTCCTTCTCCTCGAACGTGTTGCCCTGGTTCCATGCGGAGCCGCCGTCCACGCTCTTGATCTGCACCTTGTTGGGGTCCTCCACCTTCTTGGGGGCGATGTCGCCGATCAGCTGCTTGGCCTCCTCCGTCAGTTCGTTGTTGAAGAACGTCGTCACGCGGCCGTCCGCCAGCTTCTTGTAGCCGCGGACGTGGCCGACAATTTCCGCGTCGTCATCCACGACGGTCGTCGAGCTAGCAGCAGCAGCAGCAGGCGCCTTGGTCGAGGTACTGGGGCTGCTACTGCTGCTCTGCGCCACCTCCACGCGCGTCACCACCTTCTTGGGCGTCGGGGCGGCCGGGGCCTCCTTCTCCTTCTTGGCCATCTCCTGCACCTTGGCATACAGCGTCGTCACCGACTTGTTGCTGGGCTCGAGGGTCCTGGCCTTGTCCAGCACGGCCAGAGCCTCTCTGAAGCGGCCGAGCTTGACGAGCGCCTGCGCCTGGCGGAAGAACCCCTTGGCGTACGTGGCGTCCAGAGCCACGCAGGCCTCGGCGTCCTCCAGCGCCAGAGCTGCCTTGCCCATGGAGCAGCGCGCAGCCGAGCGGTTGGCGAAGAAGATGTGCTGGTTGTGCAGCGGGTCGCTCTCGTTCACGGTGATGGCGCGCGTGTACAGCACCTCGGCCTCCTCCAGCGCCTTCTGCTGGAAGGCGGCGTTGCCGCGGCGCTTGATCTCGGCCACCAGGTTCTCCAGCTCCGTCGGGTCCGCGGGCACGGGCCCGTGCAGCACGTCCGAGTGGCGCGAGAAGGGCAGCGCGGCGTCTCCTCCGAACATCCTGTCTATCTACCTATCTACCGATCCGATTGTAAAGTGAGCTCCTCAAGGCTGTGGTCGGTCTATTCTCGAATTTTCGGACACATGTGGGCAGTGGTAAGAGCAACCATAAGTATGGTTGCTTTTAGCCATTCTGAGACATGTATGGTTGCTTTTAGGGATTTCAAAAATTACGAGCGAAATTTAAATGTCTAAATTACCATTAAGCCCTTAGGTACGCAAATCACGCTAAAGTGCGCTTCTGATTAGGTACGATGCCATTAAGTGCGCCACCTCACAGCCGCTCATTTTAAGAATCGCGCTGCTGAACGGAGGCCACGTGGGGCACGCACCTCTCGCGAATCAGTCAAGCACCAAACGGCGAGGGGGGACCGATGGCTCCTGCGGGGGGAGCCATTATAAACGGTAATCAGTATGCTCCATGTTGGTGGCAACGAGAGTATCTACGTGCCTCACATTTTGTTTGAATTCTGTCGGTATGTATTGTTTAGGCCGAAAGCTGCGGAACGTAAACGAGGAGCTAAACTACATGTACGCCGCTCTCGGGATTGAAAAAGACGACGACGAAGACGAAGACTTTGTTCTGGATGAGGATGATGAGGAAGACAACGGCGACGAAGAGGCGGAGGATTGCTACCAAGAGGAGGAAGACGAAGAAGAGGTCGATGATGACGAGGAGAGCGATAGCGATGAAGAGGACGGTGACGACGATGAAGAGGAGGCGAGTGACGATGAACAGGAGGCAGACGACGACGGAGAATCCAGCACAGAAGACGAAGCAGAAGCGGGTAAGACTCGTTTGGATCATTGTTGATACTTATTGAGTTGAACTGATAATGTATTGTGTATTTTCTTAGTTTGTTTAGAACGCAGGACACGCAAACAGAGCCCCGAGCCGAGAAAGAAAGCCACAGCACACAAGAAAACACCAGGTATTATCGTTAAAGTTGCTTTAAGCAAAAAGGTTGCGCTATCATTAATATTGACATTCACTTTGGAATCGATAGATACCGCTCTGGCCAAATGCAAGCTTTCTGCTGGGGATGAAGCCCATTTCGCGGAAAAGCGTAAGGCGGAGCTGCAGCTTCACGAGTCTGTCGACGCTGATTCGGCCCCACGTTTATCCAAGCGGAACAAGCAGTACATACCGCGGAAGCGATCAAGCAAGCACCTTGACGAGTTGCGGAAGATCAACGAGGAGCGCGAAGAAATTATCAACCCCGTTCCGCCCTTTACCCCAGCGATTATCAAGAGTTGGAGCAAGTTCAACGCACACTTGAAAATATACAAGCAGAAGCACCACCTCAAGTTTCGAGTACGAAGCTCGGAGACACGAAATCAGTACAACAGGTATGTGTGACCTCTGTTTGATGAGAAATTTAAGTTATTAACGAAACCCCCTTTCATATGCACCAATCATCGGGACCAAATCCCTTCACGTTTTAATTGGAGTCACAAGGTCCTCCGCTGTACACACGGTGTTTCGCAAGCGTCGCGCTCCAAGGGACATCGCAATAGAAAAGGCAACCATTGCGGGTGTCCTGCACGCATGACACCAACCGTTCAGCGGATGGAAAATGGCAAATTTCGAATTGTCATAAGAAACGAGGTATCTGCCTTTTCGTGTATTTGTTTGCTTTGTTAGTATTTCTCACATGTCGCTGTTGATAATCAGAACTTTACCCACACGCACCCGACCACCCGAACGAAAGCATCGTTGTACCTGACAACAAAGACATTTCCGTTGGACGAGCAAGATCTCGGAAGATGTTAAGACTTTAACGAATGCGAGTGTTTCTTCCAAGCACATCACGAACTTCCTGAATGAGAGAATCGGTGCGTAGTTTTATATATGATATGCTGAAGTGATACTTACGTTACTGTTCGCGCTTTGTGTGTTTGCTAGGCTGCAAAATAACACCTCAACAGACCCGTAATCTGATCCGCAGTATTATGGGGCACGACGCAGCGGAGGCCCGTTTGAAAGACATGCTGCAAGCTATCCGCCAGTTAGACGGTAGTGACGTCCTTGTTATTCAAGACCAAATGGACGTGACATGCGGTATCGTGATGCAAACAAAGGTGCAGAAGTTGATGTTCGAGCGCTGGGGCGACACTCTTACGATGGATTTCACTCACGGCACGAACAATTTGGGCTATCACTTGGGTGCGTATGAGTTGTTCGGTATAGCAACTTTATCTTTGTTACGGCAACCTTGCGTAGTTATAGCAACCATATCGATGATATAGCAACCTTATTAACAAAGTGATTTTCTACTGTTGTGTGTTGGATATATCAGGGAGTCTGGTCGTCACAACCGCTACTGGTAGAGGGTTCCCAGTTGTAGACTTCATATGCCTCAACCAACGAGCTCCGATGATGACAACTATCCTGGAGTATTTCCAAGAGAAGAACCCAAGTTGGCGGATGATATCCTCCATCGTGATCGACAAAGATTTCGTTGAGTGGAGGGTGCTGAAAACACTATTTCCTGCTGCGAAAGTTTTACTATGTCAATTCCATGCCATTTCGTACTGGAAGAAGGTGATGCAGCGGGCCCCATACAAGCTGAAGGTGTCTGAACGCGACGAGTTACTCAACCTGATGATAAAAACGCTGTACAGGTACGCAACAGGTTCTATTTATGATTCTTGTGGTAACGCTAACTTTGGAAAACAAACCATATGCAGCGTCACAGAGACAGGTTACGATTCTAGTTACGGTGCATTGAAGCAATACTGCGAAGACAACAAGAAACAAGCTTTATTCTCGTACTTTAAAAAGAACTGCGATTCGTGTCGAGACATGTGGGCGAACTTTGCTCGCAGCAAATTTTTCACGGCTGGGAATACTACAACGAACAGGATCGAGTCAAACTGGAATCAAGTGAAAATACTGTTGGGGCACAAGACACGAATTGACAAGACTATTGCGGGCTTGGTGCAGCATCAAATCATGATAACTCAGCAGATCGGGTTCGTCATCGCGCAGCACCATTCGACTTCGCCCGTTCCTAAAACCATACCGATGTTTCTCCGGACGGTAGCAACTCGAATGTACCCTGACATCTTCGAGAAAGTGAGAAAAGAGTGGGAACGATTTGTGAACTTCATGGCAGATGCGACTTGTGAGCGTACAGCGTCGAGTCCTTCACAATGGAAAATTTATTGCGGGAATCAAACCTGTCGCTGTCACGATGTCGAGTGGACGTGTACTTGTCTATTTATAGCAGTCACCATTTACCAGTCGTCATCTTATGCACTTAGCACGCGAGGGGCATGACTTCAACCTGCTTCCAGCTATGGCAATTCATGATCGGTGGAGTACGTACCAGACCTTGGAAGTGAAAAACGAATTGACGGCTGCAGCGGAAATGTTACAGCCAATTGTGCAGATGTCCAAGTTAAGGTTGCCGAAAGTATAGTTGCCGAACGACACTGGGGCTGAACCAGAACAACCACTTTATGCTGCGGGGGGTAACGCTTCGCCAACCAAAGCCAGGAAGCAAGTTGCGTACGTACGGCTACGGCGAGGTGAACGGGCAAACCAGGTTGTATTGTCTTCAGCTGAAAAATACGCATACGCAAAAGCGATGCTGGAACCGCTATTGGAACACCTGTCAGATTTGTCTAGTGCAGACTTCTACCAAGAGCTAAGTGCCTGGAAGGAAACGATCGACATAGGGCTCAACCGTGTCAACCCTACCCCCCAACCGAGTTCTACAGAATCTGCTGAAGATAGCAAGCAAGAAGAAGATGTATCTGAACCTGTCTCAGACTCCATTCTGGACCCCGTGGAGGCAATGGGGACTATGACGCTCATGGACGCATTGGAAAGCAGCCTCATGACCATGAATTATGGCGATTACGAGTCCGACGAAAGTATGTTACCGACACAACGCACTCACCTTTCGCAGTCATCTCCAATTCGATCCCCGATCGACGAGAAATCTCATGACAGCTGCGGAATGAGTAGGTGTGACAAGGTTTCAAGCTCTACGAAGCCTGACACAGAGTCGCGCGTGCGCCAGGTCGATGTCGTTAGAGTTCCTAAGCCACCAAGCCAAGGAAAGTCAAGGTCAACTCCGAAACAGCTGAGGCAAACTACGATCAGTCTCAAAGCCGACCGTCTTGCTGTTCACAAGTACCCCACTGAACTTGCCGTGACTTTGGATCAGTTCCTGATTTGGGCCAGAAAACACCTCAAATCTGAAGCGCGTGATGGAGATGCTGTCGAAGTATCCTGTTCAGCTGGAGGATGCCTATCTAAGAGCTCGGAAGATTGATTGTCATTGGGAAATTGTACGACCTGCGGACTACATGCACACATTTGTAATTCCACAAGACCTCGCCCTATCAATGCAGGCAGCAACGACTACTACCCAGAAGGAGAAGCAGCCAATTGTACTGGATGAAAAGGCCAAGAAGCAAGGACTTGTTCTCGACGTCGTCTTGGCGATTGATCCAAAACTGTGGAAATTTAGCGGGTATGGTTGCTTTAGCGATATGGTTGATTTAATAGGGTTGCTTTAACATGCTTATGTTTCTAGACAATATCGAGGTGCTCTAACAGGATTCTACGCGATCAAGGCAAAGTGTACCTCATGGTTGAAGGACCGAAAGTGGCTGGAGCAAGATTGGCGTAAAGTTGACTCCATCGTGGATCTTTTCGCTGCGGAGACAGCAACTGCAGGACTACCGCGTGATGCTGTTCCCGAGCGGCACCAAGGTCTAGCGAACGAAATTATCTCAAAGTTTACTTCAAGTCGGCTACGCACTGAATTTGTGACGCTCTCCAACAAAGTCCTGATCAGCTTTGACAACATCGTGGGAGGGATCTGTCGTGGATGGCTAAATGATAGCCCTGTGGACTTTGCTTGGAGACCCTTGCGAGATCGGTGGGGAAGTGCCATGTGCTGTCATCACTGACATGGGCTATCGGATGGCCAAGTCTCCCTAAGACAGCACTTGCAGCAACGAATTTTATTATCCACCCCGTTAATCTGCACGCAGACCACTGGGGGTAATTATCCTTCGCCTACGCTACACGGCAAAAACAAGCAAGCTTCGGGTGCATGTTTACATGTACGAGCCGCTCATTGATGATGACTATCACCATGAAATGGAAATCGTGTGGACTGGAATTCCGAAAGACAAAGAAAATGAAGGAAAGGAGGGGCTACCCCGTGGCCATCTTTTCTTCGATCCGATTGAGTGGATCTGTGCCCCTCAACAACCTGATTTTGCTAGCTGTGGTGTAATGGTAGTAGCCCAAGCCCACAGCTATCTTACGGGGAACTTGCAGATGCAACTTTCTAGAATTTCCAAGAACGACGTCAAGGTGATGCGATTGAAAATGCTGTGGGTCATCATGTGTTACTCCCAAGAACGTCATCTCTCTGAACGCGATGTCGCTAAAGCTAGCCAGATTCATCAGCAGCTACAGAACCAGCTCTGAGAAACACCACAGTCTGTATTTACCTTTAAATACAGAGTCTATGCTGCATTAGTCTTCCATTTTTCGCACCGCCAGCTCCAGTAGAACATCGAGGGAAACAGCGTCGTCCTCTGCGGTGAGACCACCTTGGTCGGCCCCTTCATCGCCCAAGACGGCTGCTAACGCATAGCTGTTCTCTTCGCGATCTTCGACGAGGGCTTGGATTTGTAGCTGCGCTGCCAGAAGCTTTTCCAGATGCTCGGTAAGCTCATCCAGCTTCTTCTTGAGGAGTGCAATCTCGGCGATTCTCGCGCGCACCAGCTCATGTGCCAGCGATTTCTTCTCCATTTTTGCTGTCGCTCAAAATCTGGTAAGTGTCGAAAATGTGGGACACATATTGTCCTGTGTTTCACGTATTGCTGTGTAGAGAACATCAGTTAGACGCCACCACGACGTGTCTAAATTTAGAGATATATGTGGCAAGACCATGACGAGGGCGACGTGTCCCTGTCATATACGCGTCATTTAAAATAAATTACCGGGTGCCAGCTGGTTTTAGGGTTGCTTTAGCCTTGTGGTTGCTTTAATTTCTGTCGTGTTGTCGTCATATGGTTGCTGTAACGCCATTCACACATGTGACGGGCCATGACGAACTGCTGTGTATGAACATGGTGGCGAGCATGCCGCGCAGAGCTGCTGCTGCTGCTGCAGCGTGCCGCCGGAATCTATTGAGTATGCACAAAAAACTTCCCGAGTTACTTCTACTAAGCGGCTCTACTTACTTACAGCGGCGGTGGCAGCGGTGCGCTTCCGCTTGGTCGGCCGCTCGCTCTCGGCTGCGTCGGCCCCGCTCTCGTTGGCAGCCTCGAGCCTCCGCTTCTTGGCCGCGGCAATGCGCGCTGCCCGACGCTGTGCCTCCTCTTCCTCTGCCTTCTTTTTGGCGGCCTCCTGCTCCTTCCAAATGGGGAGCTGCTTCTGGTACTTGGGGGCGGCGATGTGGTCCTTGACGCGCTTCTCGTCGCGAGCGATGGCCGACTCGGTCACATTACACCACAGCATATCCACCTTGGACTCGTCGGGGTAATCCACGAACATGGGCGCGTACTTAGCAAAGGAGAGCTTGAGGTTGCGCGCCTTCTGGTAGCGCTTGCCGGTGATGTACGTCTTGATGACGTCCACGTCCGCCAACATCTCGTGGCCCGTCGTGGAGCAGCGCACGCGCGCATCGCCCACAAACGTTAGGTCGGGCACCGACTTGACGAGCGCCTCCACCGCCTTGCGCGCCTTGACTTCCGCCTTCTTGCTCACTGGAGCCGTCTTCTTGTTGGTCGGAGATTCCTTCTTCTTGGTGGCAGCGACCTCTTCCTTCTTCTCATCAGCAGCAGCCGGTTGGGATTTGCTGGTGGGAGACTTTTTGCTTGTTGGCGACTTCTTAGTCGACGGCGAGGCCTTCGCGCTGGCCTTCGGGTTTTTTGCAGGCGAAGCAGTAGTGGGCGTGGACTTGGCGGTGGACACGGGCGGCGGTGTTTGCTTCGCCTTCTTCTTGTTCTTGGGCGCCGTCTTCTTGGCGTCCTCCGCAGTCTCCGCGCCGGAGTTTTTCTTCGTGGGCGTCTTCTTCTTCTCCGTGGCGGACTTCGTCTCCACGACCTCCACGCTCTTGACGGTGATCGTGGGCTCGTCCTCCGGCTGCTGCTTGGCGCTCTGGGCCGATGTATCCACCACCACCTCGACGCTAGCCGTCTTCTCGTGGGCCTCCTTCTTGGGCGTCTCCTTCTTGGGCGTAGACTCCTTCTTAGCCACGGGCGACGCCACCGGGGACGAGTTGCCGCTGCCGCCCAGCGCGCCCAGCACCCTCTGCTCGCCGTCCTTGGGGTGGTCGTCCAGGAACTGCATGGCGTGGCTCACGATCACGTCCGACTTGGCGTTGCCGCGGCACAGCTGCAGCTCCTTGGCCAGCGCCTGCAGCTCTCGGCGGGACGCGCTCTCCAGCGCCTTCAAGGCCGCGCTCATGACAGTACGCAGATGGATAGGAAGGGAGGTGTATGGAGCTCCAGCGAGCAAGGGATCAGCTAAAATGGCGCGCAGATGGCTCCAGTTTGGCGCGCTGCTCTCTGCCAGTGCTTTTGGCTCGGGACTGTCTGTTTAGTAGGCTTGGTGTGTGCGTACACACCAGATAATCCGGATGATGGGTCGAAGCAACTTCAACGTGCTGGAGTCCAGCACGTTGAAGTTGTTTCCAGCAGCTGGACGTCACGCCATCCCGGGCGACCAACGTAGCTGCTCGCGGTCCCGCCCTGCACTCACACATCAATCCTCCACGCCCCCGACATGGTGTCGCTGCTCCGCCAGAGCCGCCAGCTCGCCCTGCGCCTCTCCTCCGCCCGCTCGATGGCCACCGTCGCCGCTGACCGCCCCCTGCGCGTGGGCATCGTGGGCGCCGGCCGCATCGGACAAGTGCACGCCCAGGGCGTCCAGCGCACCAGCGCAGTGGTTCACTGCATCCAGCTGCCCGCTCGCGTACGTCAGTCAGCGCATGGTTACTGTGGCACACGTGGTGTGGGGGGAGGCTGATCTGTTGTTGCTGAGGCTTGTTTGTTGCTGCATTGGCAGGCGTCGGAGCCGGACCGCGCCGAGAAGATCGCCAAGACCTACGGCATCCCCAACTGGACCAACGACGCGTCCGAAGTGCTGAGCCACCCGGAGATCGACGCCGTGCTCATCTGCTCGCCCACGGACAAACACGCCGAGCAGATTGTCGAGGCTGCCAAGAACAAGAAGCACATCTTCTGTGAGAAGCCCGTGCATCTCAGTCTGGAGGTCGTCAACAAGGCCATCAAGGCGGTGCGTCCTTGTCGTTTGCTTCTGCGTATGTATTGTATATTTTGCTGACTGCATGTGCATGGTGTTTACCCTGGTGCGTCGGTCCTGTGCTGCAGACTGAAGACGCCGGCGTGAAGCTTATGATCGGGTTCAACCGCCGCTTTGATGCCAACTTCGTCCGCATCAAGCAGGCGGTTGATCGTGACGAGGTTGGCAAGGTCAACATGATTCGTATCACCAGCCGCGACCCCGGTCCACCGCCCGTGAGCTACATCAAAAGCTCCGGTGGACTATTCTGCGATATGACCATCCACGACTTCGACATGGCTCGATTCCTCGTCGGTGACGAGGTGGACGAGGTCTACGCCATGGCGCAGAGCGTCAACCCGGACATCGCTGCGGCGGGCGACATCGACACCGCTGTGATACTGCTCAAGTTCCGCAACGGCGTGATCTGCTACATCGAGAACAGCCGCGAGGCGGCGTACGGCTACGACCAACGTGTGGAGGTCTTGGGATCGAAGGGGTCTGTGGCGTGTGGCAACAACCACGCTAACCAGGTCGTGATCTCGACGAACGAGAGCGTGCGTCGCGACTTGCCGCTGCACTTCTTTCTCGAGCGCTACATGGACGCGTACGTGGCGGAGATGGAGGCGTTCATCCGTGTGTGTACGACGGAGGGTGCTACGGTTCCCGTTGGCGGCGACGACGGTCGCGAGGCGCTGCTTCTGGCCCTTGCTGCCAACAAGTCGCTGGCGGAGAACCGTCCTGTCAAGGTCGATGAGTTGCGGGCTTGATAGTAAATTTGGCATTGACTTCATGTGGATGCGGTGGTCGAACTTACCAGCTACACGAACGAGTTTGACGCACTAACAGAATTTTGACGATAAGCTACTCTTGAAGACGCATTCGAGTTGGTGATGATATTATATTACGACTTATTTCACTGCTCATTGCTATCAAATGAATTGCTCGAAAGTCGTTTTACGAGTCGCCGAATTCTCGCTGTAGGATCCTCCGCTGCCGGTTCATTTACATTTGAGGTTGGTTTGGCAGTCTCGTTCTCCAGTGGATCTGTGCGTGCCTCTTGAATCAGCAGGTCCAAGTCGATCTCTTGGCCTGGTGGAGCTGTTCCTTCAAGAGGGGCATCACACACTTCACTCGACGCTGACGCTGCTCGACTCTCCATCGGTTGTACGGGTAGCTCAGTAAGCAGTGTCCGTGCTTCGCGGTTGACAGTCAAGTCCCCGGCTCCCTTGGCAATTTCGTCTTGCGCTGCCGCGGGGCGCACAATGAAGAAGTGATAGTCCTCCTCCGATCCTTTGCGCTGCACCACCAGCCTCGACGCGAAGATGCGCGCGATCTCCTTCTCGCTCGCCGTCTCCAGGACGATTTCTTCGTCTTCGTACGGAAGTAGGGCGATCGTCTCGAACAAGTGGAAGTAAGTCACGCGGGGGATAGCGGCCGGTTCATGTTTTGATGTCAATTGGAGTTGCACGACGGGCGGGTCTTTCGATACGCGCAACACCACATCCACGTTGTCGCGACTGCCAGTTCCTTCGCACAGGTAGGACACCTTGTAGTGCGGCTCGACGATCTGCATCTTGTACTGCATGGCCTCAGTCACCATCAAGAAGTTTGGCGCCTCCTGCGGTGCTAGCCCCGATGGCAACAGCTTTCGATCTGCGGGAAACAAACCGCCACCGAGCGCTTCGTAGTTCTTACGCACCAGATAACCACGGTACCGAGCCTTGATCTTCCCAATTGCCAGCTTCTTCCGGATAAACTCACGTCTAGCGAGAAATCCCTTCGAGTAAGTCTGAATCATCTTCACAGCGATATCAAGCTCGAGTGGGTCCTTCTCCTCGCTCTCTTCTTCGTGGCCGTTCTCCTTGATCAATGACATCCGCTGGCTTTTGGTCATGGTAAGAGGGGTGGCTCGCTTAGCGACAGATCCATCGTCTTCGTCACTGTCACTGTCGCTACCGCTGTCGTTGCTGCTGCTGCTGTCGTTACTGTGCTCGCTCTCGCTGCTGCTCGTGCTTGGGTCAACCCCACCAGCCTCGCTCTGGGCAGGGTTGGCTACGCCGATGTTGGCTTTGCTCTTAGCCTTGTCCTTCTTGCGCTTCTTCTTCAGTTTGATCCTCATGGCATCGACCTCGCGCTGAGATGCAGCAAGCTCTTCCAGCAAGTACGCTTCTCGCGGACTCAAGACCATCGCAGAGCTGCTGATACTACCACTCCGGCTGCGTCGTCGCGACTCCTTCAGAGCACGGACCTCCTCCATAGATTGCACAACAATCTTTTGGTAGCGGTTTACCTCGGCGCTCAGAGCGATGCTCTTCCTTCGCAGTATCTCCTTCTCCAGATCTGTTCCACCGCCACCGCTGACGCTTTGGCGTCTTGGCGCGCTCCAAGTCGGGGTAGACGTGGGGACGCTAATTGTCGCCGCCGATCCCTCACGCTCGATCACCCGCAGATCTCTCAACGGTGCCATCTCCGTGGACGTCACGGGAGTCTCCGTTGTCTGCAATGACGTTGGCGCATCCTGGGTATAGGTCTTTTCATCATCTTCCACTTCCAGGTCACCTGTCAGATTCGACAACACCAATGCTACCGCAGGCGACGGCAACGACAGATTCTCAAGCGCATCCAGCTCGCGCTCCTGGCTCAGTCGTGCGAGCGCTGCCTCCGAGACGCGCAAAAGAGCGTCCTGCCACTCCTGACGTTCTTTACTGAGCTGAAGCAGAGCTTCCAGCTCATGTATACGTCCTTGGGCCTCGATGAAATCCGCAGCGCCGACATCACCAAAGCCAGTCCCACTCGAGTTGTTCTGCAACAGCGTTCCCTTCCGCTCACTCAGCTCACCAGGCGACAATTGGCGATCTCGCTGCAGCAGACGCAGCGATACTTCCAGGTCCTTCACCTTGTCACGCAGCTTCTGTTTTTCCTCTTGATGGCGAGCTAGCTTGAGCTCATACTCGGTACGCAGCGCGTGTACTGCTTGCTCACGTGTAGCACGCAGCGTTGCAGCCTCCCCTTCCTTCCACTCCCGAAACTTGTGCCGTGTTTCAGCTAGCGCGCACACAAGTCGTTGCCGTTCGGAGCGTGAATTCTGGACAAGCGACGCTGTGCGTCGTGCTTCGTGGGCGGCGCTTACTCGGGCTTGAGCCAAGCGCGTTTGAAGTCGCTCCACGTCTGCTTGGGAAGCTCGCAGGGCGGCTTCCGCTTCGCTGAGCTGCTTCGCGTGCGAGCGTCGCAGCATCTCCAGCCTCTGGAACAACGCCACTTGGCGCGCCTTCTCCTCAATAACCTGCTCACGCATCGTCTCGTAGTCACGCTGCCATCGAGCGCGCTCATCCCGTAGTTCGTGTAGCTTCACCTCTCGGACGGACGCATGGAGACTGTCCACAGTCATATCTCGATCGAACCGAGCTGGTCGAGTCGCTTCCTCTGCGGCCTCGCTCTCCCCAAGCAGAGACGACGCGGACTCCCTCGTGCGAGGCTTTAGCGGCGAGTTGCGCAGCCGCGTTGCCAGTCTCGCTGCTTGTCGCTTGCTGGGGCCTTTCGTATCGATTGGAGGCGCAACCGCTGCGGTCAGAGGCTTCGGTCCTTCTCCGGTGCTGCGCAGTCGTCGCTCTCGAGCGAGTTCGGCTTGCAGCAGTTCGAGCGTCATCTGCAGCTGCTCGTCGGCCGCGAGCCGAGTGCGCTCCAGCTCCAGCTCTTCGGCAGCATGCAAGCGCTCCGTTTCCTCCAGTGCCGCCTGCCGCCGTCGAGCTCTGTCGCTCCGGTCATCGGTCTCAATCAGCACAGCGAGGAGCACTTCGAGCGCGTCCTCCAGTGGCGCCACCACAGCCGACGGTGACGTTGAAGTTGGAGTCCGAACCTGCTCGGGTCTTGGTATCAACGAGCCCACACCTAGTGGAGGAGCGCCATCCGTAGCGAAAGCCCCCGGACTCTGTTGCTGCTGCGGTTGCTCCGTCCTCCGCTCCGGGGTCCCCAGTCTGTCGCGCGGCGTTGACCAGGCCGCGCGCTTCGCCACATTGGGGCTCACACCGCGTGGAGCGACGGCCGAGATCGGCGGCGCGCCTGTAGTAATCGCTGGCAGCGCGCCGTGAGCCGGGCCCACCGCTGCCGCTGGATGCACGCTGTTCGCCCTGATGGCGCTGTCCGGCGCTGACGGCCCTCGCTGCATTGGCGCCGAGCCGAGCCGAGTCACGCGCGGCGGTGTCCATCAACTGCCGGCCGTGCGTTGGTTGGTTGCCCAGCTGGGGCCCATATAAATAGTCGGCAGCGTCTCGTGTCTTGGCGCTTGCAGCAGCAACACCACGACCGTCGCTGGACACATCGGCGGACGGCCTCGAACTCCGAGAAGTGCAACTTGCCTTTTATGGATCAAGCCGCCCTCCCATTGGTCTCCGCTTTAACGGCTCAAACATACTAAGTTGAGTATACCCGAGCGTCCTGTCGTACTTGTCCAGCACGAGCGAGCGAGCGTATCTGCTGGCACTCCGCGATTCCCCGCCGCCTCCTCGAACCCCTCGCCCCCATGCTCAACTCGCACATGACCAAGCCTCTGCGCGTCGGCCTCGTGGGCGGTGGCCGCATCGGCAAAGTGCACGCGCAGAGCCTGCAGCGCGCGGGCGCCACCATCGCCATGGTACGTACGCTGCTCGTGACGTGACGAGTTGAGGGACTCAACTCGACATGGCTGCACTGGTGCATGGAACAGATCGCCGACCCCGTGGGCGACGTGGCCGAGACCGTGGCCGCGCACTTCGGCATCCCGCGCTGGTCCAAGGACGCGTCCGACGTGTTCCGCGACCCGGAGATCGACGCCGTCGTCATCTGCTCCCCCACTGCGCTGCACGCCGAGCAGATTATCGAGGCGGCCAAGCACAAGAAGCAGATTTTCTGCGAGAAGCCCGTGGACTTCAGCGTCGAAGTGGTCAACAAGGCCATCAAGGCGGTGAGTAGCCAGCTACTGTACCGGTAGCTGCAGTGCTGTAGACTCGGGACTGATGCGTCGGGTGCTCCCCGTGATTTGATGCCTGCAGGCGGACGACGCTGGCGTGAAGCTCATGATCGGGTTCAACCGCCGCTTCGACGCCAACTTCGCCCGCATCAAGCAGGCCATTGACCGGGACGAGATCGGCAAGGTAAACATGCTGCGCATCACCAGCCGCGACCCCGGCGCTCCGCCTATCGAGTACGTCAAGGTGTCGGGCGGCCTGTTCCGCGACATGACCATCCACGATTTCGACATGGCTCGATTCCTCGTCGGTGACGAGGTGGACGAGGTCTACGCCATGGCGCAGAGCGTCAACCCGGACATCGCTGCGGCGGGCGACATCGATACCGCTGTGATCCTGCTCAAGTTCCGCAACGGCGTGATCTGCTACATCGAGAACAGCCGCGAGGCGGCGTACGGCTACGACCAGCGCGTCGAAGCGCTCGGATCGAAGGGGTCCGTGGCGTGCGACAACAAGCACTCGAACCAGGTTGTGATCTCGACGAACGAGAGCGTGCGTCGCGACTTGCCGCTGCACTTCTTTCTCGAGCGCTACATGGACGCGTACGTGGCGGAGATGGAGGCGTTCATCCGTGTGTGTACGACGGAGGGTGCTACGGTTCCCGTTGGCGGCGACGACGGTCGCGAGGCGCTGCTTCTGGCCCTTGCTGCCAACAAGTCGCTGGCGGAGAACCGTCCTGTCAAGGTCGATGAGCTGCGGTAGCTTCCCTCAAAACGGCTTCCGCATATGCTGATCGCCTTCCACTAGTAGATGCTAGACTTGTTGTTGTAGAAAGGATCTCCGTATTGATCAGCAGTGTAACCTCAATGGACATAAAGCGAAGAAGAGAGCAGACACTATTCATTTCTTGCGTCCGCATCTGGTTAGTCACACTACCTTCGTTCTCTCCGTCTGAAGCCGGTGGATCTAAAACACGATCGTGTCGAGCATAGCACCGAGGCACTGCACTGTGTTGAGGGCCATAAGGTCGTACACGTCGTTCTCCAGGTGCTTCTTTGGGTCCAGCTTGCCGACGTTGAGCACCTCCAGCTCCTCGGGGGTCTTCTCCTCCTCTTCCTGAACCCGCTTGTTGTACTGCTCCGTAAGCGCCAACATGCTCTGCATTTACACGAAAACGGAGACCAAACGTTAGCTTTACACAGCAACAAGATCTACCCTGACGCATCATTCACGCGTCTGACAGCCAGCCCAGCCTACCTTTACGGTTGTCTCGTTCTCCTTGGAGTGGTCCTCGAACTTGGTGAGCACGAGGCCGTCGCTCCACGTCTTCTTGTGTAGGTTCATGAGCATCTGCTCCTCCAGCTCGTTCTTGCGGTAGTCGATCGCGATCGAGTAGTAATGGCGGTTGAGTCCGTGGATCAGCGCCTGGATGGACGGCTTGTTCAGATGGCCGATGTTGGACGTGGTTTGCCGCGGCTCTTGGCCCATCATCATGAGCTGCGGGTTGATGAGGCGGAAGGCGTCGATCACCACCTTGCCCTTGACACTCTGAATGGGGTCCACGACCACAGCCACCGCGCGCGGGTTCAGCGCCTCGAAGCTCTGCTGCGTGTTGATGTCCACGCCCGACAGCCAGCAGCCGAAGCCCGGGTGCGAGTGGTACCAGCCCACGACCATCTCGGCTCGGCCGGTCTGCTTGAGCATCTCCAGCATCTTCATCTGGAAAACGGGGTCCACGGCCTCGACGCTCACGCCCGTTCCGCTCTGCGGCATGGCGAACACGTCGATGCAGTTGACCGTGTAGTCGTCCACGAACTCGCCCAGCATCAGGCCCATGACCTCCATCGGCACGCCGGCGCGGCCTGTAAATAAACAAAAAATGACATTGGCGACGAAAAAATAACAATAAGATCTTTTTGTCCTCACCGTGCTTGAGCATCTTGAGCAGCGCCAGCGACGAGATGTGCACCTTCTCGGCCGTGTCGACCAGCGGGCCGTCGGCGCCGGGGCCGCCCTGGCCCGGAAGGCCCGGCAGGTTGCCAAAGAGACGCTGCAGTCGGTCCATGCGCGCGGGTGTCAGAGCCTTCAAGCGGAAAGGATCCAGAATGGGGGAATGTACTGTGCGGAAGAGCGTGGTGTGGCGCACACGAAAATGCCGGGATTTCGGCCAATCGAGCGGCGCATTAGCCGACTGGGATCGACTTTGGTGCTGCTCATGGAGACGCCGCCGAGAGGAAGGAAGCCGCCGACGCCCGCCGCGGCCAAGCAGCTGCACGCGCGGCTCAAGCGCCAGATGGAGAACGAGATGGACGTGGAGGGCAACCCCGAGATGGAGCGCATGGGCGACGAGGTGCCGGTGCACGCGGCCGCCATCAAGCCGCTAGCCGACGACTACGACGACGACGATCTGGCCTGACCTGACCTGGCGGGATGCAGCAGCAGCAGCAGCCAAGTGACAAGCAAAGTGGACACGTAACGATTGGTATTTAGAAGGAACGAGACAGGACGCAACAGCCTTGGGGACAGCCATCGGCAATAATCAGACACGACTTGTGCTCGCGCCTTCTCCAACCCTTCTTCGCCTAGATTCTAGACACGACCGGCCTCCTTGACGGCGGTGAAGAAGGCGCAGTTGAAAACCGTCTTCATCATACTCTTGACGTTGTTTGTGTACAGGCACTCGCGCTGCGACTCCTTCTGGATGCGGAAGTTGTACGTGCCCATGACGTGCTTGATCTCCTCGTACGAGAGCTCCACCGACTGCTCATAGCGCTCGTCCTCGTCACCGCCGGCGTCCTGCCAGTGGTAGAGCAGAGGGCCCAGGTTGATCCAGTAGCCACCAGGCTTCAGCAGGCGCTCGAACGCGGCGATGTACTCGATCACGTTGGGGGCCGCGTCGATGAAGAAGCACGTCACGATGCAGTCCCAGCATTCTGCACACAACGACCCGATCGATTCACATGAGCCTAACCGATGATCTCACCAATAATGGCACGACAGCTTCGCTTACCTTTGTCGTTCGCGTACGCCTCCAGAAACTCGCCCGCGCACATGGAAAAGTCCGGCGGGATGACCGCAGTGCCGTTGTTGAGTCCCAGGAGCTCCGCTGGTGCGACGTCCGGGATGGCAACGGGACGCAGCAGGTCAGTGATCGTCAGCGCATTGGACGGATTGTGGATCCACGGGTGAATTTCGATCTCGAGTGGCTGCGAGGCCCTACTTCAGACGAACAGCATAGCAAATCTACTTGTGAGACCACAGACGGAAAGCTCGAGTAGCAAGGCCGAAGAAACCATTACCAGTTGAGAATAAAGTTGCTCGCAAACAGCATCTGGTACGAGAACTCGTTGCCCTGGACGGCGTACCCCTTGGCAGCAATTTCCAATGCAAGTCGTCCCAGCCCAGCTCCGGGCAGCAGCACACGAGGACGCTCGGTCCTGTCCCACAAAACAACAATACTCAGCAACGCTTGCATGCTGCCTCAAGCACATGACTCAACTGCTTACGGGCTGTCCACATTCACCGGCAGCACTCGACGCAGCTCCTTGATAATGGGGGTGTAGCACATGTCGCGCTCCTTCTTGCCCTGCAGCAAATACACAGGCACGCACAAGAGCAATGCCAGTAAGATACCGCCTCATCATTGCAGCTCCAAAGACAGCGACCAACCGACCTCGTCGGACCAGTCGCGCACGAACTGGTGCAGCGTGCTCTTGAGCTTGGAGAAGTGGCGCGGGGGGCTCTGCAGCGGCGTCTTGGGCGTGACCTCGGGAAGCTCGACGGCCGGCCCGTTCTCCAGCTGCGCCTGCACCACGCGCTCGAAGAAGCTCTGGTTGTGGTGCGCCGCGTTCACGAAGTGGTGCAGGTTGCGGATGGTGGAGGACTGCGGCAGGCGGCGCTGCATCTCGATGGGCATGGACTGCAGGTGCTTCTTGCGCCGGTAGATCTCGCGCATCATGTAGCCCTCGTACTCGCGGAACGACAGCAGCACCGAGCGGTAGTGCTCCTGCTCCTCTGGGTCCGTCTCCATGGTGCTGGCAATCGATCGCGGAATGACTGACCCGCCAGCGCGATTTGATGGTGGCAGATTGGTGTGCGCCACATCGCCAGCCTCGCGCCGATACAAAGCGCAAGCAATTGGTCGGCCGACACTCAAGCAACCATGTCCCAAGGCCGCATCTTGCCGCTCGGTGCGTGTCCGCATCGCGGCAGCTAGCCGACTGTTTTGCCCCTTTAGTGCGTGCGCTGTAGTGCTAACAGCTTGTGGCTTTGTCTGGTGTTTGTTGTTCGCAGAGCTCATTGACAAGTGCATCGGCTCGAAGCTCTGGATCGTCATGAAGGGCGACAAGGAGTTCATCGGCACGCTGCGGGGGTTCGACGACTACGTTAGTAAGTGATAAAGGCGCTTGTTCTGTTCTTCTCTACGGCTTTTGCTGTAGTTTGGACTGCCAAAGAGCCGAGGACGCTAACCATTGATACACTTTGTCGGGGTTTCCTTCTGCAGACATGGTGCTGGACGACGTGACGGAGTAGTAAGTGCCGCCGTACTGTGCGAGGACGCAGGTTGCACTATGGAGCCCAGTCAGGCGAGACTAATTGTTGTGGAATGTTTTTCTATCGTCTTGCGCCTACAGCGAAATCACCCCGGAGGGAAAGCGTGAGGTGAAGCTGGACCAGGTGCTGCTCAACGGCAACAACGTCTGCCTGGTACGCAGCTCGTGCTGCAACGGCTAGCCCGATCGTGACGGCAATCAGTCTTTCGCTAACATTTCTCCATCGTTTCATCTGCTGCAGCTCGTGCCCGGAGGATTCCCGACGACGTCCTAGGAAAACCGCAGTTCGACGTTATCGCGTCAGACAAACGCACCAGCTTAACGCGAGCGAATCTGACTGCACCATGCACACCTGTTCCAGAACTAGTCACTGCAGTGCCACAGCCGATAAAAATGCCCGACGCGCGGACAGAACAAGAAATTGCTGTGCAGACTGCAGCACGACTCCGTTGTCGCACTCGTGCTGCCTGAACACGATAACCCCAGTTGCTAAAACCAACACACGCGCGTCTTCATTCTTGTGTTCATGCATCCGCCTGTGTCCCTCCCTACACCACATAGCCACCGCCACCCTCGCTGCCGCCCCTGTGCTCGTCTCTCTATTGTGCTCTGTCCGTCGTCCAGCTTACTTCTTGGCCTTGTCGGCGTTGTTGGCCTTGACCGTCCGGCGGTTGAGCAGCACGAGGTAGCGGTGCTGCTCCTCCATCTCCAGGTTGTCGAAGCCCGCGCGCTCCAGTTCGCCCAGCGTGGGCTTGGGGTCCAGCAGCGTGAACAGCCAGTCCGGGTACTCGGACTTGTCCTTGAGCTCCGGGTGGGCGCCGTCCTTGAGGATGTTGGTGGGCACCACCTTGGTCAGGTCCACGACCTCCTCCACCGCGGCCGCGGCGCCCTTGCCCTTGGCCGCGAACGAGCGCGCGCCCGCCATCGGCGGCTTGGCGCTGCAGCGCGCCGCCAGTCTCCGCGTAGTCGCCAGCATCTTCGGTCCGCTCGTCCACTGTCTGTCTGCGCCACACACCGCTTTGATGCGGCCACTTTCGAAATTTTACAATTTTACGGATGCCGGAATCTCTAAATTTACTCCTCTTAAACCCGATATGAATATACGCAAGAGTGAACTTGCGCTCGCCAGTCAGTAGTCAAGCAGTTGTTGCATCAAGCATGGGCGGCAAGCAGAAGAAGCGGAAGGGCTCGCGCTCGTCCAACAGCGGCAAGGCGCAGGCCTTCGCGCAGAACTGCATGGACAGCATGCAGTCCAGCAAGGACAAGAAGACGCAGAACCGGCGGCGCATGCGCGTGGTGCAGCTGCAGCGCTCGGTCGACCGAAAGCTGCAGGAGCTGCGCGCGTTCCCCAAGAACCCGCCGCCGCCGAAGCCCGCGCCGCGCAAGGGCCCCAAAGACCCGTCAGAGTGGAAGCTCAAGGGCGCGGCCAGGCCGGCGGCGCTGCTCGCGAAGATCGCGGCTGGCGAGCTGGACGAGTGCGGCAACGAGTTCCCCAAGCCCATCGAGACCTTCGACCTGTACGCGCAGGTGGAGAAGCAGGGCAAGCTGGCGGAGCACAAGGACACCAAGGAGTACATTAGGTACTGAGCTGAAATGGTGTGTACTATGTAGTAACGCTGTGGATTACTTACTGGGATTTCTTTATCTGGCTACAGCCTGTTGAAGCAGCTTGCGGCTGGGTGTTGCGAGGCGGGCATGCCGGACCGCGGCATCAAGAACTACGAGCTGTGCATGAGCTTGGACAAGACGGACTCCTTCCACTCGCGCGAGGGCCTCGCGTGCGCGCTGGTGGACGAAGGTCGTGGAGCGGAGGCGCGCACGTTGATTGACAAACACACGGACGAGCAGTCGGCGGTGCTGGCGTACTGCCAGGTGATCATCGAGTACGTCTCTTGGGAGGTGCTGGAAGAGGAAGGATCGTCGGAAGAGGTCGTGCAGGCGGCCTTCCGGAAGGCGTTCGCGCTCAACCCGTTCATGGCCGTGGTGATCGCGTACCACGAGACGTTCTTCCAGGTGATGGAGTACGTGGAGGAGATCAAGGATCCCAAGCGAGGATCGATTGAAGAGGCGTTCGTCTACGCCTCGCAGAATATCGGCGTGTGGATGGACACCGTGGGAGCTTACCAGTGGATCGAGAAGGAGCTGAACGAGCTGCCGGAGCTTGTGGCTACGAAGGAGCACGTGTCCGACGAAATGTATCTCGGAATGTACGAAACAGCCCTCGAAATGCACAAGGAGATGCTTGCTGAAGCCGAGGCTGAGGCTGAAGCTGCTGCTGCGGCAGAAGCGGAGGGCAGCGATGCAGACGCCGATGACGGAGACGAGTTCGGCGATTTCGAGCCTGGCGATATTGACGGTGGCGACGACTAGTGATACCAGTGACGTAGGACCCGATGCGCATTCAATTCCACATAGACCGCGTATTTTATTCGCTTCCTCGGCGCTTCGGTCTTAAACTGTTCGCACGCCAGCAACTTACTCCTCAACGTACTTGGCGAAGAGGTTCTCCGAGGTGGTCATGGCCTTGAACTCGAGGTTGTTGCCGCTGGGGTCCTTGAAGAACATGGTCCACTGCTCGCCCTTGCGGCCGACAAAGCGCAGGTGCGGCTCCACGACGAACTTGATGTTGAGGCCCTGCACTCGCTTGGAGAGTGCGTGGAACTCGTCGACCGTCAGCGCCACGCCGAAGTGCGGCACCGGCACGTCGTCCGCGTCTGTCCAGGCGGCAACAAGGTTGGTGACCCTAGCTTCACTAGCAAGACGTTACCCACAGCAAAGCACTTACCGACGGGGTTGAAGAAGTCCAGGCCGCGGTAATCCTTCGACACCTCGTGCACCACGAGCTGGTGGCCGAACATGTTGTAGTCCTGCACGAGCATTCCGGGGGTGCGCACTGCAACATCAGCAATAGCTCCGCCACAAGAGGAAGAACAATGGACTCAGACCTGCCACTGCTTGGACGAGCGCCCTTCAATGAAGCCCAGCTTGGTGCCGTAGAACTCCTTGGCTGCACGTCAAAAGCCAAAGCGTCAGAACACGGCGGGTGAGTGTTCTCCCTCCCTCTCTCTACTCGCACCTTGCTCCAGGTCGTGCACCGGCACCGCCAGGTGGAACGGAGGCACTTGCGACGACATGAATCTCTTCCCGATGGGCTTGACGGAGTTCGCGATGGCGCGCTGCAGCATCGTCCGATGCGGTCTCACGAGAGCACTCTGGAAGTGAAGGAGCGCTTCAATGTGATCTTGGAGATGTGGGGCCCGGATTGGAAGAGAGCCGTGATTGGAAGAGCTTCCTTTTTTGCGCATGTGCAGGGGGCGTGGACCAGCGAGGTTGGGTTGAGCAACTTTGTAGCAATGATCCGGTAGGGTGCCGCTACGCTACGCTGTCTGCCACGCTCGTATTATAGGAGCCTGCGATAGAATCTGCTTCTCTGCGATGGCACTACAAAACTATCGGAGTGATGGTCACTAAGTTGAAGCTGCCTGGATATGGCGCACTTCGCGCAGAACGACCTGGAAGACACTGCGAGCAAAGTAGGTATCCTACGAGGTTCCTTACAGCTCCTATTGCCCCCGCGCGTAAGTTGCAGCGTGTGCCGACTAAATAGCCGAACCAAGCGTCGTCTAAAGATTCCAGCCACCCCCGGGGCACGATATGCAACGCTCTCGTCGACGAGCCCCGAAGCTCCAGCCGACGCCACTGAAGGCTCGCGACGCGCTACAGGAAGTGACCAGCTACTGCATCTCGTGCGGCAGCCGCAACGTCGTGTCGTTCAGACCCACCGCAGGCAACAACAGCGTCGACCACAGACTCATCAAGTGCCGAAGCTGCGGAGTGATCTCACCAGACTTCAGTCAGCCCAAGCCGCGCTCTGGTGTCAGCGAGGACTTTATCCCACCCGAGAAAGCGCGCGTACACGGTAAGGCCTCAGTCAGCTAAGTAACTCGCTCGGCGCAAAATACCTGAAGCTGGCGATGATACTATTGCTAAACGAACAGAGATGGCGGATCAAGTGCTGGACGCGTTCACGCATCAGCGTATCAAACTAAAACTGCAACGAGCGCTTGCATTTGGTGAGATCATGTGTGCATTCTAGCAAAGGACAAGACCTCTAACAAGTTTTTCCCTCTGTCGAACAGCTCAGGGAGACCTCGGATTGCTATGTCATGTATGTGGGAGTTTTCATTTTGTTGGTTTAGTGAGGGGCACCTCCACTCATCTTCATCGCTATCCTCTCACAGAAATATCTCCCCATTGCGATCGAAGTCTTCGCCCACGTGGTGTCTCGCTTCGGCTTCACCGATAGCATCGACGGTGTGATGGAGAGCGTGCATGTCATGCAAAATCTCGCCAAGGACGACGATCTGCTAGTTCAAAAGCTCATTAGAATCCGAAAGCTGCTCACACCGACGGGAAATTGGATCCAAGAAGACGCCGACGCTGAGAAAGACGACGAACGCTGCAGGGAGTTGGAGCAGCAGGTACTTGAGCAGAAGCGCGAGGAGGAGCGACGAAAGGAGCAACTCGCATTGGAGAACGCCAAGAAGGCGCGTCTGCGGGCGAAAAAAATCGCCATGGGCCTCGACCCGTCCGTAGAGCGCCCTCCAGTCCTCGTGGATGCCCCCCCTCCAAATGTAGCAGCCATCGAGAATGCCCGTCTGGAGCTACGCGTCAATGCCAAGTTTGTGCAGAAGTTCCAGTGGTCCTTCAATGGGCGAGCTATCGAGGCCGAAGAATTTGTGTCCGGCATCAACCGGTGCACGCTCAGAATTCCCAAGCTCACGAAGCGGGTGACTGGAGAGTACTTCTGCACATGTGAGAACGAAGAGGGCGCCGTGAGCACTACAACCTGCCGGGTATCTCTTGCAGCCTTAAAGCTTTCCCGGATCGGAAGCAAGCCACTCGGCACGCTGCTCTCGTCTCCGATGTACTCGTGTGAGAAGAATATGCTGATGACTTGCGCCGGCGGTACAGTAAACGTGTGTGACGCGAAGGCGCTCACTCCAGTGAGGGCGTTCCCTGCGCTGCCAGCGGCTATGGAGGCGATTGCATGGAGCCCCCACGCCAAACTGGTGGTTGCGTGCTCGACTGGAAGCCAGCAAGAGAAGTCCCAGATCTACTTGTATTCGCCTGGAGCAGCTTCCACTAGCGACATCTCTCCGACGGTAACAAATCGTCGGCGCAACAACAGCAACATGGGGCTGCCTCCTTCAAAGCCCAAGGCGCCTTCGTTCGGCAGCTCGCTGAAGTTTCAACTGGTCGATGTTCAGTCTGTTGACTCGGTGACTGAAGTTCGAGCAGCAGAGTTTCTCGACAACGGGAGGACGCTGCTTGTGTCCGACATGATGCATTGCGTTGTGCTGTACGACTTGTCGCCAACGTTCAGGTGCAGGAAGACCCTATCGTTTGGAAGTGACGTAGTCTGTCACGTTGCAGCTTGTCCGAGTACTGCGGCGCTGTTTGTATTGGCATTCCGCGGCAAGTCTTTCATCAATCTCTACAATGGCTCCAACGGCAGCAAAACCAGCAGTGGAGACCTATCAGAGCACCGTATCGACTTCAAGTTCCCTGTTCACCGGGCAACGTTTGACGCGTCCGGGTACTACCTGGCTACGGCGGAGACTGGATTCATGAAGACCTGGATCTCCGTCGTCAGCGTGAACACAAAGAAACATTCGAGCAGGCGCTTCGTAGCTCATGCTGGCAGACTCACCGGCCTTCAGTGGACGATGAGCACTTCTCTGATCATTTCCAGCAGCCATGACGGGTACGTGAAGGTGTGGGATCCTGTGGCAACGTCCAATCTCTTGAGTGTCCACATCGACGCGTACGGGATCCACTCGATGCTGCTCGTGGAAGACGTCGGCGTCCTCGTCACTCAAGGATTCAGCGATTGCCGTCTCCAAAGTCGGTCGATGGTGCATCTCCCCGAGCTGGAGGCGTCGCGTCTTGTTGAGATGAACAAGCAAGCCGCGAACATCCAGAAGGTGTGGAAAGGCAAGAAGACGCGCGAGCTCATTGCCAAGTACATCAGAGCGAACTAGCGGCAAGCACGAGACACATCACGACACCAACACTGCAAAAATAGCCACATCATGCACCAAGTTCAGGACTCAACGCTCAGACTTCCCCATTAGGTGTTCATTACCTAAACAGCAGAGCTCCATGTCGGACGATTCCACGCCTCTGACAGCGCTTTTGACGCTCGCTGTGGCAAAAGCTGGCGGTTCCGGTTCCTTCCGGGAGAAGCTTCAGGCGCACCATGCGTCGGAGGAAGAGCAGCAGACCCAGTCCATGATGTATGCGGCGCGCATGACGTATTTGAGCAATTCCGACCAGCACTCGCCTGACCCGATGTTCCTGACGCGCAAGCAAGCTCAGAAGATGGCGCAGCACCAACAGGACAGTGTGAAGGTGCCACTCAAGCGACTGGAGACCCGGAAGATCAACACGGCGAGCAACGCCAACGGGCCTACGATCATCAGCTGGAAGAAGGGCAAAGCGGCCATGGCAGCGCTGGAAAAGCGGCAGACGTGGGAGCCTCGGTTCCAGGCTGGCTGCCATTTCTACGAGTGCGTCGAGACAGGAGAGTGCCGAGTGTTCCCGGAAGGATTGCTAGAGCCCCTCGCCGACGATGAAGACGAAGCTGATGGTAGTGACGGAGACGATCCGCCGTTCCCTGAAAGCTTTGCATTTCTAAACGAGTCGAGCAAGTAGATCGCACTAACAAACGCGTCTTACCTGCTCGTGCGTCTCGAGAGCTAAGTACATGTGGGCCTTAGTAGACCTTCGTGACTTCCGAATGTGCCGCCGCGTCGTCGGTTTCTTCCCCAGACTTCTCGCTGAATTCGTTGGCGACCATGTCGTGCAGCTTCTGGGTCTCCTCTTTCGACATCTGCGTGTTCACCACCACAAGCACAGGCACGGTTAGTTAACCCCCACAGGATGCAACCAGCCCCATCACTCAATAGCTACAGCTAGCCACTGACTGACCTTGTACGGAGAGTACGCCTCGCTTGAGAATCGGCCGCTCTCAACGTCATCGCGGTAGTTCTCGAGCCCAATGCGGATCTGCTCACCGACGTCCGCGTACCGCTTGCAGAACTTGGGGACGAACTGGGCGTGGTGCGGGTGCTGCAGCATCCCCAGCAGGTCGTGGAAGACCAGCACTTGGCCATCCGTCTCGGGGCCGGCGCCGATGCCGATGGTCGGGATCTTGAGCAGCTCCGTCACGGCCTTGGCGACCGCGGATGGGACGCACTCTAGGACGACAGCAAACGCACCAGCCTTCTGCACTGCCAGCGCGTCCTCAATGATCATCCGCGCTTGGGCGGCTGCGAGTAGCAAGGGTAATTATCGATACATTCATAATGGTTGCCAGCAGGCATATCGATCAGTAGGTGAGTATCAAGGGCGTGATGCAAGCGCTTCCAACCCGTGCGTCCCTGTGCGCGGAATCCCCCCAACACGCTAATGTGCTGCGGACGGAGGCCGATGTGGCCCATGACAGCGATACCTCCATCGACGATGGTCTTGACTGGATGCGCCAAGTGTTCACAACTGCACAGTTAGCAGCGATAATCGAGAGGCATGCACCGACAGACCGAAGCAACATGCTTACTCGTTTCGGCTCGCTCCTTGCCTCCTTCGATCTTCACACAATCAGCACCGCCTTCCTGCAATGCAAGCACGACTCTTTTCAGACCCACCTCGTCGAGCCGAAGACCGCAACCATCACTTGGTACAGTACCTTCAACAACCGCTGCGCGTTCTTAAGCGCTTCGAACGGCGTTCCCTCGCACGTACCGAACGGCATGTCCGTGATCACCAGCGGGCGGTTGGCTCCACTATCACCACCCCAACAGCCACATCCACGTCAAACCGCAATCCTCCCCAAAGCTTTAAAACCCCTGCGCACTCACCGCTTCACCGCCTGCGTGTGGTGGATCATGTCCTCCAGCGTCACTGGCAGCGTCGTGTCCATGCCCTGCAACAGACACCAAGGTCAGTGCCACAACTCTCTCTCTCGTTCCTCTTCTCGTCTCTCCAGTTGGCAGCGGTTCGTACCAGCTCCACCATGCCCAGCGAGTCTCCGACCAGCAGGATGTCGAAGCCCGCCAAGTCCACGTGCACCGCCGAGGGGTAGTCGTAGGCCGTGACCATCGTGATGGGCTTCTTCTTGCGCTTGAAGATGCCGATGTCGACCGTCGAGACCTTGCGGCGCTCCAGCAGCTTGAGCGTGCGCGCGGCCGCCTCAGCGTTGTACGTCGAGGAGGAGGAGGACGACGACGATGACGAGGAGCTGAAGAGCTGCGCGGTCGAAGCAACGGCCCGCGCGCGGTGCACCAGCGCTGGGCGGCGGATCGCGGCGGTCACGGAGCGCATCATGTTGCGCTCGACACGTTGACGAAAAAGACAAAGTGAGCCGATCGCTGGGGGCTTCAAGCACCCGCGTAAGTACGAACCATGGGCGCGACGACGGCGGCTTCAAGTAATCAAGCGCATGACGCTTTCGCGCTGGGATTGCAAGGAGTGGGGACGTCGACGTGGGTGGAGCAGACGGATGCAGTGACGCATGGCGCTGCACCGTGCGTGGACGCTCGATGAAGTATACAGTCACGGCAAATCCACGAGTTTGGGGATGAATTTGAAGCTCACAACAAGTCCCCGGTGTGTATATTCAACAATTTATTATAACACATTGCATTGGCACGGGCGGGGTCGTGGCATGACGTTGCATTTCGGGGATTGGTAATTCTCTTACCCGAGTCTTCTGGGGCTGGAGAGCTTCCCAGTCTGCAAGGCAAGCCCGAAAGTGTGATCAATGATGACAAGCCCTTGCCATCTAATCCGATCATTCATCTAATCACGCGTTCATCGCGATCATGCGCTTCACTCTTCACTCTTCATCGTGAGTCATCCCTTGTGTTTCGAACCGAGAGTACAGTACCCGCTCATGCTCACTTCTGCTTTTAACCTCTTCACGCCAAGCTCCACCCACAGTGACGATGCTGCGCGCTGCAACCCGCAACCCCAGACCCTCGGCCCGCCGTCTACGCTGCAAGGCTCTTCAGCAGCGACTCAGCATCCTCGTCGTCGTATAGTGCCGAGTCGGCCGCGCGCACGCTCAAGCTGGAGCGCCGCAAGGTCTCGACGGTCGGTCGACATCGGCATCTTCAAGCGCAAGAAGAAGCCCATCACGATGGTCACGGCCTACGACTACCCCTCGGCGGTGCACGTGGACTTGGCGGGCTTCGACGTCCTGCTGGTCGGAGACTCGCTGGGCATGGTGGAGCTGGTACGGTAGTCTACGTTGCTTAGTGCTTCATGAGCGAAGTTGCAGCCCAGAGCATGAACTGAATTACTTGTTGCCGTTTGTTGTAGGGTCTGGACACGACACTCGCCGTGACGTTGGAAGATATGATCCACCACACTAAAGCGGTGAAGCGGTATGCTTGATATGCCGTGGTAGGTCAGACTCCGGTTCATTTTAATAACTTCTGTGTGCGCGAACCAGTGGCGCAACCCGCCCGCTGGTGATCACGGGCATGCCGTTCGGTACGTGCGAGGGAACGCCGTTCGAAGCGCTTAAGAATGCACAGCGGGTGTTAAAGGTAGTGTACCAAGTGATGGTTGCGGTCTTCGGCTCGACGAGGTGGGTCTGAAAAGAGTTGTGTTTGCATTGCAGGAAGGCGGTGCTGATTGTGTGAAGATCGAAGGAGGCAAGGAGCGAGCCGAAACGAGTAAGCATGTTGCTTCGGTCTGTCGGAGCATGCCTCTCGATTATCGCTACTAACTGTGCAGTTGTGAACACTTGGCGCATCCAGTCAAGACCATCGTCGATGGAGGTATCGCTGCCATGGGCCACATCGGCCTCCGTCCGCAGCACATTAGCGTGTTGGGAGGCTTCCGCGCACAGGGACGCACAGGTACATTACGCCACCTGCTACCATCCGATACACCTGCCGACTAACTAAACACCGGATGATGAACCTTCCCACTTCCAGCCGCTCAAGCGCGGATGATCATTGAGGACGCGCTGGCAGTGCAGAAGGCTGGTGCGTTTGCTGTCGTCCTAGAGTGCGTCCCATCCGCGGTCGCCAAGGCCGTGACGGAGCTGCTCAAGATCCCGACCATCGGCATCGGCGCCGGCCCCGAGACGGATGGCCAAGTGCTGGTCTTCCACGACCTGCTGGGGATGCTGCAGCACCCGCACCACGCCCAGTTCGTCCCCAAGTTCTGCAAGCGGTACGCGGACGTCGGTGAGCAGATCCGCATTGGGCTCGAGAACTACCGCGATGACGTTGAGAGCGGCCGATTCTCAAGCGAGGCGTACTCTCCGTACAAGGTCAGTCAGTGGCTAGCTGTAGCTATTGAGTGATGGGGCTGGTTGCATCCTGTGGGGGTTAACTAACCGTGCCTGTGCTTGTGGTGGTGAACACGCAGATGTCGAAAGAGGAGACCCAGAAGCTGCACGACATGGTCGCCAACGAATTCAGCGAGAAGTCTGGGGAAGAAACCGACGACGCGGCGGCACATTCGGAAGTCACGAAGGTCTACTAAGGCCCACATGTACTTAGCTCTCGAGACGCACGAGCAGGTGAGACACGTTTGTTAGTGCGATCTACTTGCTCGACTCGTTTAGAAATACACGCAGGCTGTCACCAAGGCAATATGCATAGCATATTGACGTGAGCCTTTCGTGACTCCTAACTTCCACGGTCACATCAAGCATCTTTCGGCTTCAACTTTGAGCATTTGGTTAACGCCATGTACACTAACGCTGAGTGCGTTTTAAGCTGGTTGCCATTTCTACGAGTGCGTCGAGACAGGAGAGTGCTGAGTGTTCCCGGAAGGAGCGCTATAGCCCCTCGCCGTCTTCATCGTCGGCGAGGGGCTCTAGCGCTCCTTCATGGTAGTGACGGACGTTCCCTGAAAGCTTTGCATTTCTAAACGAGTCGAGAGAAATCTTCAGAGGCGACGCTTGGCTCGATCCGTCGGAGCCACCGCATATTCAACAAGCTGACCATGAGAAGCATCGACCTCGAGGATTGGGAAGACGACGAGCCGCCGATGCTGGGCGAGGCCGACAAGCTGGAGACAGACAACCAAGCAGCTGATCCCTCAACGCAACCGCAGGAATCTAGCGTCATGGATGAGATGCTGGCCGTCGCTCAGCGCGCCAAAGAGGACAAGCGCAAGCAGCAAGAAAGCGAGCGCAACCGCAAATCTTTCGGCCAGGGGCTGAAGAAGGGCTTCTTCAACACAAAACCCAAGCCCACCAAAGTGAAGACGGCACAGCGTACATCAGTTCTGGAGCCAACTCGGCAGCAAGCGGTACGGTTAAAGGCTCAAGGGGGATGCGATCCGTGCAACACTAATGTTTATCTGCTGAATACAGCGAGACGAGCGCCTGTTGATCGTCAAAGAGAAGCAAGAAGAAGCTACGGCGACCAGCCCAATGTTCGTGTTCCCAGAAGTGCAGGAGGCCATGAAGAGCATGAACCAGCTAGACCCTAAAGGTTTGGATCGCGGCACGAGCCCGGCGTCTTGTATTTAACTACAAACTCTAACTCGTAGTTCTGTGCTCGCATTTTCCAGAGTGGATGAACGAGCGGTTTTTTGAAAAACTCGCTCGCAATCCAAGGCTTGCTCAGGGTATGTTCGCATGTTGATCCTTGGAGGGCTATCGATAATTGGCGGCCTGTTTAACGTCTGGATCTGTTCATGCCAGCATTGCAAAACCCGGCCTTCACGACGGCGATAGCCGAGATGCAGCAGGACCCTCAAGCTGCTGTGCTGAAATACCAAAAGGATCCAGCAGTGTCGACGATGTTGCGGGACTTCATGGAGTTTCTTGGGAACCATTTTGAAGAGGTGGGTCTAGTGTCCATGTGGCTGTGGTACTGCGACCCGAAGAGGACTCTTAATTCTCACGACGAGTTGCTTGCTGTCTGATAGCTGGGCGCTTCGGAGGAGGCTGCTTCACCGCAAAGTTCAGCAACACAACACCAGCCAGCAGTCGGGAGAGACCTCCGTGTGTATAACAGCAACCAGACGCCTCCAGCAGCTTCAACGCCCCCGGCCATCGTCGACCTGGACGAGACGCGACGCCAGGTCATTGCCGGAATGCAGCGCACTCCCGAGGAAGAGGAGCAAGTGCAGCGCATCTTGGAGAACCCGGAGCTGCTGGCGGCCCTCTCGGACGGGACCTTGATGCAGCGTCTGCACGCGTGCCAGCAGTCGCCCAGCGAGTTGCAGCGCCTTGCGCAGGACCCCGGGCTGGGCCCCAAGCTGCGGCTGCTGGTGCAGCACAACATGGTGCAGTTTGCCTCGTAGCTCAGCTGTTCCACTTCAAGTAATACTTCAACTGCTTTGCAGCTGAGCGCGATCCTGGGAGTAGATAGCCATCTAAACCGCAACAAATTCAAATTCAAATACTTCAACTGCTTGAACCCCACTATCAAACGGAATACACATGCGTTCCCATGGGATTTTATTCGAGTGACCGGTATTTTATATTGGTGGATCGAGGCGTGAAGATGGCGGAGCTCAAGGACCAGGTCGAGGCGGAGATGACGCGCTACCGGGCGCTGCAGGACGGTGCGTGCGCGCGTAGGCGCGGAGTGCGCCTCGACTCGCAGCGGGACTGAACTTGACTGATCTGGGGCGTGGGTGGCGTGCGGTGCAGAGGTGCAAGTGCTGGCGACGCAGCGGCAGACGTACGCGCAGCAGGCCAACGAGAACGACATGGTCAAGAAGGAGCTGGACCTGCTGGACGACGAGACCAAGGTCTACAAGCTCGTGGGCCCCGTGCTGCTCAAGCAGGACGTGGACGAGGCCAAGACCAACGTCAACAAGCGCCTCGAGTTCATCAACAACGAGCTGTACGGCACGAGCAGGAAGTTGTAGGCAGGAGGGACTCGGCCACAGACTAACGTGTTTGGTTGCGGTGTCCTGTGAGCAGGAGCAAGGTGAACTCCAAGATCGAGGCCAAGGAGAAGGAGGCCATCGGCATCCGGACCAACGTACGCAGTTATTGGCTATTGAGAGTGGGAAGTTGGGAGCTGACTTGCTTTGGTTGCTGTTGTGCCGGTCACAGATCTCGAACATGCAGATGGAGATGCAGAAGCGCGCCGCGGAGGCTGCCAAGGGCGCGGTCGCGGCACATTAGGACAGCAGACTCGGCGTATGGGGACGCGGCGTTGAGCTCTGGATGGAAAAACAACGACGTGCTTCTTTTGCTGTGAGCTGTGGGTCTTGCTTCGTGTATGTAAGGTGTCTAATATCTATAGCTCCAACGCCTCGAGAGAGTGCGATCTGGCGCCGAGCAGCTCGGACGGCACCAGCTCCGCGATCTCCTGCAGGGTGGTGCGGGCCACGGGCGTAGCGTGCAGAGTGTGACGGCCAGCATCGCGGACGCGCACCAGCACGTAGTCGCCTGGGGCGGCGTGGACGCTGTCTGAACTAACAGTGGGGAGGGGAAGGAACTGCGACGCCAGCTCGCCCGCATGCTTCGTGAAGGCGCGCAGCGAGCCCGGCATCGCCTGGTTGGGGAACACGCAGCGCTTGCTCGTGTCCGTGAGGCCCGTGAGCTTCGGGTCTTCGTCCGTGGAGCGCCGACTGGGGCCCTGCACGAGGACGATGTGCAGCCGGTCCGAGTCCTCGACGTAGTTCTTGCGCGTCACCACCTCGCTGAATGTGTCGATCACCTCGCGCAGCCGACGCAGCTTGTCCTCCTGGGGCACGTCGTCCTCCATGCGGTGGGCAGCGTGTGTACGAGCACGAATCGAGTACGCGAACATGAAAGCCTGGTCGTAGCACACCTGGCGCATCAGCGAGATGGTGTCGGCGTGCTCCTCCTCAGTCTCGCCGCAGAAGCCCGTGATGAAGTCGGAGGAGATGGCCACACCGGGGATGCGCGTACGCATGTTGTCCACTAGCGCCAGGTACGCCTCGCGCGAGTAGCCACGACGCATGCGCTCCAGCATCGTGGTGCTGCCGCTCTGAGCCGGCATGTGGATCTGCTTGCAGATGTTGGGGCGCTCGTTCACGAGGTCCAGCACTTCGTTCGGGAAGTCCTTCGGGTGGGGCGACGTGAAACGCAGTCGCATCTCCGGGTCCACGCGCGAGACTTCTTCCAGCAGGTCGGCGAAGCGGAAACCAGGCGCGTCGCGCGAGCGGAACATGTTGCTGAACCCCGCGGACGAGACGTAGCCGCGCCCCTTTTCGGCAGCGCCCTCCGACTTCTTGTCATGGTACGAGTTGACGTTCTGGCCCAGCAGCACCACCTCCTTCACGCCCTGGTCGCTCAGCGCGCGCACCTCGTCCACGATCGAGCTGATGACGCGACTGCGCTCGCGTCCGCGCGTGAAGGGCACAATGCAGTACGAGCACATGTTGTTGCAGCCACGCATGATGGACACAAAGGCCGACGGGCTGTGCGGGTCGGCGCGGACGGGCGCAATGTCGGCGTACGTCTCGTCCAGCGAGAGCTGCACGTTGACGGCCGCCTCGCCGCTGCCGTGCACGACGCGCAGCAGGTTGGGGATGTCGCGGTAGGCGTCGGGCCCCACCACCAGGTCCACCATCTTGTCGGACTCGAGCAGCTTGGTCTTGAGGCGCTCGGCCATGCAGCCCAGCACGCCCACGGTCTGCACCTTCTGCTTCTTGCGCAGCAGCTTGGCCTTGACCTGGCGCAGCGACTCGAGGCGGTTCCAGATCTTGGCCTCGGCGTTGTCGCGCACGGCGCACGTGTTGATGAGCACCACGTCGGCCGCGTCGGCCGAGGACGCGGGCGAGTAGCCGCCCTCCAGCAGGATGGCCCGCACGATCTCCGAGTCAGCCGAGTTCATCTGGCAGCCGTACGTCTCGATGAAGAAGGAGCAGACCCGCGCCTCCTGCGCCTGCTCCTCCAGCTCCTCCAGCGACCGCACGCTGCTGGGCGCCACCGGGAAGTTCATCTCGCTCGGCTCGCGCGCCGCCTCGGCCGTGCGCTGGTGGTCGTGCGACTGCGACTCGCGCAGGAAGTCGCCAAGGCCGGGACCGTCACGCGGCAGCCGCGAGCTTTGCACCTTCACCTTGGCCTGCGCATTGGCGCTGCTGGACTCGAAGCGAACGGCATTGGCCAGCGCGGCGAAGGCGCGCGAGCTGCTGCGAACGGCACGGCGTCTTGCGGCCAGCATTCTTGCTGTTGGTGGATGTGTGACCAGGACCAGCCAAAAAGGGTCCAGCATTTGCTAAACGAAATATTGATCTATCAAATTGTACAAAATATTTCAAGTTTTAAGAAAACTTTAAAGGTTAAAGATGCACATGGCGCATTGCCGCACGCGCGGCTCATTCTCGAACGTGCAGCGCGAGCAGCTCCACGCAGCGGTCGCCATGATTGCCGCCAATAATAATCCGAAGTTGCCGCCACAATCCTCTCGTATTTTACCGTAGATGAGCGAAAAAGAACATTAAATGTCGGTATTTTTCACCACTTATCGTCAATGTTGACAAAACACCAGCAACGTAACAATCTAAACTACATCGGCAAAGTTCACAAAAAGACTACGCAACTTAGGCTACGCAACATATCATAAGTTGCACTTTAGTGATAAGTTGATAAGTTGATAACTCAGCAAGAACCCCTGTGGAGTTCTCAACTTGAGAACTACAAATACACTTTACCATTTCTGGATCCAGTCATCCACTGCCAAGTTCACCAAAGGGAGTCCTCTTCATTTCGCTAACAAGTTTAGTTTGTAAGTTTTAGAGGGCTCTGGGGGCTCACCTCACCACACACATGCATATTGTAAAATGGACGCAGTTGAATCTATCGGGGCATCTACGCCAGGGCGGGGATGGCCTGCGGGTCGGTGTTGAACATCTCGTTGGGGTCTACTTGGTCTTGATCTTCTGCAGCTTGGCGAAGTTGCCGCCGCCGTACAGGAACTCGGCCATCTCGCTCACGGTCCAGCGCTCGTCGCGGTACGTCGTGAAGCCGCCGGGCACGCCGCCCTTGGCCTTGTAGGCGTCCACGAACTTGTAGAAGTTGGTGCGCATGGTGGTGATCGTGGTGTCGGCGAACTTGACGTCGAAGGACGGCGTGCGGATGTCCCAGCGGGTGAGGTGCAGGCGGTCGTCGTGCTTCCAGGCCGAGGCGTCGGCCGTGACGCCCTTGGCGTACTTGCCGCCCCAGATGTCCACGAAGCCAGAGGCCGTAGCGTCCGGGAGCGCGGGGGCGAACGCGGTGCTGGAGAAGAGCTGCCAGGCCGTCGAGTTGTCGAGCGGCGTGGAGATCTTCACGGTCGGGCAGGTCGTGATAAGCCTCGTCGGTTAGCCTATCTAATCGAGGTAAATCCCATCTACTGTACTACAGGGATGAAAGCCTTGTGGCATTCCTACCCGCTGGCCATGCGTTTGGATTCCAACTTGCGATGGGGATGATGAATCAAATCTGCTTGTCACGTCGCTGTGTCAACGCTGTTTTCACGGTTCTGGCCCGCTGGAACGCTTACTCCAGCCCAGCCTGCACCGGTAGAGCCTAGCTGTAATAGCGCCGTAGACACCCCGCACGACTTCACGGTTGGGAGAGCTCCCGATTGTGCTTGACTGCAATCTCTCGTGAGAACAGGCAACTCGAAGGGAACAAGCCCCATGACCCCCCGGCACAGAGATACATGTACTCACTTCCGCATTTGCCCTCCAGCACTCAAGTCCCCAACAACTCGAGACCAAGGCGAACCATGGTCGTGTCGATCTCCAGCGCCAGCCGCGCGATTTTCGCGCTCTGCTCCCTCATCGCCGCGCAGGCCGCCGCGGTCCCGGCTGACATCGGTCCGTGTCTCGACAAGGCCGGCATCGAGAACTCGGTGCCCAAGACCACGACCTGGACGATGGACATCCAGCCGTGGAACTCGCGCGTGAACCCCCAGCCTGCGGCTGTTGCGTTCCCCAAGACGGAGGCCCAGGTGTCGGCCGCGCTCAAGTGCGCCGCCGATGCCGGCGTCAAGGTCACCACGCTGGGCGGCAACCGCTCCTTCTCGAGCATGGGTTTCGGCCGCAACAACGGCGCCCTCGTCATGCACCTCAAGTACCTCAAGCACCTCAAGTACGACGCGTCCACTGGTCTGCTGTCGTACGGCGGCCCCGTCATGATCTCGGAGACCGCCAAGTACATGTGGGAGTTTAACCGCACTCTGCCCCACGGCCGCTACCCCGACGTCGGCATGACCGGTGTGGCCGCCTCGGGTTTCGGCACCCTCTCGCGTACCGCTGGCACAGTGCTGGACAACGTCGAGGCCGTGCGTGTGGCCCTGGCTAACGGCACCATCGTGGACGCCAGCGCCAAGCAGAACGCGGACCTGTACTGGGGCGTGCGCGGCGCTGCCAGCTCCATGGGCGTGGTGCTGGACTTCAAGATCAAGACGATCGAGCCTCCGTCGGAGCGCGTGACGAACTACACCATCGCCTTCAACTCGAGCGTCAAGCCGACCCAGCAGGACAACGTCAACGCCTTCCTCGGCACGCAGAAGTAGGCTCAGAGCGCCGACAACAACGACCTGCTCTCCATCCGCTTCAGCCTCAAGACCAGGTCCACGCTCCAGGGTTTATTCTACGGCTCGCCCGAGCAGGCCAAGACCGTGCTCGGCTCGCTCATGAAGAACCTGCCGGCCTCGATGATGCTCACCACGACCGACAACGACTTCTGGACGTCCGAGGCCATCTCGACCCCCGGCCTCGTGGAGGAGGCCATGTCCCCCCGCCGCTACTTCTACATCGCGTCGGTCACGATCCCCAGCTCCACGCCGCTCGACAACTCGACGGCCTGGCAGCTCTTCTCCAGCACCGCGTTCGCCCCCGCGCTCCCGGACGCTACGGCCTCTGGCTTCGTGGACATCTGGGGCGGCAAGTACGCCAAGGGCGTCACGGCCGACGCCTCGGCCTGGAAGCACGACGACCGCCTGCACCTCACCCGCTGGGACATCCGCACGCCGTCCTTCGACGTCAAGTTCGCCGACACCACGATCACCACCATGCGCACCAACTTCTACAAGTTCGTGGACGCCTACAAGGCCAAGGGCGGCGTGCCCGGCGGCTTCACGACGTACCGCGACGAGCGCTGGACCGTGAGCGAGATGGCCGAGTTCCTGTACGGCGGCGGCAACTTCGCCAAGCTGCAGAAGATCAAGACCAAGTAGACCCCAACGAGATGTTCAACACCGACCCGCAGGCCATCCCCGCCCTGGCGTAGATGCCCCGATAGATTCAACTGCGTCCATTTTACAATATGCATGTGTGTGGTGAGGTGAGCCCCCAGAGCCCTCTAAAACTTACAAACTAAACTTGTTAGCGAAATGAAGAGGACTCCCTTTGGTGAACTTGGCAGTGGATGACTGGATCCAGAAATGGTAAAGTGTATTTGTAGTTCTCAAGTTGAGAACTCCACAGGGGTTCTTGCTGAGTTATCAACTTATCAACTTATCACTAAAGTGCAACTTATGATATGTTGCGTAGCCTAAGTTGCGTAGTCTTTTTGTGAACTTTGCCGATGTAGTTTAGATTGTTACGTTGCTGGTGTTTTGTCAACTTTGACGATACGATAAAATACGAGAGGATTGTGGCGGTAACTTCGGATTATTATTGGCGGCAACCATGGCGACCGCTGCGTGGAGCTGCTCGCGCTGCACGTTCGAGAATGAGCCGCGCGTGCGGCAATGCGCCATGTGCATGGGCGCTCGGCCGGCCGCGACGCCTGTAAAGGCTCCCGCGGCGTCTCCAGCGCCGGCCAGCCGCTCGGCCAGTAAGAGGGCCAAGACCAAGACGCCGCCCGCCAAGTCGCCGTCGCCATCGCTGCTCTTCGGCGTCGGCAGCTCGGCGGAGAAGGAGCGGCAGCGCGTGCAGAAGAAGCTGCAGCAGCTCAAGGAGCTCGGCATCGAGCTGCCCGACGCCGACATGATGGCGCTGCTGCAGCGCAACTGCTTCAGCGTGCCCGGGGCCGCCTCCGAGTACTTCGAGCGCCTGGCCCAGCAGGAGTCGACCGGCGGCGGCGCCCAGCAGGACGAGGGGGCTAAGCGGAGACTGGAGCAGGCGCTGCAGAGACTGGAGCGCGTGGACGCGCAGGACCAGAGCTTCCAGGTGCTGGGCAAGACCACCATGCAGGCCTCGGTGAACCGCCAGGGCGTGGCGCTGCAGGTCGGGGACGAGCTGCTGCTGCAGGCCGAGAACGCCGGCAAGAAGCGGCTGCGACCCGGACTCTCCGCCGGCGCCTCGGCGTCTGGGGGCATCGTGAGGATCGCCACTCTGCAGCACTCGCAGATCGGGCGACTGGAGCGGAACCTCGAGATGCTGCTGCACCCGCTCATGAAGAGCGGGCTCGTGAAGCTCGGGGCCGTGTGCGAGACGCCCCCAGTGTCGTCGCACATGTTCGCGTCGTTCGATGTACGTGGTGTTTGATCGTGTTGGGTGTTGACGGGGCGCTACTGCACATGGTGCTGATACAGTATCGCGTTGATGCAGGTGACGGCGTTCGTGTACGTTAGCGTCAAGGCGTTCGACATGTTCAAGGAAGGCGACGCGAACTTCCACCTCTCCGACCATCTCTACAACCTGCTGCAGATGATCAACGGGGCTGAGGCGCCGTCGTTGGATGCGCTGGCTTCCCGTCCCTCTGCAGAGGCTGAAGATCCGTCGGCCAAGGTGAACCCGGAAGACCTTGACACCCTCTTTTCGGAGTGTGTTGGCGCAAACGACCTCCACAACTCAGCGGATGGATCGGACACGGACCCATCAGAGCACCTCCTGCAGTATCTGAATGCTATCGAGCTACGGGATCATCAAAAGCAGGCGCTGCGATGGATGCTGTGGCGCGAGAACCAGCTTAAAAGCGGCGTCAGCGAGCAAGAGAGTAACGACCCGGTAAGCAATCTCACTCCTGTCATAGTTTGCACTGCTTGTACTCTTCTGTTTCATGCTAACCACTTCCTTCATCTCTTTCAGATGTGGGAGGAACGCCACTTCCGGTCCAAGATCTCGTACTATGTAAACCCCTTCGAGAAAAGCGCCTCGCTGACTCGACCGGACCCTCCAGTTCCCTGTTTAGGCGGAATTCTAGCAGACGACATGGGAATGGGTAAGTTGTCGCCTCCGTGCGCTTGTCATGGCAACAAGTGCACAACTAACGAGTATATCTTGTTACATGCAGGCAAAACGATGATGATGCTTTCACTCATCGCATATCAAAAGCACGTTGGTGAAGAGAAAGATGCTGATAACAACACTGACTCATCTTCCCGGGACAAACGGAAAACGACTGGCAAGACGCTCGTCGTTTGCCCGCTGAGTTTGCTTCACCAGTGGAAAAACGAGGCACAAGAGCGCTTCCTCCCTAACACGCTGAGCGTTCACGTGTACTATGGCGACGATCGCGACAACGACACTGGGCTTAGTGCGGCATCTTTCAGCAAGAGCGACCTGCTACTCACCACGTACGGAGTGCTATCGGCAGAGTTCGAGAAGAACGGGGTCCTCACGACAGCGGAGTGGAACCGCGTCATTCTTGATGAGGCGCACAGCATCAAGAACAGGTCTACAGGCTACTTCAAGACGTGCTCTGCGATGAAAGCCACCCACCGCTGGTGTCTAACCGGCACTCCTATCCAGAACACACTCGACGACATGTTCTCTCTTCTCTGCTTTCTCCAGTACCAGCCCTGGTCTCGAGTGGCGTGGTGGAAGAGGGTGATCACGAAGCCGTATGAAGATGGTGACGATGTAAACGCGCTCGGTCGGCTGAAGGTGATTCTAACCCCAATTCTGCTTCGGCGCACCAAGCACTCGCGGGACAAGCAGGGCAAAATGATCGTTCAGCTTCCCCCGAAGCACGTCGACCTGGTCAAGCTCGAGTTCTCCCCGGACGAGCGAGCGTTCTACCAAGCTGTATACGACAAGAGCAGGGCCGAGTTCAACGGCTTCGTGGCCAGCGGCTCAGCAATGACAAGCTACGTCGCTATCTTCGCACTGTTGCTCCGACTTCGTCAAGCTTGCGACCACCCTCTGCTCGCGCTCGGGAAAGACGTCGAGCAAGCGATGCAGTCCGACGACAAGAGTACGAGCGCGACTACCACAGCCGCCTCGGCCAGGTCAGCGTTCCAGCCGCAGCACAACGAGAGCTCTGAGGCCTACTACCAGCAAATCGCCGCGCAGCTCCAAAAGGACATGAAGGCCAGCAACCGCACGCAGCTTCTGGAGAACGGGAGCGACGCCACGGACACAGAGAGCAGCAGCTCGGCTGGAGGCTTGACGGCGTCGTACATCCAGAGCGTGATAGCGCAGGTTGAAGATGGCCTGGAGTCGCAGGAGTGCCCGATTTGCTTGGACCCGCCGCAGAACGCCGTGCTGACTCCGTGCGCCCACGTGCTGTGCGACCAGTGCCTGCGCGACAGTCTAGCGAACGACCCGGAGAACGGCTGCCCCGTGTGTCGAACCGTGGTCGACATGGCGAAGGTGTTCAAGCTGCCGCCTCCTGCGGCCTCCAAAGCTCAGGAGGGGGACGGCAAGACGACGGACAGCCCCACGGACTCAGCCAGCGTTCCAGGGGACAGGCGACCTGCTGCTGCTGCTGACGATGACGGCACAGGCTTCGAGAGCGCCAAGCTGCAGCAGCTGCTGCGCGACCTGAAGGCCATCAAGCTGGAGAACGAGCGCGCCGAGTCGCCCGAGCAGAGGCGCAAGGTGGTGGTCTTCTCGCAGTGGACGTCCATGCTGGACATGGTGTCGCGGCTGCTGCAGCGCCACGGCTTCTCGCACTGCACGTTCAACGGCGCGCTCAACCAGGGGCAGCGCGAGCGCGTGCTGACCAAGTTCGCCAAGGACCCGAGCGTCGAGGTGCTGGTCATCAGCCTCAAGGCCGGCGGCGTGGGGCTCAACCTCACGTGCGCCTCCGTGGTGATCCTGCTGGACCCGTGGTGGAACCCGGGCGTGGAGGACCAGGCCGTGGACCGCGTGCACCGCCTCGGCCAGACGCAGGACGTGATCGTCAAGCGCTACGTGGTGAACGACACGGTGGAGGACATGATCCTGCAGCTGCAGCAGCGCAAGGAGAAGCTGGCCAAGCACGTGCTCGTGGTGGCCAAGGCGCACGACGAGCGGCGCAGCGAGCGCCTCAACCTCGACGACCTGCGCAGCTTCTTCCGGTAGATTAACTAGTTAGACCATTGACCATTGACCCCCAAAATGTAGCCATCTCTCTCTCCTGACTGATGTGTCGGCACTTTTCAAACAACCGAATTAGCCCCAACAACGCTCCACGCGCCGAAGATGCTCACGCGGTCGCGCTCCAAGGAGACCAACCAGCCCGTCTTCATCGACGACACGTGGAACGACGCGTACATCCAGACCAAGGACGAGCAGATCGACGCCATGATGGCGGCTGACGCCACGCAGCGCGGCTGGGACGAGCTGGGCGAGGAGAACTCGGACGCCGACGAGGACGCCAACGACGAGGACGGGGACGCGTGGCACTCGGACTCGGACGAGTCGGAGGACAACGAGGAGGACTGGCTCGAGCGCCCGCGCGCGCCGCCGCCGCAGCTCTCGTTCGCGCAGCGCTGGCTGGCGGGCGGCTCCACGCTGCAGAACGTCGCGTGGACGCTGGCCGCGCTGGCCGTGGCCCCGATGCTGCTCTACGCCTCGCTGCCGCGCGGCGACCAGCAGCTGTGGCCGCTGCGCAGTCTGCGGCTGGCCGGCACGCTAACCAAAGTGCTGCTCAACCTGCTGACGCTGGCGGCGGCGGCCGCGGCGCTGTACGGCGCGTCGTGCAGCGTGGAGCCGCTGTCCATGCACTGGCAGCAGTTGGAGCTCGAGCCGCCCGCGCAGTGCGGCGAGCGCCTGCTGCAGGGAGGGCGCGAGTTCGTCCAGGCGGCGATGGAGGCGCTGTCCCTCGGATCGAGCCCCAGCGCCCCGCTGAGACGCCTGGACGACGACATGTGGACGCTCGTCAAGAGCCTGGACGCGCCCGTGGTGCGCGAGCTGGCGAGCATCGCGGTCGCGGGTCTCGTTACGCTCACGTGCTTCCACCGCCTGTGGGCCAAGACGCTCGTGCTGCTCGCGGCGGCCAGCTACGTGGCGTTCAACGTCGTGACGGAGCTCAAGATGCAGCAGCGCGCGGCCGTCGAGATCTTCTCGCTGGACCCGACCTTTGCCTTCGTGAACGAGAGCATCTTTGTGAGTACCATGAGGTTACTACTGGGGTCTGGTTGAGAGTTTTTAACTAATGTGGTGGGTGTTGGAACAGATCGCCATCGACGGACAGAATCTGGAGGAGGGCGGGTCCGTCGCCTGGGCGCCCTACTGGGGCGGCGTGCAGCAGCAGCACGCGCAGTCCTGCCCCAAGCGGTTCCCGCAGCAGCTCAGCAACGGCGGCGTGCTGGTTACGTTCGGCCAGGTGAACGAGTACGTGCCGTGCTACCTCAGCGCGAAGGACACTGCCTCCGCGGTGATCGTCGACGGCGAGATCCAGCCGTCGGAGGCCTTCCAGTGCTTCGAGAGCATCCGGCTGCGCGTGAAGGACCAGAAGAGCGTGCCCGGCTGGTCACTGCACCAACACCAGCAAGAGGAGGAGCCCTTTCCAACGGAGAAGCACGAGCTGTAGTATCGTCGCAAGTGGCGTTTGTCTTGGCAGTAGTTAGCCCGAGTTTCTTTGTGATGGATGAACTTACGAGGACAGAGTGCACTTCCACTTGTCTAAATTTTAAGAGTTTTCTATGAAGAACTAGTATACCAACGGAAAATTTACCCCCCCGCGTTAGTGTGCAGTATCAGCGTTTGGACGCACTGCTCAGATACCGCGAGGCTACATACACGTGCTTGGTGCGCTGAGCCTTCCGAGGTGTTGTCCTGACGTCACTTGTGTCTGCTTCGCCCACCTCCAGCTTCCGCTTTACGATGAGCGCCACGGCCCCTCTGTCCTCTTTCCCCATACTCGTATCGGATGCACTGCTGGTTCCGCTATCATGCCCTGTTGGTCTGACTGGCACGGAAGCAGCCGAGCCACCGAGACTCTTCCCTTTCCGTGTTGCCATGCGCTCCATGGCCAGCTTGGCCTTCTCGTACTCGGCGCGGAATTTCGCGTTTTCAGCTTCGAGCTGCTTCTGCGCGCCAAGCTGGCGCTTTGTCGTGGCAAGCTTCACCTTCGTCTGCTTCAGCATTGCAGCGAGGACGTCACGCTTGTTGATCTCCTGCACCACCAGCGCCTTGAGCATCGCGGGCTCGACGCTTTGTAGTGGCTCCTCGATCATGTCCTCGTCTTCCTTTATCCGCAGCAACCGGACCAACTCGACGTGGAACGCCTTCATGCACTCGATCTCCTGTTTGAACTTGTTCACCTCCTCCTGGTGGGCCCTCTCGCGACAGCTCCACGTCTCTTCCTGAACCTGCAGCACTTCCTGCGACTCCTTCGTCAATCGCTGCTCTGTCTCCTCCACGGCCTGCTTCTTCCTGAGCAGCTCCTTCTCCACCGCCTTTTGCTTCTGCACCAGCTCCTCCTCCAACGCGCGCATCGTCTGCTCCTTCTCCTTCAACACTTCTTCGCGCTCCTCCAGCTCCTTCCGCATGTCCTCGTTCTCCGTCTCCGCCTTGATGGCTCTCTGAGTGCTCTCCACCGCCACCAGCTTGGCCGACTCCAAGTGCACGCGCAGCGTAGCGTGGTCCTCCGTGAGCTTCACTAGCCTCTGCTTGGTGGCCGCCTCGGCCTCCTTGGTGTCCCGCAGCTCGGCCTCCACCTTGGCGGCCTCCTCCTGCCTCGCGTGGATCTCTCCTCGCAGCGCCGCGGCCTCCTCCTGCGCCCTCTGCAGCTGCTCCTGCAGCTCGCGCACGTCCTCGCGCGTGGCTCCTTCCTGCTGCTTCATCTGCGTCTCGAAGTGCTGCCTCGTGGTCTCCAGCTGCGCGCGCAGCTCACGCGCCTGCATCTCCCGGGCTTTGGCCTCCTGCGCGTGCTCGTCTCGCTGCTGCTGGACCTGCTCCTTCTCCTGCATAAGCGCGTCCACTCTCGCGGCCAGCGCCGACTCGCGCGCGCCCGCGGCTTGCAGCTGCTGCTCCAGCTCGCTGCTCCTGCCGGCGGCGGCCTCCGCCTGCCGCTCCGCCTCGAGCTGCGCGTCCTGCGCCGCGCTGGTCTGCGCGCGGCTGAGCTTCCAGGCCTCGTCTAGGCGCAGGAGGCCCTGCATGGCCTTCTGGTAGCGGCCGTCCAGCGCCTGCAACTCCGCCTCGCGCGCCTTGAGCGCCTGCTGCGCCTCGGCCAGCGCCGTCTGCAGCGCGAAGGCCTCGGCCTCCAGCTCCGCCGCCGTCGTGTCGCCGCCCACGCGCAGCCGCAGGCGCTCGCGCAGGTGCGCCGTCTCGATCTTCATGTCCATCAGCTCGCGGGCCATGCGCTCGGCCTGCTGCTGCTGCGAGCGCAGCCCCGCCGGGCCAGCGGCGGCGGCGGCGTCTCCACGCTCGGCCATGATCCCAGTCTGTGAGATGAGATGCCGAAGTTTTGAATTCAAAACGCCCGCCCCTTTTCTGGCGCCAAGTTTCCGCGACAACGGCTGCTACTACTGGCACAGTTCAGTCTGGGCTGCATCTACTGACTGTGCACAGTCCAATCTGGGGTATGGAGTCTGCACTCGTTTTCCTTGTCACAGAGTTGGGGATCAAAGGCTTTGATTCAAAGCTCCTGTGGGTATCGTAGATGCTTGCTTTTGCCATGAGCTTAGCCGCTCGGAGCGTAGTTCCAGCAGGTATACGTACCCCACTGCGCTGAGAAAATTGCGTCCAAGTCCTTGGCGAGCGCGGCTGCTGAGCCCGTTGCTTGATTGTTAGTTAGGCTTGAGTTGCTCGAGCTGCCCTTGTAGTTTCTTGTCCAGACTATCGATGCGGAGATACGTCGAGCCCCGGGGTGGTCATCGCACTGAGATCTGTCACCCCTTGGTTCAGCGTTCGTACTGCGGCGTCCGTCGTCGGTGTATTTGCTGGTCCCAAGTACAGTGTAGAGACTTCCTGCTTTTCTGAGGAATCCACTGTTGTGCAGCCGTGTGGTGATAGAGGACCCACCCTCGCGTGGTCAATTTGTCCTTAGTGGTGTGCGGGCCGAAGTGGATGTTCCAGACATCTAGGTTTGGAGCATCATCGTCTTCGTTCAGCGTCATCATGAGGCTGTTACAAATTTCAAGACAGAAGCCTTGAATTCGCTTTGCCGGTTGTTGGTTCCACGCACTAGCAATCGCTCGCGCCTGGTAGGCAGGCTCCTGCTGTCTTCATGGCCGCCCTGATCTCTCTTTCGTTGGTTACTTTATCCTTAAAGACTGCGTCATTGCGAAGCCTCCAGAGTAGCGCTGGTGTCACAGTTGCCCATATCTGCCACAAAAGCTTCAGTGGTGAGCCCAAGAAGTCCGGGGCGCTTGTGATTGGCCAGTTTATTTCTTGATAAAACTCTGCATTGCCCAAGTCGATATGCTCGCGGCTTCACACGAATCGGATGCAGTTGAGCTGGTAGAACGCTCTACTTCGTTGCTTTCGTGGGGAGGTGGGTACGTTTCTCGCAAGTTCCTTGTGGCTTCTGCTGTACCAGTCTGTATGGTGTTGAAGGCAATCTTCTCGTCTCTCAGCAGACAATGGAGCGCAATGCAGTGTACTACCCGAGGCGCCATAAATTTCATTTCCTAAAACTGGAGGCCATACTCACAGCACTTTACTCGTGCCCAGCATTGCAGTAGGAGAACTCACGCTTGAAATGAAATGTAATATATGTAGTAGTATGTTTTGAAATGCACGGTACTCTTGTCCGTTCTTCTCAGCTAGGAAAAATGCATTCTCGCGACGCTTGATTAGGCGGCGGTCGTACTGGAGCCGCTCTTGCTGGTCAGCTGACGCGTCGTGGACACTCGCTTGGTGCCGCGGGGCGACGTGATCTCAGTCGTGATGACCGTGAAGTCTCCCTCAATCGCGATCTTGCGGGTCGTGGTCGAGCCAGCGATGGCGGTAGTCGACTGCGTCCTCATGGGCGACGACGAGTACGAAGTCGTCGTCTTGGTCGTCACGGGGGACGAGTACGACGTCGTCGTTGACGTCGCGCCCCGAGTCACCTTTGCAACGGAAGGCGAGGCGAACCCCGCGCTCGCACTGCTCACGGACTTGGTTACCTTGCTCGACTCGGGGGACGCGTACGCCGTGATCTTCAGCCCCCGCGTCGCCTTCGTCGGCTGCGGCGACACGAAACCCGCCGCAGGAGAGCCGCTTATCGGGGATGCGAACGGGGACCTGATGGGAGATCCCTGGGGGAAGCGGTGCTTGAGCTGACGTCGAAGGGGCGAGTACGCGGTACTCAACCGGGCAGTCGAGCCGCTGCGGGCAGGGCTGCCGACTGGAGTGCTCGTTCGAGACGGCCCACCAGCGCCGGGGGCGCCCGTCATGAGCACCATGTCGTCGGAGAACTTCATCATGCCGGAGAACATGCGGCTGCGGCGCAGTTGACGCTGGTTGTTGAAGCCTTGGATCATTGTGACCTGGTGGTGCAGCTGCTGCTCCTCTGTCAGGTTCAGCAGGTAGTCGGCCATGTTCACGCCCGGAGCGCACACGAAGCCGAGCTCCTGGAAGTACGCGATGAGCGACTCGCCCGTGCCGTGGAAGAGCACTTCACCGTTCTCCAGAATCAAGACGTCCTCGTAGTACGCGCACTTCTTGGGCATCACCTGCAGCACCGAGAGAACGAACTCCGCCCCCATGAGCTTAGACCCGTCAGGGCCATTGCGCATGTGGGAGACCTCGTCAATCACCAGCGTTCGCTTGAACTTGCCGACTCCGAGACCCAACTGCTGCACCGCAACACCGGGGTAGTGGAAGGAAAGGGAGCGCGCGATCGTCCAGGTAGCCCGCTTCTCTTCATACGTGCCAGCGTTGAAGAATCCGTCCTCGAAGCTCACCAAGTTCTGGTCACAGAAGTCACGAGCAAAGTTGAGCAATTCCTTCCTGGGCATGGTCTTGGACAGGCTCCTTCCGCGACGCTGGACGTACGACACGAACTGGGGCAGCCAGGTCTTTACCAGTCGACGGCGCTTCATGTTCCACCACGCAGAACCCTTGCCAGTTCTCCCAGCCGTGCTCACAGCGAGCTTCTCTTCCCAACTCGACTCCGCCAAGCTTCGCTTCATGCCGTCCGTCCCAACTACAGACGCAACATTTATCACTCCAACATCCGAAGTATCGTCCTCCTCGCGAGTCTCCGTCTCAACAGTCGCGCTCGTCTCGCCCGCCACGGTCTTCGTCACGGTCGTCGTCTGCACCTCGATCAGGCGCTTCACCAGGCCGCTGGAAGTGGTCACCTTACGGATCGTCGTGCGAACCGTCTTGGTGATGACGCTGCCGTTGGCACCCGTCGTACGGAACACCTCGGTCTTCACCGTCGCGCCAGCAGCGCCGTCCTCGTCCGTCTCGTGCGTCGTCGACGAGCTAACCAGAGTCGCATCCGACGTCGTCGTGGTCGAGCTCGTGGCACTGCTGTCATCGATCTCCTCGCGAGTCTCCGTCTCCACAGTCGTGCTCGTCTCGCCCGCCACGGTCTTCGTCACGGTCGTCGTCTGCACCTCGATCAGGCGCTTCACCAGGCCGCTGGAAGTGGTCACCTTACGGATCGTCGTGCGAACCGTCTTGGTGATGACGCTGCCGTTGGCACCCGTCGTACAGAACACCTCGGTCTTCACCGTCGCGCCAGCAGCGCCGTCCTCGTCCGTCTCGTGCGTCGTCGACGAGCTAACCAGAGTCGCATCCGACGTCGTCGTGGTCGAGCTCGTGGCACTGCTGTCATCGATCTCCTCGCGAGTCTCCGTCTCCACAGTCGTGCTCGTCTCGCCCGCCACGGTCTTCGTCACGGTCGTCGTCTGCACCTCGATCAGGCGCTTCACCAGGCCGCTGGAAGTGGTCACCTTACGGATCGTCGTGCGAACCGTCTTGGTGATGACGCTGCCGTTGGCACCCGTCGTACGGAACACCTCGGTCTTCACCGTCGCGCCAGCAGCGCCGTCCTCGTCCGTCTCGTGCGTCGTCGACGAGCTAACCAGAGTCGCATCCGACGTCGTCGTGGTCGAGCTCGTGGCACTGCTGTCATCGATCTCCTCGCGAGTCTCCGTCTCCACAGTCGTGCTCGTCTCGCCCGCCACGGTCTTCGTCACGGTCGTCGTCTGCACCTCGATCAGGCGCTTCACCAGGCCGCTGGAAGTGGTCACCTTACGGATCGTCGTGCGAACCGTCTTGGTGATGACGCTGCCGTTGGCACCCGTCGTACAGAACACCTCGGTCTTCACCGTCGCGCCAGCAGCGCCGTCCTCGTCCGTCTCGTGCGTCGTCGACGAGCTAACCAGAGTCGCATCCGACGTCGTCGTGGTCGAGCTCGTGGCACTGCTGTCATCGATCTCCTCGCGAGTCTCCGTCTCCACAGTCGTGCTCGTCTCGCCCGCCACGGTCTTCGTCACGGTCGTCGTCTGCACCTCGATCAGGCGCTTCACCAGGCCGCTGGAAGTGGTCACCTTACGGATCGTCGTGCGAACCGTCTTGGTGATGACGCTGCCGTTGGCACCCGTCGTACGGAACACCTCGGTCTTCACCGTCGCGCCAGCAGCGCCGTCCTCGTCCGTCTCGTGCGTCGTCGACGAGCTAACCAGAGTCGCATCCGACGTCGTCGTGGTCGAGCTCGTGGCACTGCTGTCATCGATCTCCTCGCGAGTCTCCGTCTCCACAGTCGTGCTCGTCTCGCCCGCCACGGTCTTCGTCACGGTCGTCGTCTGCACCTCGATCAGGCGCTTCACCAGGCCGCTGGAAGTGGTCACCTTACGGATCGTCGTGCGAACCGTCTTGGTGATGACGCTGCCGTTGGCACCCGTCGTACGGAACACCTCGGTCTTCACCGTCGCGCCAGCAGCGCCGTCCTCGTCCGTCTCGTGCGTCGTCGACGAGCTAACCAGAGTCGCATCCGACGTCGTCGTGGTCGAGCTCGTGGCACTGCTGTCATCGATCTCCTCGCGAGTCTCCGTCTCCACAGTCGTGCTCGTCTCGCCCGCCACGGTCTTCGTCACGGTCGTCGTCTGCACCTCGATCAGGCGCTTCACCAGGCCGCTGGAAGTGGTCACCTTACGGATCGTCGTGCGAACCGTCTTGGTGATGACGCTGCCGTTGGCACCCATCGTACGGAACACCTCGGTCTTCACCGTCGCGCCAGCAGCGCCGTCCTCGTCCGTCTCGTGCGTCGTCGACGAGCTAACCAGAGTCGCATCCGACGTCGTCGTGGTCGAGCTCGTGGCACTGCTGTCATCGATCTCCTCGCGAGTCTCCGTCTCCACAGTCGTGCTCGTCTCGCCCGCCACGGTCTTCGTCACGGTCGTCGTCTGCACCTCGATCAGGCGCTTCACCAGGCCGCTGGAAGTGGTCACCTTACGGATCGTCGTGCGAACCGTCTTGGTGATGACGCTGCCGTTGGCACCCGTCGTACGGAACACCTCGGTCTTCACCGTCGCGCCAGCAGCGCCGTCCTCGTCCGTCTCGTGCGTCGTCGACGAGCTAACCAGAGTCGCATCCGACGTCGTCGTGGTCGAGCTCGTGGCACTGCTGTCATCGATCTCCTCGCGAGTCTCCGTCTCCACAGTCGTGCTCGTCTCGCCCGCCACGGTCTTCGTCACGGTCGTCGTCTGCACCTCGATCAGGCGCTTCACCAGGCCGCTGGAAGTGGTCACCTTACGGATCGTCGTGCGAACCGTCTTGGTGATGACGCTGCCGTTGGCACCCGTCGTACGGAACACCTCGGTCTTCACCGTCGCGCCAGCAGCGCCGTCCTCGTCCGTCTCGTGCGTCGTCGACGAGCTAACCAGAGTCGCATCCGACGTCGTCGTGGTCGAGCTCGTGGCACTGCTGTCATCGATCTCCTCGCGAGTCTCCGTCTCCACAGTCGTGCTCGTCTCGCCCGCCACGGTCTTCGTCACGGTCGTCGTCTGCACCTCGATCAGGCGCTTCACCAGGCCGCTGGAAGTGGTCACCTTACGGATCGTCGTGCGAACCGTCTTGGTGATGACGCTGCCGTTGGCACCCGTCGTACGGAACACCTCGGTCTTCACCGTCGCGCCAGCAGCGCCGTCCTCGTCCGTCTCGTGCGTCGTCGACGAGCTAACCAGAGTCGCATCCGACGTCGTCGTGGTCGAGCTCGTGGCACTGCTGTCATCGATCTCCTCGCGAGTCTCCGTCTCCACAGTCGTGCTCGTCTCGCCCGCCACGGTCTTCGTCACGGTCGTCGTCTGCACCTCGATCAGGCGCTTCACCAGGCCGCTGGAAGTGGTCACCTTACGGATCGTCGTGCGAACCGTCTTGGTGATGACGCTGCCGTTGGCACCCGTCGTACGGAACACCTCGGTCTTCACCGTCGCGCCAGCAGCGCCGTCCTCGTCCGTCTCGTGCGTCGTCGACGAGCTAACCAGAATCGCATCCGACGTCGTCGCGCCCGCAGTCGGCTTGCGCTTCGGCTTGCGGTGCTGCTTCGACTTGGGCTTCTTGCCCTGCGTCAGCTCGGTCTCCTCCACGGTCTCCTCCACGATCTCAGTCGTCTCGATCGTCTCGATCGTCACCTCCTCCGTCACCTCGCTCGTGGACGGCACCTCCTCGGTAGTCTCGGTGGTCACTTCCGTCACCTCCGTGGTCTCTTCTTCGGTGGTCGTGCCCGCAGTCGGCTTGCGCTTCGGCTTGCGGTGCTTCTTCGACTTGGGCTTCTTGCCCTGCGTCACCTCGGTCTCCTCCACGATCTCGGTCGTCTCGATCGTCTCGATCGTCTCGATCGTCTCGGTGGTCACCTCATCCGTCACCTCGCTCGTGGACGGCACCTCCTCGGTATTCTCGGTGGTCACTTCCGTCACCTCCGTCACTTCCGTCGTCTCCTCGGGCTTGACCTCGGTCGTCTCGACCGTCTCGGTGGTCACTTCCGTCACCTCCGTGGTCTCCTCTTCGGTGGTCGTGCCCGCAGTCGGCTTGCGCTTCGGCTTGCGGTGCTTCTTCGACTTGGGCTTCTTGCCCTGCGTCACCTCGGTCTCCTCCACGATCTCGGTCGTCTCGATCGTCTCGATCGTCTCGGTGGTCTCGGTGGTCACCTCCTCCGTCACCTCGCTCGTGGACGGCACCTCCTCGGTAGTCTCGGTGGTCACTTCCGTCACTTCCGTCGTCTCCTCGGGCTTGACCTCGGTCGTCTCGACCGTCTCGGTGGTCACTTCCGTCACCTCCGTGGTCTCCTCTTCGGTGGTCGTGCCCGCAGTCGGCTTGCGCTTCGGCTTGCGGTGCTTCTTCGACTTGGGCTTCTTGCCCTGCGTCACCTCGGTCTCCTCCACGATCTCGGTCGTCTCGATCGTCTCGA